TTTGGTAAACCTCTCCTTGGTCTTGAATAGTTTCCTCATACGCATTTGATGATCCGTCCTCTGCTGAATACTTAAGGAATGTTTGTATCTTTGGGGTCCTCACTTTGTTCAACTTTCTCATTTCCAGTACTACAAACTGTGAACTTTAGCTGCCTTGGTCTCCCTGGAATTGCAGCTGTCTCTTCAAAACAGAGAGCTGCATGGCTGTGCCTCAGTTTCTCCTTCATGCTCTATGGCTTGGAAATTTTCTCAAAAGAATAATCGGGGACAATTTTAGAACTCAGCTTGCTTGTTTACTGTCTCTCATGGATTATTTGTCTTTGAGACACACAAATTTCAAGAGACTGGTGCCTAATTCTCTTTAAAACCATTATTTCATGTGACTTGTCTCTTTGTTTGTTTGCATATTGTAGGCAGGAGTGTAATCAGTTCCTGCCACTTCATTTTGGCTGGATCATGAGTCTAGTCAATTTGTTTTGATTGGTTTTTCCTCTTATTATAGGTTCTAGTTCTGGTTTCTTTGTCTGGTAATTTTTTATTATAGGCTAGTCATTGTATGTTTACTTTGCTGGTTGATGAAAACTTTTGTATTCCTCTAAATGTCCTTGAGCTTTATTTTAGGACACAGTTAAGTTACTTGGAAATAGTTTGCATTTTAAGTCTTGCTTTTAAACCTTGTTAGATGAAACCAGAGCAGACTGTGGGGTTAGTTTTGCCCCACTATTAGGGCAACACCCTTTTCAGATCTCTACCTGAATGACAAGGTTTTTTCCATTTGACTTCTGGGAACACGAATCTCTCCCCTCCTGTTTAGGCTCTGGGGGACACTCTGGAAAATATGCAGGGTGATTTTTTATCCCCCAAGCCTTGAGTAGTTTTTTCACATGTGTTTACTTACTGCTACATGGTTGAGGACTCTAGGTGGACGGCTTGCTGAAGGTCACTGAGGGCCTCTCCTTGGAGCTCTGTCTTCTCTGTGCCATGTGGATCTTAGCTGCCTCGGCGTCCGCAGCCCTCAGCTTTGTAGCCTTGTCTCAGGGAGACCGCTAGGCTCTGTCTATGCTTGTTCTTTTTGTGTCACAGCCTGGAAATTACAGACAATTACAGAAAGTACAGCCTGGAAATGTGACCATGTAGGGCTAACTTGGTTTCTGTTCTCCCTTCCAGGCTTCAGTGGCCTGTATTATGTGATATCCAGTGTCAGAAAACCACTGTTTAATATTGCTTTTCTGTTTGTGTTTTTGTTTTTCCCATTATTTTAGGTAGAAGGAAAAATCCTTTCCTTGTTACTCCATCTTGGCCAGAGCAGAAAACTTATTTATCATTTAAAAATAAATTCTGTATCCCTTAGCATACATACTACCTGTTTCTCTTTTCAGTACATAAAGCAGGTATTTTAGTTTTTTTATCTGCCTTCTCAAAGCCTTCTCATCATTTGCTTTCTACTGAAATGATCAAAGCTGTATCTTCAATCATGTTTCATATTGTTAGGAAAGCCAAAGGGCATAGGGAAAAGACAGTAGAATTTTGATTCAATAGAGTTCTGTATGATTCCAACTTTTACCATTTACTATTTGTATCTTTTGGTAAGTTCCTGTATCTCTCTAAATTTCATTTAAATGGGGACACTAACAATAATACATATCCAACCTACTCAACAGGTTGGTCATGAGGCCCAAATGGAATTATGTATTATTTTTAATCTTGTAATTTTTAAAGCATTTCACACATGTTAACATTGACCTTTGTCACCAAGATTGTTTTAAATTTGATTATTTTTTCCTTCACTACATTTGGTGTTCTTCTGTTATCTTTATTCTTCCTAAATACATGCCTCTTTTTGGTACTCTTCACATATTTTCTTCTTTTTTCCTATCATAACCTCATTGAAGTAGTGTTCAGAAGTCTGCTAAATATGGGTGGTAGAAAAATACATATGTCAGAATAAGAGTTAGGAGGCTTGAATTCTGTCATAGCCCTTCCCCAATGGATAAGAAATTTCAGGAAAATTCCTTAACCATGTTGATATCCAGTTTTACTGACCATGAAATGGAAATAACATATTTATCTGCTTACTTTAAAAGGTTAATGTGAGGTTCAAATATATAAAATATAAACATGATATAAATGCTTCTTTAAGTACATGTGTACAAATTGGTATTGTACTATAAATTGTTCTATAAATATTAATCTGTAATGAAATTTTGATATAATTTCTCTGTAAGTACTGTAATAAAGTGATTGCCTTTATTAATGCTAGTAACTGCAGAGTTCCTAAGTAATTTCCTATGCATTTTTAAAATTCTTCTAGAAGTATGAGCAGTATTTTCTATCTAGGAATGAAAGAAAAATAATCCTTATTTTTTATTGCAGATTAAAGTTGTTATTGCATTATCCAAGGCTATTTATGTGGTTGAAAGATAAATATCCACTACTTACAGCTCCTTTCTCAGAAATATTAAATTTACTTTATGGAAAAAAATATGCATTTTTTTTAAATAGAGCAGTTTTATAGTAACATTTTGGTAATGGAGTGCATTAATATCACATGGGAAGTGTCACTCATAATAAACCAAAAAACCCACTAAATGCAAAAGAATTTCCATATTCAATTTTAATTTCAATTTCTACCCCTCAAATATTGTTAGATAACTAACTAGTAATATAATGGAGACTAAGAACATCAGATAAGAAATTACCAGAACAAAACTTTGGTACTCATAACTATTTAAGGAATGATTCATTCTGATTATCTGAATTTTTCAGATAAATGAGATTATTTAATGAACCTTTCTAATCCCAGTTCATTTTTTTAGTATTGAGCCTAATGTCATCAGGGAATCCCTTGTAAAGGCCAAATATCTGTATTACATGCTAGCTTTACTCTGCGGACATCTCTTTAAAACACGTGTCACGGATTGGATTCAACAATGATCTGTATGGTAGTTTCCACCTCTTCTACTAGACTACATTCTCTTAGAAGTCAGAAACTGTTTTATTTGCCATTTTAACAGTAGGCTCTCACACAGTGCCAGGCAAATATAGCCATTTAGTGAATAATTGTTGTATTCACATGGGGAGTATTATAGAATCTATTGGGATATTATAACACCGAACTTTAGACTTAAAATTTTAACTCACTGTGCATGTGCATCCCTGGGGTTTCTCCGTGTGCCCAAATTTCCTCTTCTTAAAAGGACACCAGGCAGTCAGGGTTAGGGTAACTCAGTGGCCTCATTTTTACTTATTCATCTCTTTAAAGGCCCTGTCTCTAAATATAGTCACATTTTGAGGTACTGGGAGTTAAGGCTTCAAAATATGAAATTTTTCAGGGACACAAGCCAGTACAAAATAGTGGGCGTCTGAGTTAGGTAAATTATAGGTGTAGGTAATGTGGTCACTACAGCGTGTGGTATTTAAGAGTTTGGGATCTGGAGTTTGACTCCTTTTATTTCATTGACAATTATCATTTGCAGGGACCACTACTTACAGCTTTTATGACTTTGGGAGAGTTACAGGACCTCACCAAACCTGAATTTCTTTACCTATAAGAAAGAATGAACTGATATTTACCCATTAGGTTTATTGCTGTACCTGTCACTGAGTACGTGCACAGTAAATGCTAGCAAAATTTATATTTCTTTGCAAATAATTATATACAAATACATAGACCCTCTTTTCCTAATTTCTCTCATAAATCTAATAATTTTGTTGTTTCTATTGTATACACCACATGTATAAATATTTTGCATATAAAATATGTATTACTCTTTTGCCAAAATTCAGTATGCTAGCTACTTTGGAATTAATTCATCATGATTTTTTTTGTAAGGGCAAACTTCTGCTTTCTATGGTCGGGATGATTCCTAGGAGAGCAGAATGCTCGGAGTTCTCGGGTGATGGGCAGTGTGCTGTCATGGGACAGAGCTTCCAGTAGCGTCAGCTGTAGGGTGTGCTGGATATTGTGTATGAGAATTAAGTATACCTCAGGTATATAAAACTTAATACAGTTAAAAACTGGATATTGCTACTTTCGTGGGTTTTTTAAATCCTAAACTAATAAAAGCAACAATCATACCTATAAATAACAGGGTCTGTATGCTTAGTGATCAAACAGTGCCCATTCCATCCTGTTCTTAGAGAAAATGAGATGCTTATCTCCATAGTAATCTTGGCCTTTGTAGACAAACAGAGAGGAATTCTCAGAGAGGGAGTAACCTTAGCTGGTAACGGAACACTTCAGGATGAGGTGGGCAAAGGCTGTTTTCCAATTAGCGTCTTTCAGAAAGGAGAATACAGACATGTTACATTATTGGGAAAAACATGAGAATTATAGGAAAGGAAATTAAAAGTTAAGAAAAGAAAAATGAAATGACTTCCTCTCCTAACACTGTAGAACATAATACTTTCAGTCATGGTAACAAAATGCCTCTTGCCCAAGTCATTATGGGTGTATGTTTTGTTTTGTTTTCCAGCTCTTTCAATTATTCATCAAACATGTAGAACCCTTCTGGTGTGTGTGTGTGTGTGTGTGTGAAAGCGGAGAATAAGAGGAGAGAAAGACATCAGCAGCCGAACGCTGTACCTAGTCTAGAGTGCGGTGATGCCTGGATTCCCTCGGAACCACCTGGGAGGCCATGAGGTAGCCCCACGGGGGTGAGAACGGGGAGACCGGGGCTGGTTCCCCCTGCAGGGATCGCCAGTTTGGGCAGGTGAGGAAAGCGAAGGAACACCTGCTTTGCCACCTCACAGTGCTGCGTAGAGAAATCAAGAGCCACGAATGGCAGGTTGTCTTGAAAGTTATGGAGACTGATTTAATAGAAGGGCACTGTAGCTGCTCATTGAACTACTGTGGCCATCAAGAATATCTCTGCAAAGAAAAAGACAAGATTTGAACAACGATCTGACAACTGGATTTTAGAAATAACTTTGGTTTTCAGTAACATTGTGGGTATACAAAATCTTGTTTACTTCATTGTTTTCTCATCTCTTCCCTCCAGGTCGGGATCCTCGACGTGAATTCTGACTCTGGGCGGCTTGGTACGTGTGTTGGATTGTAGAGCTGGTGCTCTTTTTTACAACCTGGCTCTATTCTTTCCTAATGAGAGGAAAAGGATTCTACATGTTTGATGAATAATTGAAAGAGCTGGAAAAAAAGACGGAATTTAGAATTCATGAAAAATATGTTATCACCTGATCTAAAAGTACTCTGATAACCCGAACCCCAGTTCTCTGAAACCTCAGTCCCATTCATTTGAATTTAAATCCCATGGTTTTGAGAAATAAAGATGGACTGACCGGGCATGTGACGAATGACCCCTGGGTTTGCAGCAGCCCCGGAACGGAGAGGAGAACCCCAGGCGCCATCCTTTCTCCCCTTGGAAGAGGTCATCGGCTCCAGGCCTCCTCCTCAGCACCCCGGAGGACCTGCGGGTCAGTGAGGAGCCCCCTCCAGTAAGGAAGAGCGCCCCTCCATCGCCCCCCATAGCAGGGCCTCTGCACGGACGCATCATCTCTGGGCCCCTCTGTTCCACCCTCGCGCCTCTTTCACCCAGGACACTGTCCACTCGGCTAGTTCGGGATGCATGGGGGCACATCACACGGCCACCGGCTCTGCTGCCAGGCGCTAGGCTTCCTGCCCACGGTGACGGAGGGTGTGGGGGCGCCCTTCGCTCGGTCTGACAGAGCCGGTGGGCGACCGAAGACCAGCATTGGCCCGTCGGTAGGTGGAGGGGTCTTGGGGGTGGAGGTCAGGGACTCATGATGAGTGAAACTTAGCAATGACCGACCGGCACGTTTTAAATGGCTAATGCCTTGATTTGTTTTAGGCGTTATGATTTAGCACATAGTGATAAGATGAAAAAGAGACCGACCTTACGTCCTTACTTTTTAATTTCACTACAGGGTGTGTCAGGGATGTTGTTCTATGCTGTCAACAGATCTGCTGGTCAAGTCCACGTTCTAGAGATGCTGACCTTTCTTGGAATCCTAGCCTTGCCTAGTATAGCCACATCATTGTAATAGTAAGGAAGACAGCTATTATTAACTGTAAAGCTGATCGTATATTCTTGAAATTGTTTTAAGCATTACACACAGACACACACACAGACACACACACACACACACACACACACACACACACACAAAGTACCTCTAACCTTTACAATTGTACAAGGTGTTTATTATCCCTGTTTTACATACTAGGAAACTGAAGCTACAGAAAATAAGTGACTTATTCAAGGCAACGTAGCTAGTAATTGGTGAGTCAAGATCTGGACCCAGATCTACACGTACCAAAGCCAGGTTCATTTCTAGTATACTGTGTAGTTGCAAAGACAGGAATAGAAAACATTTTCTGGCTCCTTGTCCCATTGTCTTTCCACTAAACTATGATGGATGTCAGTCCTCCAACTGTAACAGTGATGCAATCTGACCTTGCTTTCCATGGTCACTAATTTTACTAAATCACTGGAAAGAAAGCAGTAATAGTGCAGACCTTGAAGCCAAAAATTCTGTTTTTATAGGAAATTAATGATTTCATGAAAAGAAAAGGAAATTATCTGGTTTTGATGGTATTCAGAGTGCTGACATGATCCCACAGTCGGCTAGTTGGCCGGTTTTCTGAAACAATCTTTAAAGGGGCTTTGAGCCCGTGAAGTCCGGATCTCCCCTGTGGATGTGAAGACCCTGTGGAGTCCTGGGATCGAACTGTTTGGCCCTGGCTTCAATCGTTTTTGCATATTTATTCAAGTGCTTTCTCGAGCTGGTAAAGTCAAATAAGATGGAGGACAAAAGGCACTGCTTGTGAATGGGAGAAGGGCCTAGGGAAGAAGATACTTTCTCCAGAAAAATATTACATTTATATATTTATATTAAAAAATTTTTTTTCCTTCTTAAGAGACTAAACAATGAGGCAATACAGAAATCAAGCTTAATTTGGGGGAAAACTGAGCCAAATTTTCCACAGTACGTTGAGGGTTTGGGGCCGTGGAGAGTCAGCCTGAGCCGCCAGTGTTTATGGTCTTGGTTGGTCAGACTATGTGACAAGCCTTTAGAACAGGAGATACCCTCCAGACGGAGAGAGTTTCCAAGTACTCACGCGCAAGCTCTGATCTCACCTCGGTGCTGCCTTTGCCGTCGGGTGACGTGGAGCCGTGTGTGGGGCTGAAAGGATGTGGGACCTGCAGTCGCCAGTCGGCACCTTTGCTTCTTCCGTCTAAACCCCCTGTTCCCGGGAGAGTCTGCTCCCGAGTTCTGTCTCCCCGTGAATTCCGGGTCAGAGCTCTGCCGGCTGATCCCTTGGGGTTCTTCTACTCTGCGTCATGTATGAGCCTGTGCCACGGAACTGAGACCCTTCGGGACATCTGCGGGAGGAAACCCCGGGAACCCTAGTTTCTTGGGTTACAAACAGCTTTCTTCAGATGTGGACGTCTTTAAATCTTCCCCTGATGGGTAGGACAACCGATCTGGCTTCCTTTTCTCTCTCCTTCCACTTAGGAAGGAAGCACAGCTAGAAACATGTTTGTCTCTAAGGTAACATGTTTGGTGTTGCCAGGAATCCAGTTCTTATATAGGACTACGAAGGATTAAACTCTGACTAGGGTCCTTGGACTCAGTCTATTGCCTTTTGGGGAAAGGATCATGAAAACACTTTAGAACTAATTTAGAAATAGATATTATCTATTCAAATATGCCGCCTTGACAGGATCTTAGAGGATGAAAGGAGAGTTGATGTGGCATGACCTCGAACAACTGGTTTTTAGTGTTGTGGGTGTCACCAGCATGCCAGGATATATAAAAGTGAGCTGCACTTCCACGGGCTCAGTCTGAGGCCCCGGCTGGTGAGCAATGCGCGCTGCAGACCTGTAGCCGACTCACACGCCTCCAGCATGAAGAGAGCCGCCGTGCCGGTGTTCCTGACCCTGGCTCTTTGCCTCGTGCAAGGTGAGCGACCTGCATATGATCTGAGCCTCTTTCCACATCACACAGCCCTGGGCAGGGACTCGCCTCCTTCCCCGGAACACACACATACATGTACACAGATGTGATCATGAAATGACTTACGAGACCCGGAGATTTAAAGAACTATATATGTGGCTTGATAACCATGTTATCTTGAGAAATGGCAAGTAACTTAACATGATCTGAATTTTTATCCATGGGAAATCCTTCCATTAATTCTACATTAGTTCTGAAAAGCTAATAGTTTCAACTTCCCTTCACCAAGGCAAGTTGAAGAAGAATGTGAATATGAATTATATGTTATGCATGTATTTTGTATGACACCAAGAATATCAATTCATACCAATAGGAGTTATATATATATAATAGATATTTAAAACTTAGAGGAACATTTTATATATATGTATGTGTATACATATATAAATATTATATTTATAAACAAAATATTAGAAAATAAAATTCAACCGCTGATTCTTATTTTAAAGCAGTAGTACCTTCTAGCATATTTTATTTCATTTTTGTTTTCAAATTCTTAATGAATTGAAAGTGTTTCTCCGAATGGGTAAGGGGCTTATGTGGGTGCTAGGAGGTAACTTTTTGCGTTTGCTGTTTGAATTCAAAGGAAGCATGGAATTTGCTGTTTGAATTCGGAGGGAATGTGGATTGCCTAGCCATCCTGCTCTGAGGCCTCTACATTTTCTTAAAGGAGCCTCAGAGATGGAGTGTTAGGAAAGCATTAAACACAAATGATTCCCACTTTCCTAAAATACGTGTGTAGGTGCAAAAAGGAGTCTGTTAATGAGAGAACATAATAGTCTGTCATTTTAATTAACCTTAATGTTTATCGGATGTCTAATTTTCACAGCTGTAATTAGGTGACATAATTACCAGAATTCAGAAAATTTAATTGCATGTGTATATATGATATAAACTTTATGCTACATTATTCATTTAAATTATAATTGATATACTATATCTGATATTTGTTCTAATTTTAAAAGAGGTCTGCCTTACTTTGCTGTGAAAGGGTCTTTGAGAAATTAGATATTTTGAAAGGGTCAAAGTGTAGGAGTATTATTTTCCAAAGTAATGGACCTTTATGAATAATTGGACCTGTGTGAGTGTGTATACTGATCATTGACCTCCAAGCTCACTGCCTTCATTTTATTTGCCATGGCAAATTTTAATGTGTTCAAAAACAGTTAAGTTTTGCAACATATCACCACTAAAATAAGCAAGGCCCTGCACTGACTGAGTTGTTTATTTTATTCATTAAGTATTTTACATGCACTTATCTTTGGTTTCTATATTTTCATCCCAGATGCTGCCAGTGAGGATGAAAATCAGGTTAGTCCTGCTTTTTCTGTTCATTGAATCTGTTCCAAAAATCTCTAAAGAAAAGTTGTTTAAGGCCAACACCTTCATGTTAATAATACAGCCGTATTATGATGATAGGTACTAATAGCTTCTGTTAAAAACAAAGAAATAGGTCTTTATGAATCAGGGCATGACTCACACATACACACAGACACACACACACATCAGTGTATTAGATAATGGATTGGTGCTAAAAGGATGCTTTATAATTCCATAAAAAATGAACAAGTGGATCAGTATTGTTAGTTTAATAGCTGAAAAAGTCATGACATACATAGAAAGCTGAAGTAAATGTTCGTGTGACCATTATGTAAAAAGCGGTTGTCTGTATCTTGTATATAGTCAATGTATGTATTTCATTCAATAAATATTTATTGAGTGTGTTACGTGTTAGACGTGTTCAAGATGCTGGTGATATTCAGAAGTAAAGGAAATAGTCAAGAATCCTGCCCTTATGGAACTTACACCTTAGTGGAGGAAAACAAACAAAGCAATAAGTACATTGGTAAAATGTACAGTACATTAGGTAATAATTGATGCTAGGAGAAAAATAAAGCAGGATGGAAGATAGGAATTTCTAGGGATGGAGGTAAGAGCAATTCTTGGAATAATCTGGTGAGTTGTCCCTAAGAAGAGCATTAGAACAAGGATCTAAGGGTGGGAAGGGAGTGAGTGGTGAAGACATTTGCAGCATGTAGCAGGTGAGGCAGAAGCGCCTGTGCTGGAGGGGACCCCGGCCCAGGAGGTGTTGATACCAACTCTGAGCAGGCTTTTGTTTGAGAAATAAAAGCATCACTTTCTGTATGGAAGTTACATTTTTAAAAGAGTTAAAAGGGCCAAATACACACACACCTATGTCATTAATTCAGCATTTAACCCAGTGCTGGGTATATAGCAGGTATTTGCTGTGTCTCAGAAGCCATAAACACTAAAATACCAAAACAGTGAAACAGCCCCTTTTCTACAATGAAACTCTTAGAACCAATAGTTAGATACTCTCTTGCTGTATTTTGTTGTAAACTTTTTTTAAAGGAACTTCTTATTCTTATGTGAATGTTCCAGAGAATTTTATCATATTCTCTATCATTCCATCCAAGTTTGCTAATCAAGAGAGGTTCAGAAACCTCTATTAGGTACAGTTATATGTAGAGTAGAAAAAAGGCTGGATCTTGGAAAATCAAAGAGCACACGCTCCCTTGGATGTTTTATACTAGCAAAAAGAAGGGTATTCTGTAAATCTCACTGTGCATAAAGCCCTAATTTTCTTTTTCCAACTCTGATAATGGCTGGTAGTTCCAGTAGACATTTAAAATTTTGCACTGATAATTTTTATGTCATCAAACTATTTCAATGATGAACATTTTAAAAGCATAAATTTAGCTACCCTCCATGTTAGCATAAGCAAGAAGAATAAAAAGATGTAATTATTGCTCTCCAAGTATTTCTGATCGCAGTGTTCAGATATTCTGTCGGAAGGGACAGCTATCCATTTAGTCTTTCTTATGGCGCTGGAATTTTTATACTCCAGCTTCAGTGACTTGAGTTCCTTCTGGTGCCATAAAAGCCTGTGGACTGTCGCAGACACGGGCCAGACCAGGAAAGCCCTGTGGGCACCCGCAGGACCCTGACCACACGCTTAGATTCCTCGTCACGGGAGGGTTATCGCAGGGCCCAAAGCGACCTTGTCCGTGCTCCGACTCAGACAAGGGGTGTGTCAGCCCCAGGGGGCTTATCATCACACTGCCTGCGGAGGGACAGGGGAAGACAGGGGGCTAGACCAGAGCTCGTGGAGGAGGTGGAAAGAGCTGGGCCTTAGAGAGCTTTGTTCTTCTGAGACACGTGAAGAAAACACAAACAGCAACATAGAAAACAAGACAAACATGAGCCGAAAGCTGGAAGTTGGACCGCATTTAACATTGCTGAGCAGCCGTCTCCCCACTTCAGGATGCCTTTCGGTCTAGATCTTTTCTGAGTTCAACCCTCTCTGTGATGGTAATGGGTGGGTTATTGCAGTTCTCCCAATGGAAAACCCATTTGCTACTTTCAATTTTTATGGGCTTCTCCTGTTTCCCAAGAGAATACACTGGATAATTCTATAACTCAGAAAAAATAGCATTGAGTTCCATCTTACCCAATCAAACACTGTGAACAAGTTTGTTACGTCTCTGGGCCTTAGTTGTCTGTGAAAAAAGTGGGTATTTCTAAGAATTAAGTGCTCATCTAATTGTGACATTGGAGAAATCCAGTTCAACATTTATCGTGATTGGTAATGTTCTTTATCAATTGATGCTAAAACTATTTAAAGCTTCATTCTAGTATTAGCATGAATCCTTGTATTCAGTACTTTTAAAAGCATCTTGAAACAGGATTGTTTCTGAAAAATCAAAACAAAATAATTGAATTCCAAAGGCTTGTTTTAAAGGCCCAGTGAATTTTCAAAGCTCATAGGGCACATAGCTTTTTAAATCAGTACTTCGCTAAGTGATGCAAATGCCCATTGATTTTAAGCTTCTAGGAAGGAGGAAGTAGCAAATAGCAAGCCTCCAATAAAATATATTGAATTAAGCTTTTAGGCAGCCTTTTCATATTCCTTTAAACAGCTGTTATTATTGACCTACTGTGTGTTAGATGTTTTGTATGTGTCATCTTAGCATATTCCAATAATTATAGTGGCTAGAGCAGCAACAAATAATAATAAAAGTAAAAGAGGAGGAAAAGGAGAGGAGGAGATTCTGATCATTGATTATCTACTATGTCTCAGGCACCCTCTGAGGGCTTAAATGCTTTGCATATTTAATTCTCACAGAACCTTTGAACTACATATACTTCTGTCTTCTCTTTTTACAGATAGGGTAAGAGAGCCTTTAAGAAGTTGATTTGCTAAAGCCATTGAGCGTGTAAATGAGAACCTTGGAATATAAGTAGGAGTCTTTTGATTCCAAGTCTGTTGTTATTTCCATTTCACCAATTGTTTTAGATGAATGCTTGTTGGGTGAATTCGCATTCTCCAACAGACAATCCAGAGTAATTATTTTCATTTTTATTATTTGTGTCAGCTGAGTGAATGTCTTCCATATAAAGTGGGTCGTGGACAGTAAATAATATTGCTCAAGGAAGTTCTCAGAAAGTAAAGTCTTGCTTAGATGAGGTTTCAGTAAATACAGCTTTTTTTCGTCTTTTCTTTAGGAAACATGCAATGAATATCGGGCATTGATGAAAAATGGAAAATTGTTCTGTTCCCAAGATAAAAAACTTTCTCAAAGCCCTGATGGAATAATGTTCATCAACAAATGTGCCACATGCAAAATGATATTGTGAGTAAATAAAATTCTTTCTTTCAAGTGTTCGAGTTACCAGCTATTCTCTAAACTAGAAAATGCATTCTTTTTTATTTTCTGTCAAATATATTTTCTCTGTCTAAATGGTTAAATAAAGATGCTCAGCAGATCACTCTGACCCCTCTCATTAGGTAGAGTTGGATAAGTGCACCTCACCTGGAAAGATTTTAATAATCCCTCAAGTAGTATTCCCAAACATCCCGGAGGGCCCACGGTTAATCAATACCTTATATAGGCACTTAGTAGTAGTATGTAGTTCCAATTTGAGTTTCCTGACTGGAAAAAAAGAATTCTTGGGCGTATTAAGACCTGATTCTATTGTACCATGGAGACTAAGTAAAGTGTCTAGGGGACGAGGCCAAACTCTCCCTGCGGCAGCCAACCAGTAGAAGGATTCAAGCAGTATACGTCTGACTTTGTGAGCTGCTAATGTCTCCAGACGTCTAGGATTATGCTGGGGTGAAATGGACTAAAGAGTTGATTAGCTTCCATCTACCTGCAACTCAGGAAAAATTAGTATTCTGGAAGTTTACCAGCATCCCAGCAATGCTTTTTAACTTGATACCTTCTCTCCAATGATGCCTCATAAATGGCAGACTTGAGTTATCAATAGTAAATCCAAGTGTCCTACTTTGTTTTTGAACAGGGAAGTCATCCTTGATTTCTGACCACCATCAAAACTTCAACACTGGTACCAAGCCAATACTAAGCTACCCATTTAAGATAATTATTTTAGAATAAGCTTTTTAAATGCCAAGTTGTTATGTGTCAGAGGATTTAATCTGACATAGTCAATAAATGGGGATAATGAAGCTCTGATCACATGCATTGCTTCTAGCGAAGAAACTGTGGGAAGATAAAGAAAGCAGGGCGAGATCTCAGGCAGGGGGTGGCCCTGGGTAGCTGAGCAGTCCTTTCTTATCCTCCTGAAAGCCAAATGTAAACCAGTCCATATCTTATTTGCTATAAAGTTTATTTTTCGTTACATAAGATGTTTCAATAGGAGACCTAAGTTATGAATGTAATAAATTTACTAAAAAAAACTTTGAAGCAAAAATAAAATGCCTTAAGACACACAGCAGTTTGTTTATCACTTTGAAGTCACTCACTCGATTATTCTTTTTATTACCTATGTGGATTATTTTGGAATAAACTTGGCTTCTTAACCTGGAAAAGGGACTGTATGAGGCACAAAAGCTATGCTCAGCTGCTGAGTTTGCTGTGTGGGACCCTGCAGGTCACAACCAGGACCGAAACAGGAGGGTGGATTCCTGCTCAGTGTGGATCGGGTCTTTCCCAGAGAGCGTCCCAGCCATGGCGCAGGTGGCCCACAGCGTCGGCGGCCACCTGGATGTTGATGATATTTAGGTGGCGGGGATAGTCTGTTGTGTTGTTGAAGGTGGAGACTCTTACCTTCCGTGAGCACCACGTCTGAGACATTTCTCAGCACTGAGGAGAGATCTGTGGGGTCTGTGCTTGCTTCTGGATATGCCATCAAAATTAAGTTTACCATGTTTTTCCAGGGAAAAAGAAGCAAAATCCCAGAAAAGGGCCAGGCATTTAACAGGAGCCCCCAGGGCCACTGCCCTGGCAAAGGTGAGACCATTTGGAGTCAGCTTGTCATATTTGCTTTTGAGATTATGATTGACTCTGTTTAGAACCCTCTGTTTATTTCCTAATTACTAGGTCATACCTGTTGTGAAGCCAGCTACTTAGAAGGGAGGGAATGTGGCTTAGAAGGGTGGGCTAAATATCTGGTACGGCTTGTCGGTAGGCCCAGCCCGTGACCCACCTTGCCGAAAGCATGTGGGTGCTGACAGACGCTGAGAGGCGGAGTGGCCCGGGTGGGGTCCGCCTGCCTGGGCCGCTTCTCATTCTTCCCGAGACGTCTAGGCTTCAACAAGAGCCTTCGTGGGGCTGTAGAACTGAGTGTGAATCTCCGAGCACTCATTTATTGTCTATGTCACCTGAACAATTTATGTATCTCTGGGTCTCATTTTTTTTTTAATCTGTGAAATGGAATATGGATCAAATGGGAGACTGAATTTGAAAGGCCAGCTTCAGTGTTTATCACGTGCTGGCAGGCATTTGCCTCATTTTATTTCCTTTTTCTTTTCCTCTTTTACCTCTTATTGCGTATCTTTCCAGTACCTGGAGCATTTCCCCTCATTCAACTAGTGTTGCTTGTTTCTATTTTGAAGATGGGGATTCAGACTATTATCTATTTGAAAAAAGTGTTCTGGGGTTAAAAAAAAAAAATTAAGAATTAAAAAGAAAGAAACTACACAGATGCAAACCAGCACACACCATTTCACTTTTTAACTTTTTTCATTTTATGCAAAAATGTTTAATTTATGCAAAATAATAAAAATTCTAGCCCAGATTGGGATAGATTTCTGGACTACAATGTGTCACAGTAAATTGCTGACCCAGCTGGGGCTACGGCCCGGTGACCCGACGGCCGCTGACACCCCTCCAGGCCTCCTGTGTGGCCACTTCTCCTGTATCTTCTTTCTCTCCCTCCTGTCCTATGCCCAACACGTGACTAAATGACCAGTCAGGGCAGGCACACCCGGATCACCCTAACAGCCCTGGTCTAGCCAAGCTGCCATCTTCCTTGTCCGTGTTCCCAGGAATGTCTAAGAAGCTCAGGCTCCACAGTAAATCTAGTTAACCAAATTCTTTAACTAAATTCAACCAGTCTCACTTTTAAACTAGCAGCACAGTCATCACCCCATTGGCCAGTCACCGCAAATCCTTCGCCCAAGCACAAGGAGCTGCTTCTGTGCCCTACAAACCTAAGGCACAAAGATTTACTGGCGACTTTCAATTCTTCCCTTACTTGTCCTACTTAGAAGTTCCTTCTGTAAGATCTGTTTTCCACCTCCTCCTTTTCTTTCATGAAAAACTAATACATTGATGGTGTTTAAAATATAAAATAAAAGCAACAAAAAAGAATACACACACACACACACACACACACCCAATCCTAACAAACCCGTTATTTAAAAAGTATTACTAGTTAGATGTTTTCACATGTAGATGCACATTACAGAATTTTAATCAAATAGGATTTTTAGAAATAAAATTAAAGAATTTTAAGAGATTGTATATCTGTTAACATGTTATGCTTGAGTTGTAATGTTCACTTCTAGGTAAATTTCTTACAATTACATGCTTTGCTACTTAGAAAACTCCCTATTTATGAATTAAGGCAGTTAATATTTGGTTGTGTGCCTTTTAGGTAATTTCTGTCTAGATTTTTGCTTGTCTGTGTTTGAAAGGATTCATGTAATTACACTATGTTTCCATTGTTGTTTTTCTCTCCACTATAAAAGAGAAAAAACTACCCCCTTTCTCTGCCTAAATTCCTCCCATTAAGAATCAACCCTGACTCTCATTCTCAGAATAAGGTGCTTGTTCCGCCTGTTTTCCTCCTGCAGACGCCCTCTCTTCTCTTGCATAATCAATTTCTTTGTCACTAGTATGTCATTCTTTCACCTTCCAACTCTAACATCCAATCAACTAACAAGTCTTATTGGTATTGCCTTCAAAGTATATTCTAAATTTGACTCCTTTTCATCATCTCCATTTCTACCACCCAGTCCACTCTTCATAGTTTATAATCGCTAACATATTTGGTCTATGTAGAGGACTTTTGTTTTTTAATCAATTGATTGATTGATTAACTGTTTGTCATCGAGTTAGGTTGCCAGCTTTGTAGGATATTAAGTTGCCATGTGTGTCTACGTGTGTTTCTGTGTTTCCTACTCTGCTCAGATTAGTTCATTGCTTTAACAAGTGAAAAGGCAGAGCCTCTTCTTAGCTCACCTTTGTCCAAGTTGACTTACCTATACCTAGATACGTATTTTTCCATGTATTTATTAAAAATGAAAAGCTTACTGAGTTTATGAAAAACTCAACTGGTAACTTGGGAAAAACCCCAATGTCATTGGGGATAAAAGAATTATAAATTAATTTGGGTAAAATTGACTTTTTATAATATTCACTTTCCCAACTCAAGAGCACAGAATACCTTATTGTTCACAAAAGTTCTGTTTATGAAATCTGTATTTTTATAGAGGTTTTTATGATATTTGCTAATACCTAGAAATTTTTTATTTTAATACTATTTTGATTGTTGTTTTGTTTTTTATGGTATGTCTATCTGGCTATTTTTGGTATAGACAAATTCTATTTATTTCTACAAATTGATATATTTTGTTGTTTCTGATAATAATTTATCTGCTAATTCTATTGCTTTTCTCTTCTTGGTAGTTGATCACATCATCTATATATACAATAGGAAAAAGCAGTTTTGTAACTTCCCTTTCAATCTTTCCAGTCCTTTATTATTATTTTTTCTTTCTTTATATTGTTGACCAGGATCTATAGTTCAGTAGTTCAGCAGTAGCAATGACAGTTCAAGCTGTCTCCTATCCCCCTGTATTAAAGGAACTTCATCCAAAGTTTCTCCATTAAATATATTTACTGTATGATTTTTCTATAAATTTTAGTAAGTGCAGGAAGCCTTTCTGTTCTTAATCTTCTGAATATATTTGATCATTATCAAATGCCTTTTCCACATCTATGGAAATAATTTGCTAATTTTTCTCTTTTAGACTATTAATGTAATACATTTCTTGATAAATTTGCTAATGTTAAGCCATTATTGCTGTCTAGGGTAAATCATACTTAACCATAGTATGTTTTTAATATACTATTGAGTTTGGTTAGTTAATATTTCATGTAGAAAATTTCAAACTTTTCATAAGTAGAGTGAGTCTCTCTTTTATCTTTTTAATTATTCTTGTCTGGTTTTGGGATCAATACCAAATAATTCTGAGGTGTGGCACGTAAAGCTGTGCTGAACAAGGAAGTCTGCAAATCCTTTCCCCAAAATGCGGCTATAAATCCAGACAGAATTGACTGAAACAATTATTATAGCACTTTGGAAATTGACCAGCATGCTATGTCAATCAGAGAAGCATTTATCCTTGAAAAACTGCTAACCCTTGAATTAGAACAATGTGAGTCTGTGCTGTTCTTGCTCAGGAATTCTCCCATTTTTACCCCTGTTGTTTTATTTGGTGTGGAGGGCCTACAGGCTGTGAGAGGCAGCAACTGCATTGCCTTTGTTGAAAGGCGCTTACCTAATTTGGAGTAGTAGGCAAAAATCATATCTGATAGGTTTTGGGTGGAAGATATGTCCTCCACTAAGAGTAAGGAGGTGGCCTGAGGTTGTAGCATGGTTGGGTTAAGCATATTTCTGTCTGAGTCATAGCACATGGGCAGCAGACACCAAAGAAGGACCCAGAAATTCACAAAATCCTGGCCAACCATAAAGCTGTGTACAAGCATAAATTATGTCCCATTACTGGTCAATCATAAGTTTTACAGATATGGGAGAAAGAAAACCTAGAGAGCCAGGCTTGAAAAACAAATAAACAAACATTTTCTTAGCAGACACATCAATAGCTGCACACTATGGGAGAACAAAAAATCAGAGATTTAGTCCAGCCAAACATATAAACAATAAAATAGCAAAAATAATCTCATAATCCTGAGTCGCTATAATATGTTATTCAAAATATCCAGCATTTAACAAAAATTATGGAATATGCAAAGTAACTAGAATGTGTGACCCATGTTCAGGGAAAAAAAGAGTAAATGAAACCTGTTTGTCCCTAGATATTAGATTTGGCAGACAAAGGCATGAAGTGACTGTTTAAAAAGTGTACAAATACTAAAGAAAACCATATTTGAAAAACTAAAGGAAAGTGTAACAACAATGAATAGATTTTTAGCAAAAAGATATATATATATATGTATCTCTTTCTATTTGAGTATTAAAAAGACACACTAGACATTTTTAACCCAAAATAAGGCAATAGTGGAAGAACAGAGAAGTAAAAAAGGACAAGAACATGTTGAAAACAGAAACATGACAAAAATAAATACAATCATATCAGTAATTATATTAAATGTAAATGATTTAAATATCCCAGTTAAAAGGCAAAGATTGTTATATGATTAAAAATGCAATATAAACTGTCTCTACTGGATGCCAAATATAACCCATGCCAAGTATAACCGTGAGACCAGAATTTACTATATTACTATCTGAAAAAATAGACATTAATAAAAATAATATTAGAGAAAATAGGGCACTTCATAATTTTAGAAGCATTAATGTTATCACGGCATATAACAATTATAAATGTAGATGCACCTAACAGCAGAAGCACAATGTATGAAACAAAATATTCTATAATTAAAAGAAGAAAGATCAGTCAACAATAATAGTCAGAAATTTTATTACTCTACTTTAAAAACTGATAGAACAGTGAGACAAAATATCGTCAAAGATACAGAATACTTGAACAGCACTATCAACTAATTCAACATAAACTGAAATATAGAGAATGCTCCCCCAGTTACTGCAGAAAGTACATTCTTTTCAAGCAACAGTGGAACATCCTTCAAGATATACTATATATTAGGATGTAAAATATATCTCAATTAATTTAAAGGAATTAAAATCATGCAAAGTATGTTTTCTGACTACAGCAGAATTGAATATAAAACCAATAGGAGAATGAAATTCTGAAAATCCCCAAATATTTGAACATTAGGAAACATAAATAACTGAAGGACCAAAGAAACAATCATGAAAAAAATGAAAACATAATTTGAACTGAATAAAAACAAAAGCACAACAAATCAAGACATGGGTTTAGGTAAAGCAGTGTATAGAGCTTTAAATGCCTAAATCAGAAAAGAAGGTCACAAATTAACTATCTAAACTTCCACATTAAGAAACTTAGAAAAAGAAGAGCAAACTAAACCCCAGGGAAGAAGAAGAAAGGATAAAATAAAGATTAGAGCAGAAATCAATAAAGTACAAAACATAAAAACAATAGAAATAATTAATGAAACCAAAATAAAATATCAACAAAGCTGACAAAAATTGAATAAGGAAAAAAGTGATAAACTGATCTAGGAAAAAGAGAAGACAGAAATTACCAAAACCAGCAGTAAAATATCAGTATCTCCATAGTCAAAATATCAACATATTCAATAAAATATCAATACATATCAGTAAAATATCAATATATATCTTAGAGAAATTATAAGGATTGTAATGGAATATTATGAACAAATTTATTCCAAAGAAGTAGACAACTGAGATGAAATGGATAAATTCCCAGAAAGAAATGAATTAACAAAAACTGACTCAAGAATTAGAAAATCAAAATAGACCCATAGCAAGGAAAGATTTAATGTATAATTAAATCAACAAAAAGCTCAATTCCAAATGATTTCACTGGTGCTTTCCTCCAAATACTGAAAAAAGAAATAATACTAATCTTTTATAGACTTATTCAGGAAATACGGGAGGAGGTACACTTAACAGTTCATTCTATGAAGCCAGTATTATTCTGATATGAAATCCAAAGGAAGATATCACAAGTACAGTAAACTACTGACAAATACCTATCATAAAACTATTCTAGGAATGCAAGGTTGGTTTAACAACCATATATATAATACACCGCATTGATAGAATAAAGCATAAAACTACATGATCACTTCAATAGATGCAGCAAGGCATTTAGAGAAGTCTAACACTCATTCAAGAGTAGAAACACACACACATTAAAACGTCAACAGACATAAACTTTTTCAGCAGATAAAGGGAATCTATGAAAAACCTACAGCTAACATCATTCTTAATGGTTAGAGAAGGAATACTTTGGCTTCAGACTGACAGGAAAGCAAAGATATTTAGGCTCACCACTTCTGTTAAACACACCACTTCAATTCAACATTGCACTGGATAGTCTAGGCAATAACTATAAGGCAAAATATCTTAAGTAAGTGTCCTGTTTGGAAAGGAAGCAACTGTCTTTAATTGCAGGGACATGATACTACACACAAAAAATCCTAAGGATATACAAAAAGAAAAATTACTAGAGTAACTGAGGTTGCCTTTGATATATCAGTTTCTGAGAGGTGTGTGCTAAAACTTCTAACCCTAATCTTTGATTTGTCTGATTCTATCGCATTCTGTCGGTTGTTGTTCAGCATAGTTAGAGCCTGAGTTATTAGGGGCATGGGTGCCCATGAATATTATACCTTCTCGTGCTCTTCTTTCTTTTACTTTGTATGATGTCCTTTGTTACTTATGATGCATTTTGGGCCGAATTTTATATTTTATGTATTAATACTGTGACTTCTGTTCTCTCTCTTCTTACTCATTCTTGCCCTGTATCTTTTATTATCCTACTGTTTTAATATTTTGTATTTTTTAATTTTAATTTTCCTCTTATGATCAAGTTGGTTTGATCCTAATTTTTTTTAATTAACCACAAATTGTCTTTTAAATTGTGGATTTAGCCTATTTACTTTTTTTTGCTTGTTTTTTCTCTTATGCTAGAATTTGGTTCTCCCAATTTTTCATATTTTTAGTTACCAGCTATGTTTAAAAATTATTTTATAAGTAGTTTCTCCTTCCATCTTTTCCTTGATGATAATTTGAATGCATCATATCTATTTTTGTTCTTATGATATCCTTAACCAAATATCCATATTTATAATTATTTATCACTATTGCTGTGTGTGTGTTTATTTTTAATATCTGTATCTTCCCCTCTAACATATATTAGGCCATTCTCAATTCATTTTGTTAAAATTCCTTAAACCTCCACAATTTTGTTACTGACCATATTTTAGTTTTGAATTGCTATGGCTATTTCTCTCTGTTCTCTCATTTTTCGTTAATTCTGGAAAGGGTCTCTATTTCTTAAAATATTCTTTCTTTATGCATTTGCCTCTTTCTGGGGACTTCTAATTCTATTCTTTATGATCTTTAGATTGTATTTTCTATTTTAAATTCTTTTTCCATTATCACTGTCTTGTCTGAGAGTTTCTTGATCTGCCCTTCTGGTCACACATTCACTGTGTATTTGTACCTATCCTACTTTTATTCTTTATATTGTTTTCTTTATTACTGTTTAAATATTTCCCACATCTAAAACCTCCATTATAAGCTATTTTTTCTTACTTTATGTTGCAAGTATTTTCTCTTATCTCTCTACTGTATAGCTACACTCTTGGTAAGTTTTTTTCCTACACATTCCAGTAATTCTGTTTTAATTGATACTGCACATTGCTCATAATACTGCATTTCTTTTATGATGTCTTGCTCCTCAGATATACAGATTTTTTTTTTCTATAAGATTCCATAATGGCTTTAGTTATTTTTTCTGGTAGAGTGAGTTAGGTGATGTTTAAGGCCAAGGTCAGTTTCCTCCTCTCCGGGTGAAGGTAAGGATGGGAAAAGGCGAAGAGCCCAGAGCCGAAGGTTCTGAACCCGGTGCTGCCCTCCCCAGTCGCCTGCCACCCCTCCTAGCTGGGGACCCATCTGCAAGGCCCTCAGAGGTCGCTGACATCAGGAGGCGGTGCTCTCTGAAGGTCGGGACCCGCCAGCCCCTGGGGTCTGGAGGAGGGGAGGCGTGGTGAATGCACCTGCTCTCGCCGCCTCCACCTGCCGGCACTGTGACCTGGATGCTGTTGCTGACTGGGCTGGTGAGGGGGTAGCGTGACTGTCCCGGGTTGCTTAGATGAACCCTGATTCCCCCCGTGCTTCTGTACCTTCTCCAGAAATCACCCTTGAGAGAAAACCAGCAGCTCTCCTGCTTTTTTCTTGGGCTCCAGCGCTTCTCCTCTTTCTGCCCCTTAAACACGTACTCGTGTCCCTATCACAATTCCTCGGCGACTGTGGTTCTCTGGGCATCGATGCTCTTCCCTCGGATCTTTACAGGCTGGCTCCTCCTCATTGATTTATCTCACCTAAAATATTACCTTTGCAGAGAGATCTTTTTTGATGCCTTATTTAAAATGGCCACCATTCTAGGTACTATTATATTGTTCTGTTTTATTTTCATAGCACTTAATATAATTTAAACTTAATGGTATACATGGTGTGTCTCTTCCCATCAGGATGTAAATTCCTTATGGCACATTTTCGATTTCCCTTCTTTGCTGTGAAAGTGTCACAGTCCAGTGAATGCCTTGAGCCTAGTACGTGTAATGGATATTGAGGAACAGATGAACGACTGAGTGAATAACACATATAAGCCTTTATTTATCCTGTTTTCACACTATTTTAAATTTCATATTAAATGTCTGACACGAATAGTGGGGTATTCTCTGTAGCTTTTCTTTTCTATTTCAAATTCTTTTCCTTTTGTCTGCAGGGAGATCTCAATGGAATCTTCTGGTTCATAAATTCTTTATCTGCCGGCATCCATCTACTTTATTCTTTATATTGTGTGACATACTCAATCACAGGTCTAAATTCTAAATTTTCCATAATTATAATAAGAAGTTTTTTTATGACAACTATAACATCAAATTATTACAATGTGATTTTAAAGGATCTAATTTTTTTTCTTTTGGTTTTAGATAGAAATTAAATTCAAGTTAACTGTCTCTCCTTTATCTAGCTTGTGTCACAACAATGAGTTACTAAATGTTTCATAAATATTCATTTGATCCTTGTCACAAATCTGTAATGTGGGTAGGGTGTGAATTCCCATTTCTCAGATGAGTAAAGTGAGGTTCCACGAGGTGAGCTGAGTGGGTGGCAGGTCTGATGTTCAGATGCTAGTCTTCCCTTATTACCTAGTGCAGGTGATTTTTCTTACCCAGCAGGTTTGTCCCTGAGTGTCTGTCATATTATTAGAGCAGAAATGGGGCATTCAGCTAAAATAACAACAATAACTACAATAAATCTTATAATGTGCTAGGCTCTGTTCTAAGTTTTATACATGTATTAATACATTGAAATTTCTTTACAATACTGAGGCTAGCAATATATACATTTTACACATGAGGACACTAACACACAGGGGGTTATGTAACTTTCCCAAATGACACAGTAGGTGGCAGAGTTACAATTATGAGCCCAGCAATCAGATTCTTGATCACCATCCTAATCTGTAATAATAGAAACTTTATTGCAGTTTATAGTTTGCAGAGAGCTTTCATACCCATTATCTACTGGGCCTCATTACCAGCCGGTAGAGACGGAAGGATTTGATAGGCAAACAGTGCATGAGTCTCACAGAGGTGCCTTGGCCCACCTCACCCACACAGCAAGTGGTCAAAATCAGACTGAAATCCTTTCTCCTGAAATCGAATTACAGTTCTCTTCTCGAGCCATGTCTTGTTACCCATGATTTTATCAGCTCATTATGCTGTCTTTAATATGTTTCCCTGCTCCAGCGAGTTATATTGTGGGCTTAAACCATTAACCTATTTATATATCTAAGGAATATTTTCTCTCTTACATTTTAATGTTCCTTGATCATGTCTCTTGCAGTTGAATTGCGATGATTTCAGGAAAGGAGAAAGAGATGGGGATTTTATCTGTACCCTTGATAATACAGCTGTTTGTGGCACAGATGGGAAAACGTACAGCAATAAGTGTGTGCTGTGTGCTGAGAACGCGTGAGTATTCTCTGAAGCAAGCTTTCTCCCTGAAGTGTGTTCTCTATACGATTACATGACGTATGTCTTTCTTATAGCCTTTAAGATAAGGATCCTTTCTGTGTGAGTTAACCACCCGTATATTATTAGGACCACTTATTTTATTGCTCTTAAGGAAAAAAATATGTATCTAATGTAACACCTTATTTTTATAACTGCACAAACACTTCTGTGTGCAGTTTATCCGATGGTTATCACTGTCTCTGTGAAGACAGACATCTGATACATGTAAATATATGCATACAATTACATACACATGAATATATGTACATACATACAGATGCACACATCTATCTGGGAGTACGCCCTTTTCACAGAGAATTATTTAAACATCAAATATTTATTCACTAAGTGCTCAGCAATTTATTATACTAGAGCAGGTTGAGATTTTTAATTTTGAACTTCTTTTCACGTATTCAACCTTCACTGCATAGCTAAAGCATCTCATTGTCCTATATTTTGTTGTCATCTGATTCTTTTCTACCCTCCATGCTACGTTTGGCTATTAACTCTCCTCAACCAACCAGAAGGCGCACCTCCTTTGCAGGTTCTGACTTGCGACCTCACTCTTGAATTGTCTGCTTTTCAGTTTTTGCAAATACACCCACCAATGTTTGAGAAGTCTTGTAAGGGAAATGATAAGTACTCAGTCTTCAAGATTCTGCAAGCTTTATTCCTCCTTGTGATAAGTATGCCAAAACACAACTGAATTAAATCACTTTTATACCTCATGTTATTGCATTTTCAGAAGTACACTCCGAAATTATGCCTCCAACTCTTACCAGGGGTCAACATAAAGAAACAGAAAACAAAACCAGACATAGGGAGACCATACAGGCCTTCGTTAGATGAGTATTCTGTGACGCTGCCAAGAGCCTTCTGCACCCAGTTACTGCTGGCTCTTAGGTGGGGGTCCTGTGGTGGCTTCTTTAAATTCCTGGATCAGGTGGAAGGCTCTGTGCCCTAATTGCGGATCTGCTTTAGTAACACCGCTCACGGGGTTTCCTCCTTAGCCGCGCCTGCTAGAAGGCTCCGCTGCGGTCCGGCTTGTTTGTTTCCTTCAGCTGGTATCTTTTCTCTTATCATTTTTAACGACCTCATTTTTCTTCAGATTGTTTTTATTGTGTTGTTTCATGGATGCTATAGTGTTAAGCTGCCTTATGTTTTTACAAGGTGGGAAGTGTATCTTACATTTGTGTTTCTGTGCTTTCAGATATGCTTTAAAGCTCTACTAGAAGGGGAAAAAAATGAATTCTTAGGACTTTATGTACTTTCCATGAAAAATAAAATATTAATCAGCATCAATAAAGAGTAGTATGATAGGATGCTAGGTCCCGTGAACTTGAATTTGTTTATTTACAATGACAATCAACAACAGCACAATCACTTGGGGTCATCTGACACCTGGTTACAAGCCACACTTTCTCCCATTCTTCTGATATGCATCCTCTCTGGACACAGGAAAAAAAATCTGGGAGTAGCATTTACAGGTCTTAAGCCCTCCAGTGTGATTCTATTTCTTGGACTCTGAGTTCTGAGCATTGGAAAGGGCGGTGACGAAAAGAACACGGTGCGGTGCCTGTTTTCAGGAGCTAAGGAAAATCACACACAGTGAAGATAAGTTGCTTTTGAATGGTGAGAAGTTCTGTGATATTAACGGCTGTGTCTACTAACTTCCAATTCCAGTAAAACCAGGTCCCAAGTTGGCATCAGAAGCGAAGGGGAATGTGAGGGCAGTCGTCCAGAGCAGGTGAGGACAGACGTCAGCGTGGGGAGAACGCTGGGGGGCTGACTTTGAAGAGAAAGAAGATGGTTTCCCCTCCCTTCTTCGGCGCGGTGTTTGGGGAGAAGTAGTTCGGGCTCTGCTTCAAACGGAGCGCTGCCGGTTTAGGTGCAAAGCGACCCAGAGTTCATGGGATTTAAGCATGTTACGTTGTTCATAGACCTTTCAGCTCTTATTTCTGCTTTCTATGAAAAAAAATGCAAAGAAGGAATAAAGGAACGAAGGAAGGAAGGAACGAAGGAAGGAGAGGATAAGTTGATTATGTTAGTTACTAATGAAAAAAAATGCAAAGAGGGAAGGAAGGAGGGAGGGAGGGAAAGAAAGGAAACTTCATGGGCAACAGAAAGGGCTGCACTTCAGCCGCTTCGCCCAGGTCGGAACCCCAGCAGTGCCACTTGCTGTCAGGAGATCTTGGGCAAATTACTTAAACCTACTTCATCAGTGTTTCCATGTCTAAGAATGATATTCAGACTAAATAGCTTCTTTCTGTGTTAAAATTCTGTGAGCCTGTTTCGGTAGGGAAAGGAAATGTCTCACACCTGTCACATTTTCTGGCTCCGTGACTCTCCTGAATCAGGGTCTGGTGCCCTTCCTATGTGCTCTTAGCACCTGTGGCTCCTCCACCAAGACATTTAACACAACATATTTTTAATATCTGGCGCTCCTCTGGGTGGTCAGCATGCATTGGGCAGAGAGGCACTGAGTTCTATAAAATCTCAGAAAACAATCGCTGCACTATTTGCAAAAGCCAAGACATGGAAGCAACCTAAGTGTCCGTCAGTAGATGAATGATAAAAAAGATGCAGCACATATACACAATGGAATATTATTCAGCCATAAAAAGAAAAGAAACCCTACCATTTACAACAACATGGTTGGAGCTAGAGGGTATTATGCTCAGGAAAATAAGCCAGGTAGAGAAAGACAAATACCATATGATTTCACTTATTTGTGGAGTATAAAAACAAAGCAAAATAGAAGGAACAAGCCAGCAGTGGACTCATAGACACTGAGAAGTGACTGGTGGTTACTAAGGAGGAGGGGCTGGGGCGGGCGCGTGGGGGAAGGTGGAGGGGATACAGAGGCACAATAATTCACGATCACAATGTGAGCTGGGGAAGGCAGTACAGCCTGGAGAATACAGTCAATGATTCTGTACCATCTTCCTACATTGATAGTAACCCCGGTGGAGAGGGAGAGGATTTAATGATCCGGGTAACTGTTGAACCACTGTGTTGTATATTTGAAGCCAACCTAAGATTGTGTATCAGTGGCACTTTAATAAAAAAAAAGATTGTGCAATAAAAAATTTTTCAGAAAACGGTGTTGTAAGCATTCCAGTCGGGATAGTGAATGTCAAGGTCCTTTCCCTGTTCTCCAGGACGAATGCAGTGCTTTTCGCCCTTATGTGAGCCATGGAAGGCTTGGCTGCACAAGAGAAAACGATCCAGTCCTCGGTCCGGACGGGAGGATGCATGGCAACAAATGTGCCATGTGTGCCGAGCTGCTGTGAGTATCAGCGCCCCGGGCAGGCCCAGCGGGGTCCCGGCGGGCGGGCGGGCGCTTGGCTGACGTCCCGAGAGCCACTCCGGGGACAGACGGAGTCCGTCTCAGGAAGCGTGCAGCCCTTCGTCTTTGCAGGGTGGGATAGCTCTCGCTCCCAGAGAGGCTTCTTCTCTTTTTAATTCATATCATTTCCTAAAGCTTCTTAAACGGAGAGGATAAGTTGGTTATGTTAGTTACTAAATTCAAGACTCCTCATTTGTTTATTATAATGACTTGAAAATGCACAGTGTTTTATAAGGCACAGTATTTTAAAATTTAGAAAGCACTTTCGTGTGGACCGATCTAGGCCAGTCCTTGGAGAAGCACTGCTTCACTTGGGCATAAACAGACTCACCGAAAAAGACAGTACAATTTAAAATAATAATAATAACGTCCTGTGCTTGAATTCATTATTAGTATAACAGGTGGGATTTAATGAAAGGGAAGAACTGTCGAGCTTCTGAGTGCCCGATACTGCTCCGAACACTGAGGCCCAGATGTGAATACGATCTAATGAACCTTGAACATTGTGGCTGTTAAACAAGGTGTAGACTTTCTGAACTTGTATCTCAGCAAGTCTTAAAGTGCTCTGTTTACATCATTGGATCTTTCAACTCAGGACCGAGAAACATTTAACAGATTAATAAACTTCACACCTGCCTTTGAAAATTATAGCGCACGGTCCCAGAATTCAGGGGCAGGTCCTATCATGTTTACAAAACAGCGATTATAACTGGCTTCCAGACAGGAAATCAGCCTCATTTCTCAACCTCCACTTTCTTATCTAGGAGGCATGTGTTTTTAGTGTTCGCACCTGCCCTGACTCTGTGGCTTTCTATTTCTTTCTATGCACAACCGAAAAAAGAGAAGCTGACCTCCCTAATTGCTAACTTCTTCCTCTGTAGACCTAAGATAATTATGCGTGTCTCCAGTATGAGACTGCAGCGATAATACGTAGTTAGGAAAGGACTAGAAGCCTCGTTCAATGTAGCTTTTATTAATAACGAAGCTTTTACGTGAAGGCAAACAAATGCTTTGTAAAGAATAACAAGCTGTGACACGAGGGTGTGGATGGCAATACTTGAAATGCGCAGTTTGGTTTCACCATTGTCACGGCATTGTTTTAAAGCTCTCGGTTCTGCCTGTTAAAGGGACTTTTCCTGACAATCTTCTGTGTGTCAATCAAGGAGTCACACCCATCCGGTTTTACAGAACAAAGCTTCTAATTGAGTGTCTGTGAGTCAGTTTCACACCCTTCCTTATCTTTGTCAGTTTTCTGGCTCGGACATTCCAGACAGGAGGAGCCTGTCCCCTGTAGTGGATCCGTGTCACAGGGCCTGGAACAGCACGGAAGTGGACACTGATAACATGGTCGAGCCATTAGCCGACCACCTGCTTCTTTTCTTAACAGTTTGAAAGAAGCTGAAGAGACAGCCAGGCGAGAAGGAGAGACCAGAACTCGACAAGATGCTGAAAAGGTAAATAACTCACCAGCATAATTTGGTTTGTATGTCCATAAATATTAACAAACTTACACTTGAAACTTTGAGGTAATCCAATAATACCATTGTCCTTCATTAGTACATAGAATTTTTAACCTTAATTTCAAAATCCCCCAGGTTGACTCTTTTTAGTATATTAATCATTAGCTTTAAATTTGACACAGTGATTTTTCCACCTAAAATTCAAAATATGCAATTTCCCTACTTGTTAAAAAAAAAAAGAGAGAGAGAGAGTATATGTCAGAAAGTTTATGCGAATCAAACTGCTTGATTTCCACCAGACTTCTGTCTGGCTTAGTGCAAATTAATTTTGCTCTGAGTAAATTATTAACAAATGCAATATAATATAGTTTAGGAATAATCTTAAAATAATCCCAGAGTCCTTTACACAGTATATCCGTTGGTATATTTTATATATAATCCCACTGACACAAATTGGAATTATTCATGCTCTAGGTTCTGAGACTGAGCAAATCATCTCTTCTCCGTGGGTCTCACTTTTCTTGTCAATAAAATAAGAACTTGGGTAAATGAATCTAGGTTTTACTTTCCTGTCTGGAATGTGATTCTATGTGCTATTCCCTTTTGTACTAATACAACTGTACTATTTTTGTGGATTATGCATATGTTTTCCTTAAGAATTGACAACCAGTTTTTGGTTGTCCAGGGCTAACCATCCACTTCATGACGATATTCAAGAAGCATATTTCCCACCCTAAGTAAGGTATTAGAGTCTAAATAAAAAAAACATGGAGCGTTCAGAGTTGTTGATAATTTGTTCAACACACTCAACTGAGATTTGAAAGGCAATTCTTTCGTGATGGTTGTTAAATTTCAGTCTAAAGCTCTGGCTCACCGTGTGATACTCAGCAATTTGTTGCTCCGTGAACACAGAGTCCTTGTCTCTTGTCTTTCCTGATGTCTTGGCTATTTCTCCCTCTTCCTCTCTGTGGCTGGGGCCATTGTTTCGGTGGGGTCACTGAACATGATTATGGTGAGAAGGGCTGCTTTTCTAGTGGTGGCTCAATATCTGCCCTATAATTAACCTGTCAGTGAATTGCTTACCAAAGTATTTCTTCAGAATCTCCTTGGGTGAATCACAATTTATAAACTGAAACTGCCATTGTTTCTTTTATGGGAATCATTGTGCGTGATTTTATTACCATGCTGTGGCTGTCAGGTGACAGCCTTCTGGGTCCGAACTCCTAGACTGTCAACAAGCCGCAAGTTTGGAGTGCAGTCATTGCTCCTCCAAAAGCGGATGTCTTCTTACCAGGAGACACTTGGGATTCTCTTTTAAAATTATTTTAAAAATCAGAGAATACTAGATTGAGAAAAGGTCCTAAAGAACATCTATTCCCCAAACCTCACTTGTGTAGGTCGTGAGACTGAGATCTCAAAGGTGAAGGGACTTTGTAGAGGTTGAGGGACTTCCAGTGATTCAGAGGCACACCCTGGTCTTCTGATTTTCAGCCACAGTCTTTATGCTCATGTTTTCTTGGCTGAAATGGGAAGATGAAGGTCACACATTTAAAAAGAAAGATGGAAGCATTTTTAGGAAGGTCATATTATAGTAGTAATTTATGCCATCACACAATAGGTTTGTTGCCATAGTGATTCCCAATCTTGAGTAATTACAGATTCTTACAGTAATTATACATATCTCTCATCCAGTAACAGAATTTTCAAAACACAGAGGAAAAACCCACAAGTATTGAAACAAAACATCAGGAAATCTGGGTAAAAACCCATCTTGGAGTGTTTGGGGAAGTCATAACCCTTTCAGGTTCTCTAAATAAATTTTAGTTTTGATGTTCTACCCCTCTAAGGCTGGGGTGAAGGAAAATCAGATTCACTCTCTCTGAGGCTTCCTGAACATCAAGAAAGAAACAAACGTCACTGGAAGAAGCAGGGTACACAAACCATCATCCGCAGGAAAACCAATGCTGTCGGAGACCCTCTCGCCCCTTTGTCCTGCAAACGGGGCTGGGTTGTTCCTGACTTGATACGTGTTAAGTAGCGCTTAAGTATCTAGGTATCTAATCTCACAGATTCTATATTCTGCTCATTAGCAACTCTTTTCTTTTGTCTTGGCCGCTGCACTTTATTCACCATGTCCTTGTTGGAACTCTGTGAAAAATCGTTTATTTTTCAGTATCTTTTTTCATAGATTTGAAAGTTGATGAACATTATCTAGTTTTAGGAAATATTTGCTCAGTCTTACTCTTTCCAAGGCTCTTTTGCCTTTTAATAAATATATCATGTAGCAGATACAGGTACGGAATAATGTTGCAATGTAATGACTATTTCCTATTAATTCTCATTAATGTGTATATGTCTTTACCAACACCTTCCACATTTGACATATAGACTTTGACTATAAATCTCTGATGTACTTTTCCACATTAAAGAGCAGAGAAGTGCCAACTGTAATTACTTGTCTTTTTAAAGGATTTTTGCAAGGAATATGAAAACCAGTTGAGGAATGGAAAACTCCTCTGTACACGGGAAAGAGACACAGTCCACGGCCCTGATGGCAGGACGCAGGGCGACAAATGTGCCCTGTGTGCCCGGATTCTGTGAGTATAGGTGTGATTTCCTTGGGGTGATTCAAACGTGAAGTGCAGATTGTTTGGAATGATGAGTGAAAACAGTGTCGGGGTGAAGATGGGTTGCTGAGAATTTTTAGGCAGATTTCTGTCCTCTACAAATCGTAATACCACCTAGTAAGGAGAACCTGGTGACGTGTATTTCTGAGTACAAATGGATTCTGTTTTCTGGTTGAAAGACTGGATTACAAAATACTTTTTAACATTTCCTTCCATGACCTTTATAAATGTTTTTTAGGAGCCCATCATAATTCATAATGAGGGTGAAAGCAGGTACCAAACTTTGGTTGTTTTTCAGTAATTATCCCATTGTCACAGAGTAGATGGGACACCCACAAAAAATTCATGTTCATTTGTGAATTGAATTAACTTTATCTTTTTATCTTGGATAACTGACCATGGGGGAAGATAAAATCCCACAACATACAAATGACGGCATTTAGAAAGATGCCTCAGACAAGGTTTCATCACACCTTTTTCAGATCCTTGAACCTTGGAAGCTCTTTCCCCTGTGCTGTCCCTTTGCCAGATTGTCTGTCTTGGCTGGCCTCGGTCTCCTCTCTGCGGATTGCATTGCAACAATACCCTTCCTTGGATGAGATGTCCTGAAATCCCTGATTGAAATCCAATCCTTGTAATGCTTAATAATTCTATTTCACAGCAATCATCCCAGTTGGCAATTGTATAATTATTCCTATGACTACTTGTTGACTGTCAATCTTTCTTTTCTACAGGGCTATCAGTTATAAGAAGACAGCGTATGTGTTTGTTAAGCAGTTTACTCAGATTAACTGCAGATCTGTTGCACAAAGTATATATAACCTCATTTGGTTTATCAGTGTATGGAAATTATTGGCCTTTTTCCACCCACCCCACATTTTGTCTTTGGATAACACAGCCATGAGTAAGCAATACATTTAGGTTGAACTGGTAAAGCTAGGGTGTTCACGATGAGGCAGATATATACAGACTTGAGGGGAGAGACCTTGGTTAGTTGCAGTCATGTGCTGAGAGTGTAGCCAGCGCCCTTCCGGCCGGCCGCATCTCCTCTCTGAGAAACAAGGGGACCAGTGGCTATATATGCCTCTTAAGGCACATTCCGCCTCCACATGTAATGTCGCCAGGTGCTAGTTTTGGCATCTCCTTGGTAGATGTTGATGGTGCTTTTCTGACCTCAGGCAAGAAAGGTAATTTATAGAAGGCAAATTTTCTGGATCCACAATCACTATTTTTCTTTTAATGCTAAGCACAAACTGTGAAGAAGTTATGGTCTCACCCTCCAGGAGGCTGCTGTGTGGTTTCTCATTGGCATGCAGCGATAAAAGGGCAAAGCTCCTCCTCCTAAGGAGGGGGACAGATTAGCAACGCAGGAAGGCGTAGAAATCTGCCTGGATTTGGTCCTAAGGATCCTTCCCCTTTTCGTCCTTATTCAGACGAGCAGAAGCTGAAGAAAAGAAAAAGGCTGAAGCAGGAGCAAGAAGTAAAAGAGAACCTGGAAAAAGGCCGTCGTACGCAGTGAGTAGACTCCTCCTGGCACTCTGATGTGAACGCACTTCAAAGAGCCCGCAGGCTGGGTATTGCCCTGCAGAGACCCCCAGAGAACCCTGGTCTGGGGGCAGCCTCGATGAATTTCGTGACAGCTTGATCAGCTCTTGATGCTTGGGAGCCTGCACAGCAAAAATAAGTGATTCAGAGTCTGGAAAGCTGAGCTCCAGCCCCGGTCTCAGCACTTGCAGCCTGTGCTAGCTTCTGCTGACCGTGTCCCAGAGACTTTACGTGTGTATTTTCTATATATGAACGTTTGAAGTTTCGCATCTGAGTTGGGATAAAAATAGCTTGTATCCACAGGAAAAAAAGGCATGATTTTTGCCACTGAAATGTTACAGTATTCGTTTCCGTGGCCTTATATAAGTCGTTACCATCTGTGTTCAGATGATGAAAGTCACCTAATTTCCCCTCTACGTTCTGTTCTTACCTCTCCGATTATCCTCCCCAACACACTCAGAGGAAAATTTCAAAAGTTTCATCAGGTCACAGTGTTGCCCTGCTTAAAACCCATCAAGAGCTCATCATCCACTGCAGGACGCATCTCACTCCCCTTACCTCTCTTCTTACTTGACTTCTTACCTTCATTCAGAGATCCGTGTTCTGCTTTATGCTTTATAGCTTCCTACCTTGGTTCTCAGCCTATTTGAACAATCTGGCATGTGTAGTCCCCTGTTTACTCTTCACAGTCTCATTCAACTTATTCTTCCCTGACACTTCCCCGGTTTCCACGTTCAGATTTCACAGTCCCAACTCGTGAGTTCTCAGGGTTTCTTGTATCTCTGTATTTGTATTTATTTTATTCTGTTTAGACTATGGTAGATTTACTTTTCCACTTCCTTTATTATGTTGTGACATCCTGTTATGTCTTCTTTGTTCTCATTGATTAGCAAATGAGGAGTTTCATTTATTGAATAGACTTTATATTTGAGAGAAACAGTGAAAATCCTGGGCTCAGAGAAACGCAACATTAGTTTCTGCCAATGTTAGATGTTCCAATCTTCTGCTTGGAATAAGGGAAAAATGCATGCCCGGCTCACTCTGTCTTTCGTGGCAGGAGCTCTGCGGTGAATACCGCAAGCTGGTAAGAAATGGGAAGCTCCCCTGCACCAGAGAGAACGACCCCATCCTGGGCCCAGACGGGCAAATGCACGGCAACACCTGCTCCATGTGTGAGGCCTTCTTGTGAGTAGAGCTGCAGCTGGGGAGAATGAGGGGGGTTTGCCCTTTCTGCTTCATTTATTATTATTTCTTTGATCTTTGTTATATTTTATTTCTTAAATTGTGTTTGTTCCTTGTCAGTGGCATTTTTGTGACACATTTTGCATAATTATCAAATTGATGTCATAATTATCAAAAATAATTCCTTCACTGCCGTGGGCAAGGGGCTGTGCCGTCAGCGTGGAGCCACTTCTCTTACCTGGAACGCAGGCTGTATGGGACTCTGAGGTGCCGTAGCTGCTTCAGCCTCCGCCCCGGGGTCTCAGGTTTTCTCAGTGGTCTCTTGTTTGTTCTTGAGTAGACGGTCAGTTGCTCTTCTTGGAGGGGGGTTGTAGTCAGGAAGGCCTGTGATGCCATCTTGGTGACATCCCTCCTGAAAAACCCTAAAGAACAGTCCCTGCCTGCCCACCACTGGTTGAGTGCTTGTGGAGGTGTGAAAGGTCTCCTTGTGTAGCTCTGGGAGTGGGGGGCTTCCCCACCTGGGGCAAGTTCTTTGTGAGTTTGGTGAGATCGAATAAAGGCAAGGGCAAGAAGTTGGGGGGAAAGGAGGTCACCACATGTATTCTCACAGCGGTCACAGGCTGGCTCAGATGTGGCCCCCAGGCCGGCTGCAGGTTCCGCTCCCCTGCACAGGCTTGATCCTCTGGGCACTACGTCTCGGTCTCTCCTCACTGCCCGCCCTGCAGGCTCCCTGGCCCCAACCCAGGCTTAGTTGTCCAGGAGCACCAGGGTCCCAGGGCCCCGCTGCCTGCTCTGCTGGCTGCCGGGCCCCCACTCCCGCGCTCTGGGCGTCAGCTCTGTGGGCGGGTCCCTGGTGACTGGTGGGGGCCGACCAATTACATTCCAGGAACACAAAGAGGAAAGAATGGGTGTATCTTCTATACCCGTCCCCTGGGTAGGTACTCCCGTGACCGATGAGCAGCTCTGCCACCGGTAAACGACCCGTAAATGTGCAAACAGGCTCTTATTATATACACAGTGGGTGCTATTAAGGCCAGGCTGGAATCCTGGTTGGAAAGTTCCATTTTCCCCAAACCTTCACAGAGTGTGATATGAAATTATCTGAAACCACACAACAAAACACAAGCAAACATACTAATATGCAAAACAGGTCATCAGTTCATACACAGGACCTGGGGGAATGGTTCAGTATAAAGAATCCCGTGGAGTTAAGTAGGATCCGGTGGAGCTAAGTGCGTTCCTGTGTCTTGTCAGCCTGAAGACCTTTCCTGAGGCCCCCTCTACGTCTCCAGCCGTGCCCACCCCCCTCTACGTCTCCAGCCCCTGCATTTCTCCCTCGTGGTGGTCAGGGCTCTTCTGTCATGGTTTTAATCTCAGTTGGTGGCTGTAGTTCAATACATGTGACTGTTGAACATTCCTCTCTTTCTCCCCACCATTATTGTTATTACGGAGGGGGGTCTAGAAAATGTAAGAGGGAGCTCAGATTAACTTTCTTTTTCATTTCTGTGTCCAATCATGAGAGGGCCACTGATTTAAGAGGAAAGCAAAACATATTTAGAGGGTACGGGGAAATGTTTGAGAAGCCATGTCCTCTGAGGATCTTTAAGGGTTGGCACACTTAGCCTGGGGAAGGGCTCAGGCTTGGAATCCCAAGTAGTTTTTGTTTTTAAATGTGGATATAGGACAAGGGTTAGGTTGTCTCCATGGACGACAGTGGGCGGGGAATGAAATGAGTGAGAGCTGTGGGAGACAGGTCTGGCCAAATGACAGGAGGAACTTTCTTACAGTTTGGGGACTTCAAGGTGGAATGACCTACCACGCGGCTGCGAGGATGAGTCAGGTAGAGAATTTACTGGCAGATTAAAGCAAAGCTAGATAGAAATCAGAGGTGCAGTTGTGAATATTGGAAGTTTAGAAAACCATCTCTGGACTAGACTTTAAATCCTTGGCCTGCATTTATTAGCTTGGTGTCCTCGGTGTCTATTAGTTTTCTTACCTGTAAAATGGGGTTATGATAGTAGTTTTGCAACATGTAGTTGGGAAGATTTCACAGAATGAGCACAAAGTTAGGCACATAGCAAGAATTTAATAAGTATTAACCCTATTTGAGATCACGTCCAATCTGGAGATTCTGTGATGCTTAACAAAGCTTTTTAATCACTCTCGATTAGCCAAGCAGAAGAAAAGAAAAAGAAGGAGAGTGAATCAAGGAATAAAAGACAATCTGCGACTACGGCTTCCTTTGAGGTGAGAGGGCTTCTCCAGCAAGTCAGAGACATGCAGACCTGGGGTCCTAGGTGACATTCAGGAAGCCCGTAAATCCCCTGAAACTGTATGAAACATGTGTACAGTATGAGTTTATTTATATGTGTGCATATACACATGTGCCTGTGTGACCCTTACTAGGTTGAGAGTCTGCCATTTTTATCACTAAAAGATATTAAAATGTTTTGAAAGTTAAGAAACCTTCTAAAATAAACCAACTGCTGATCCCCATTTAAGAACAAAAGTCTAAACTTTATCTGTTTTACCAATCTGATTCAAACTGTTCAACACCTCAGACTTCTCCTCTCCATTTCACAGGACTTGTGCAGTGAATACCGCAAATTGAGGAAGAATGGGCAGCTTTTTTGCACGAGAGAGAATGACCCCATCCAGGGCCCAGATGGGAAAATGCACGGCAACACCTGCTCCATGTGTGAGAGCTTCCTGTGAGTAGAGCTCAGGGCCTCGGAAGGAGTGGGGAGAAGCAGCTGAGAGAAGTTCTCAAGCAGAAGTGAATAATGCATCTGCCTCTTTCGTGTAGCATTCAATTCTGGGTGTCAAATTGAAATGAACTAGAAAGAAATCCCTGGATGCCACAAAACCAGGAAGCGGGTGTGGAGTTTTCAGACGGTGATTACTGTGTTGTAAAGAGCAGCAGAATAATTTCTTTTAGCTATTTTAGAGGGAACTGAGAATCTTTTATTCAGAGAAGGGAATCTTATTCTATACTGGTATGCTATCTAACTGTACTGATTGATCTTAGTTTTCTGATTAATTTCAGCTGAAATAGGAATTGGAGGAGATTATCTGTGAAATCATCACAATGCCTGGCATATTTGAGGAGTTTTTGTTTTCGTTTGACTCATTACCTTTCTTCTTACTCATTCCGTGTGGCCTGAAGGAATGAGAACTAAAATGGGTGAGAGATACAGGGAGAAAGATCTCTGCATAATCCACGCCCAGCATGAATTTACAGTAGTCAGAGTAGGGAAAGATCGCTTCAGGAATAGTGGTTTTGTCAGTAGGGGCTGGAGGCCCATTCACAGGGGACTGATGTGTGACCACAGACTAAGTGACATGGTATGGCCTCTCCAACGCAAGGCTATGCTATTTCTAACATCTTTCAATCTTTGTCCCAAGGGTTACTTGAATTTATTTTTAATATGCCCAGAATCTCTGAAAGAAGTCAGTCATTCAGTCTTCCCTGATAGCAATATAATCCATCAGATTGGTCCCAGTGTTTGGGATATGGGAGCATAAAACTCTATTTGATGGAAGTCAAGACAATGACCATGTAGTCGCCATAACCAACATGTATTGAATGCATATCATCCGAATATAGTTGCTAAGAGCTTTGCTACCTCATCTCATTTAAGCTTCACAAGAAACATGAAATACGTTCTGTATTATCACAAATTAGAGATGAAAAAATAAAAGCCCAAAGAAGCTGAGAGTGACACAAATATCAGTACAGAGAAAATGAAATATTATATAGACAGGATATAATCATTTAGCAAAGCCATTATCAACTTCTGGTAGTTACTTCCGCCTGCACTTAGGGTTGTTTCAGTCTTTCCATTGACTTTCCAGTGGCGGGGAAGTCATCTGCCGCCTCGTGCCCGGCTCTGGTTCTCCCTCTGATAATTTTCCAGTAAGGAAAGAAAATGCTTCTTAAGCTTTGTAGTCAACTTAGACTCGGGCTAAAGTTTGGATCTGTTCCATGTAAAGAAACCTCACAATTTTGGAGCTACACCCAAAATATATATACCCAATCACTATAAAAGTATATATAGCCATCACTATAAAAATCCCTTATCAAAAAGAAAGTTTTATCACCTCCTATTTTATAGCTATGTTCCCAAAGGCTATCGACTTGTTTGAGAATCATTCCTTCCTCTGTAGTCTTTTATTGCACACTTGCATACCATATGCAGGCTTTTCAACTTTTAAAAGTTTACTTTGTTCAATGAGCAAATCTTACATTCATTGGAACATATTACAACATGTTCACAAATTATTTAATCATTTTCTGTCTGTACATGACTGAATTATTTGCTATAGATCCAGTCACTACACTGAGTTTGCAACATCGTTTGTAATCCAAAATGGTTAAATGCTGTCACTCTCACATCCTCTCCATCATATGCCTATTTTAGGAGAGCTCACTTTAAGTAAGGACTGCAATGAGGATGACACCAATCACTTATATCCCTTTTGTCAATCATTTATTATGCACCAGGTTCCTATTCTAGTTGCTTTACATGCACAAGTCATTTAATGCTCACAGCAGTTCTATGAGAGAAGTAGTGTTTTTACCTGTCCTGTCCCTCCCCTCCCCTTCCCCAATTTAAAGATGAGACGAGCAGAGAGGTTGAACCGTTTCTTGTGTTTCTTACGCAGTATGGCTCCTGAGTCTTTCCTCTTAGACTCCACGCTGTACTGCCTCCCAGGAGCCAAATATTGCCACTTTATATAAAGAGTTGTCCCACAGGCAAAGGAATCAGCAAATACGAAAGTATTATTGCAGCATATTTGCTGGGAAGCTAATTAAGGGTTTAAGCTAATAGGTTTGCTCATTAAGGGATGTTCTCTTGTACACCATTCTCTTGAGATGAGGTGAATCTTTCCAGTTTGTTATCCAATAAAGTCATGAACTACTATGAGTGGGTCTCTGGGGTTGCCTGAGAAGAGTCAGAGGATGAAAAAATCAGCCTGTGAATGTCACTCTGCTGTATTAAGATCCATTTCTTCTTTTCCTCTCTTTCTCACCGTTCCTTATAGTCGAGAAGAAGAAAGAACAGCAGCAAAGGCTAAGAGAGAAGCTGCAAAGGTAATTTTCTCAGGAATGCTAATGCTCTGTTTTGGCTTTTTTTTTAAAACTCTGTAATAGCATTCTAGTTCTCTCCTTAGAAGAAATGTTTTCCAATTACATTTTCATGCCTGAAATAAGCAAAAAAAAGCCTTCAACTGAAAAAAAGCGTCTTGATTAGAAGTTTCCAGCGTATTAATTTTATCATATGATAATTCAAATTTTGAGCTTCATTTCATGAAAAGTGGAGTGTTACTTACTTTGTATGATAGTCTCCGTATTTGGTTTTTCTTAGATTTCCGTTGTCAGACTCAAATTATTAATATCAATCATTATAATTTACTAATTTCAGTTTATGTCATGAAAGCCTCTATTATTTCAAGTGGAGTGTACAAGACCCCTCTGCTTCACGTTAGTCCAATTTACCAAAGAAATGCACATATATTATCATATTTGATCTTTGTTACCACCTAAATATGGAGGAAGGGCTAAGATTCTCACCCCCAACTAATGAATTATTAAGTAAATCCTTTTACTTTCTAATTATTCTTAATCTGCTGTACATGCTTTTAAAATTTAATAATTTTACAAGTGACAGAACAAGATCTGTCTGTATGTAGATGATTACTCTCAGATAATAGCCATAGACAAGATTTACCTTCATATATTCTATTTCCTAACAACAGCTACAAAGTATAAACCTAACAATTATTTGAGGAAAGTTGACCTAGTTTAAAGATTTACCTCCAAACTGACTTACTTTTCTCAATAACTTCTTCTCTGTTAGTAGACCCATATGTTATTGGTAATTTAGAATTGAAACTTTGTTTTCTCCGTAATATCTGATGAGTAGCTAAGTCATCTAAGGTCTTCCAAATGGCCCTGACCCGTTTCGCCTTCTCTCCACTCCTATTGTCACGCTTCTGTCTCATATTCACATTTCCCATCCCTGACATTTCCCAGAATGGTGTCAGCTTCTCCGGGCATCACACTTGTTCCTTCACATCTTCATTTCGGATATATCTTTATTTCTCAGTTTGAGCTCTTTTCCTTCTTTCTCAGCCTTCTAAAGACAAATCAAGGCTCAGCAATATTCCTGTATTTTTGCAAATTATTCTTATTTTATTTTCCAGCTTTATTGAGATATAATTGACATATAATATTATGTGAGCTTGAGGGGTACAATGTCTTGGTTTGACACACTTGTACGTTGCAAAATGATCACCAACATAGTGTTAGCTAACAACTCCATCATATCACATAATTACATTTCTTTTCCTGTGGTGAGAACATCTATGATTTACACTCTTAGCAACTTTCAAGTGAATAATACAGTATTGTTAACATGATCTCCATGTTCTACATTAGATCTCCAGAACTTATTTGTCTTAAAAAAGGAAGTTTGTCCCTTTTAATCAACATCTCCCATTCTCCCCACCCCACTCCAGCCCTTGGTAACCACCTCTCTACCCTCTGTTTCTATGAGCTTGCTTTTTTTAGATTCCGCATGTAAGTGAGATTATACAGAACTTACTTCCGTCTCACTTACCTCATTTAGTGTTTGCCCTCAAGATCCATCCAAGTTGTTGCAAACAGCAGGATTTCCTCCTATCTCATGAAGGCTCAGCAATATTCTCAGTTCTTCCAGGAAGCCTCTCCTTCTAGGCCTACTGAATCTCCTCACCTTTGATTGTTCTTAGCTTTTATAGACTGGGATGTGCCCCACAACACAAACATACATATTTTACATCGGTCTCTGCCAACTGTGTCTGCCTTCTTTGGCACCCTCGGGGAAATGATGATCAATATTCACAGATCCAGGGGAGTGCCAAGAAATTCTGAGTTCATGATGGAAGCTTTGTAATACTGATTTTTTTGCTACATGTAATCGCATCTCTTTTTTCTTTTTATTCTGCGTTGCTGATTCCGCACTTACTCCTCATAATAGGTAAAGGCGCGGAAGCCATAGAAAGCTGCTCAAAGAAAACATTTCTTATTTTCCAGGAACTCTGCAGTGAATTTCAGAACCAAGCGAGGGACGGAGTGCTCATGTGCACCAGGGAGAATGACCCTGTCCGTGGCCCGGATGGCAAAACGCATGGGAACAAGTGTGCCATGTGTGCAAGCGTGTTGTGGGTATCTGTCCTCAGCTCTGCTGTAGAAGCTCGTCGTCATTAACCAGCCCTCAGCCTCAGTTTCTTCAGAGCATGTAGAATATATACCATGGGTTACATGTTAGGTAATTTTAGACGTACACGGACAAGACATTGAATAATATTGAATCACATAATGACAGTGTTACTCACTATTTACTTTTCCTTCTGTCTCCTAGTTAAGTCTTGGGAGTGGTTTTAGTTTAGTGTTAATATGTTTTTTACACTTGATGATCACCATTCATAACAAAGGGAGCACAGAAGCTTGATCCTCTGGTTGGAGCCATCTCTAGGGTCTCTCCCATCCCTGACGTTTTATGATTCTGCGAGTACATTCAGATACTGGTAAGGGGAAAATCAGCTGGACCGGGGTCTTTGGGGCCAGTACGTAAAGACGGCTAAAATAACCTGAGTGAGAAATGGAACGGAGAGGACTGTATTGATCCTTCCGGGAACATTACCATATATAGGTAAAATCAATACTTCGATAAGTGGGTTGGTGTAGAGTGAACCCCTAAGAGGCAGGCCCACAAAATAGACGTTTATTAAATTGTCTTGTTTTGGACCACCTCAAGGGCTTTCTATGCCATGACTTTGCTGAGTGCGGCCAGAGCGCCATTGTGCGGGACAATACAGGAGAAGTTGGCAATTACCATCCCTGATTCTCCTCCTTAGATTTCTAATCTACTGAGGCTCATGCTAAAATAAATATTAAGAAAAATATTTACATAATATCATTTGAAAGAGGTGCGATTATTGTTATCCCTTAACTTTTGCATGTCTTGGCCTGATCCTAAATATATGCACAGAGTTTCCTAAAGGAGAGGTTTACAGACGAGGCCAGTATTGTGAATCGTGGCCGAGATTCAAGAAACCACCTGCTCTATTTGCCAGTGTGGTGGTGACGACTACATTAGATGTGATAAATGCTGAGGATTTTTCTAGCTGTGATATGCTAGGAAATAGCAAGAATACCAGAATCTAAGGCTCATGATCAACTTCAAAATATTAGTCGTTAAATCTTCTTGGATTTGAGTCATCGTTGCACTCCAAAACTTGAGTTTCAACTTGAATGTTAATGCCATTAAAATAAGATTTAAAATTTGTCTTTTATATTGAAATATTGATTATTTTGCTTGTGGGCCCATTATCTGACTTAGTATCTATCACCCCTTGCTTTCATCATTGATATGATAATTATTTAGATAGGAAAAGTTTTTAATTTAAAAAAAAGATAATTTTTGCTTTTTCCAGATCATTGACTGAAGACACTGACTGATAACAAAAAAAGATTTCCTGAAAGCCACATGCAGATTTTTAAAAAGCTGCTAGTTCTTTTTTTTTAAAGGGGATAGTAAACTGCTGAATAATTCATCTCATTATATTATTGGGCAAAGTAATAATACCTCGTGGACTGGATACCTTTGCACTGGTGACTGAGTCGGACCTTTGGTCTGGAAGATCTTCATTCCTTCTTAGAATACATTACCAGAGAGAATGGGAAATTGTATTTAATTTGTATCTCTTTTCTTTTTTTCATTTTTGCAGCAAACTTGAAGAAGAGAAGAAAAATAATGGCAAGGCAGTAAAGGAGAAAGTTAAGAGAGAGACAATACAGGTAGTTGGTTCAGCTCATCACGGCCCTGTGAATACTCCATCCTTCCTAGACACAGCGCCCACTTCATCCTTCTGACCTGTGTCCTTAGTGACGTTGCAAACTAATAAAATGTATTTGCATCCTCACATATAAGAAGGTCCCTTCTTCTGTATTCAGTTCCTTCCAGATTCACACCAAATCTGATCAAAGTGCCTGTGCATTTGAGAAGAGGTCAACCACTCTTTTTTTCTACTGACCATGTGAATCATATTATCTCAAGAAAGACATGCACACGGGTTGCTAGCTTGTTGTCTGAAAGCAAGCCGATAGAGGCAGAGTTCTGATTTTTCTCCACAACTTTGTGTATAAGGGTAGTTATTTAAAAAAACAAGCAAACAAACAAAACCCTAGGTTTTTTTCTCAGTTAATTCTGAGATTTGGGGAAAATGACTGTCAGCATCTGTGAGCCCCGGGTTTGCCCTCTGTCACATCTCGCATGATGGGGATGAGTACATTTTGTGTGCTCAGTAAGATTCTGGTTAGAAACCTGGACTCTGGACTCAGACTGCCAGGGTTCAAATACTAGCTCCATCTCCCTACCAGTGAGGTCAGACACTTAAACATATTTGTTCAAGTAAATACATTAGTTAAAGCAATTGGTCTTAGTTCCCTCATTTATAAAATAAAGATTTTATATATATCTAAGTTCCAAAGAACTTACCCATGTATAACAGCCCTTCACATACCTTAAATCCTCAATATTATGCACACAATGAACTTTATGTTCTATGTGACTTCCCTTGTACTCAGTCACAAATGCCCCTTCCCTCTATCTGTCCAAATCCTGGCCACTTTCCGTGGTTCAGAATAAGTATTAGCTGCCTCCTCAAATGATATCCTCTTATACAGTATACTAAATATCTCTATAATCTATTATGTCAACAATTTTCCTTTATTTTTCAATTATATCATCGTAACTTACAGATGCTTCTATATGTTCTCCAAAGAAACTGAAGTCTCTGTATTAGTTTTTTTTATGATTGCTCTACCGAATTACCCCAAACTTGGTATAGTAAGACAACACAGATGAATTATTATCCTATGGATTTTTTAGGTTAGAAAAAGGTTTCACTGGGCTAAATCAGAGGGTTGCTAGGGCTGTGTTTCTTTCTGTAATCCCTAGGGGAGAATCTGTCTCTCGCTTTTCCTAGTTGCTAGAGACCGCCTGTGGCTCCTGGGCACCTTCTGTCACCTTCAGAGCCAAGAACACAGCTTCTCGGTTCTGTAGGCAGATGAAATGATACAGCTGTCCACACTTACGCTCATCTGGCCATACCCGGAGTATCACGTTTCATTCTTTAGGAAAGGGGAGGAATCCAGAATGAGAAATGATGCAATGATGCAAATGTTTGAAACAGAATGGCTGAAATACCTGGTGGTGTTCAGTTCTTAAAAGAGAACATAGGGAGGTAAGAGAGAAGGACAAGAAAGCTTTCCCCAAGTATCTGAAGGATTCGCATGTGGAAGAAGAAAAATGTACTGTTTCTCTGAGGGAAGTAACGTACTTTGACTTTGCTTGCTGGTCTGAAGGACTTGCTTGTAATGACATCACAGAAAAGTAAAATGTTAAGAGTAGGGATCCTACGGGATTTATTAGAGTTATTTTCTAAGATTTCCCAAAGGTAGCACTGTGGCTTAATTTGCAGGAACTACCTAACAGAACTTCTGGAATGGACTCTCTGGGGGAAATGGACCCCTTGTCTCTGTAGGGATTCCGATGCCAGCTGACCGACTTCTTGGCGGGAATGACGGGTTTGTAGACCAGTCAATACAGGTGATTAGACCAGATGATCTTTGAAGTTCTATCCACACCTGGAGTTTTTGTATTCCATGACACATACATTGTTTTTTTATTACATTATAATAGAAATGGACGTAAACACTCAAGGTGAGGATGGCGACCAGTCTTCAGAGAACCTATTTTATTAAGAGATTCTTGTTTGTGTGTAGTTGAAGATTCAGCCTGGCTTTGGGGGCTAAACCTCAAGGAAAAGGAAACATAAGCCTCCTTCTAAGCCCTATGTGCTCAATAGGACTTGAACGATACAGTCGCCAAATAAAGAAACATCCTCAGGTCCCTTTTTCTTCTTTCCAGGAAGTGCTCGCTAGGAACCCCTCAAAGTCATTTCCAAGAGAATCCTCAAGCTCTTGCCTTCCCTCCTGCTTCTAGGATACATGCAACGAATTCCGGAGGCTTTTGCAAAATGGAAATCTTTTCTGCACACGAGAAAATGATCCCGTGCGCGGGCCAGACGGCAAGACTCACGGCAACAAGTGCGCCATGTGCAAAGCGGTCTTGTGAGTGTGGGGGGGCCCTGTCCCGGGCCGGCAAGGCGGGGAGGCCGAGGGCCGGGACGCGGTGCATGTGCTGCGTTTGTCCTTTCCCTGCGTGTGAAAGAATCCCTTAAACATTTTTAGGTGAATCTTTCTTTATACAGGCCAAGATTCACAAGTCTAGAAGTCAACAGTATGTGACGAGGTTATTAAATTCTCCATTAGCTCTGGGGTAAAGCCAACCGATAGATTTCAGTCTCTTTCTTAATAAAATTCCAAGTCCTTCGCTGTCAGGTGGATCCCTCTCTGGATTATCTTGTAATTCCCACTGGGAAGAAAACAGGTGTTTACTATCAATCTAACTACTGTGCCTACATTTTGAAAATACCACGTTTTCAAGAAATGAAGAGTAGCTCTTTACACAAAGCTCTGAAGTACACCTTAAACATTTAAGTCATTTAACAGCCATTTACTGACTGTCTACAATGTACAATTTATATGATGATCACACACAGATGAATGAAACGGTCTTCTCAGAGATCATCTAAGGATTAGACATGGGCGTAAATTAATGAATGGAATAGAGAAGTTGCTAAATGACAGATAATACATACAATGTGTCATGGTCCTTCAGGAAAGGGGGATTAATGGGAAGTTTTATGGGGGGGAATAAAAATGGACCTTATAATTTGGATAGAAGGTGGACGCTACAAGAAGGAACAGGGAGAAGAAGGGAACAACATAGATAAAGCTCTAAAATTAAGAAAATCTAGTATGTCTAGTAAAGAGTAAATCATTTAGTTCAGTTAGAACTTAACTGTTTTACCAGCTTTGATGCCAGATGAAGGATTTTGAAGTCAATTCTGTGTGTAGTGTGAAGCTGCTTAATTTTTTCAGGCGGGAGAGTAAGTGGCATATATAGTGTTCTTTTAGGAAGATTCGGGTTTAAAAGTAAAAAGGAGAAAAAGGGAAGGGAGGGACTAAAACTCAGAGTGCCGCCGGTGGTGGCAGGGGCTGCAGGGACCCGGTGGGAGGTGATGGAGCGAGGCGGGCGGATGGACGTGGAGACTGGTTAGGCTGTGGCCGCGGGCGCGGGAGGAAGGGGCAGCCAGAGAGGACCCCGGGGTTTGCTTCCTCCTGAATGGCAGGCAGCCCCGGAGCAGGAACACATTTGGTGGGGAAGGTAATTATTTTTGCACCTCTTGCATAAGAGAGATTTCGGAGAAATTCACCTGGAGATTGACAGCGAGCGTCAGGGAGGTGCTAAGTGATTGCTCGCCCCGTCTTCCTTTGGGTCGTATAAGTGGGGGCTTTCCGCTGCTGCCGGGAGGGTCTTCCACGCAACAGGGGTGCACGAACCGCCTCTGTGTCCTTAGAGGGCCTGCGACAGCAGGTGTGCGGTCACTGTCGGCGCCCTGTCCGAGCCCAGCCCGTCCATGCGGTGAGGACCTCGGAGAAACGCGTCTGCCCTCTGTCATCTGTTCTTCCCTGTTTCCACTTTCTGATTTCCAGCCAGAAGGAAGAGGAAGAAAAAAAGAAGAAGGAACAGGAAGACAAGAGGCACGTCCCCGGGGACGCCCCCGGCGCGGGCGCAGGGGCGGAAGCCCAGGTGAGACGAGCCCCCGACCCGCAGGCAGAGCGGACGCGGCCCGCTGGCCCCCGGGCCTTGGCAGAGCCTGGGGGGGGCGCGGGCGCGTGTGGCGCTGAGCCCGAAGTGTCCTCAGAAGGCCCGGGGTTCCCCTGTAAGGCCGTAGGGCAATAGGTCAGCCGTATGTATCCGACCCCTTTACACCTGGAAATGATCGCAGCACGCCCGACCTCGATGACTTGACGCCCCTTGCCGTCTAGTTCTCAGGCTCGTGGGGGAAGGAGCGGTGGGAGCGGGCAGATGTTCCCCGCAGCGCCTCGTGCCCTTCAGTTGCTTTGATTGTTCGCTCTCCCCGAGCGAGGTCCGATTTCTGCAGGTGCGCGAAGCGTATAGGCCCTGCAGGCAGACAGCTCTGGGTGCGCCCCTGTCCCCGCCTCTCAGGATGTGTGAAATTGAGTAAATTACTTCATTTCCCTGAACTCTCGTTTCCCTTATTCGGCAGCACTCTTCCAGGGCTGACATGGAACGATCTAGGCCGTGTTTAAGGCGTTTTTAAGTGTCAGCACGACGATGTTGCACGAGCCCCACCTCGTGCAGGTTAACACAACTGCATCAGATCACAGCCTCCTTATTTGTCTTCTGACAACCCTGGGATATCAAAACCACCTCTCTGCTTCCAGCTCTGACAGGCTCAGTCCTCATCATTGACAAATTCTGGCCTTTTTATTTTTCTGTCTTTTCTCCGTTAGCAGGCCGAGTTCTCACTTACTCAAGCTGCTTCCCTTGGCATTTTGCATCCTTGTGCTTTTGCCCAGCATCTCTTTCTCCCTTCTCTCTGCACCAGAGGCCAGCAAACTCTTTTTCTGTAAGAGGACAAATAGCAAATAGGTTAGGCACTGTGGGTCGTATGGTCTCTGCTGCAACTATTCAACTCTGCCAGTATTATGGGAAAGCAGCCATAAATAATATCTAAATGAATGAGTGTGGCTGTGTTTCAAAGTTTATATATAAAATGTTATATATAAAAATAGGCAACAGGACAGATTAATCCTGTAGGCTCTGGTTTGCCGACCCTTGATCTATGCTATTAAATCCCAGCCAGTTTTATTTCCTGCGTAGATCCCTAAGAGCAACATTATCACCTATGACAGCTGACCTCTTAGAATCCAGATGATTCCAGCCCCCCCGTCTCTGTGGATAGCGATCCTAGATGTTAGACAAGAACTTTTCGCACTCAAATTGTTTACCAAACTTAATAAAAATACAACAAACCAGGTAACCCATGAGGCCTGCTCCCTTCTCTCTTTTCAGGACCAATGTGCTGAATTTCGGGGAAAAATGCGAAATGGGAAACTTAGCTGCACTCGGGAGAGAGATCCTGTGCACGATGGTGACGGCAAAATATACAACAACAAGTGCCTCATGTGTAAACAGATACTGTAAGTACCTCTTTCGACCGGCAGGTCTAAAAGATAGCTGCATAATGAATGAACGGCTGTTTCTCATCTGCTTGTGGCCCCCTCCATGAATATTATTCTTTTTTGTTAATTCCCAAATATTGTCTCTTTCTCTTATATGCCCCAAGGAAAAATGAGCCCTAGCAAGGACAGTTAATAAGTGGTTGATTCCTACTCTACTGTCTGTCATATTGCTGTGACCTGTAAGTGCTGTCATAGTAGATAATTGCTCTTCATGCCTTGAACAAATCCTAGGGAGAGTTGGAGATATCATTTGGAATAGTGGACCAGAATAGTTTTAGAGGGTTGCGCTTGCCAAATGTATGGGACACATTTATTGTATAATCTGGGGTGTGTTCCCGCTATTCATTTCCCCTTGGTGAATGGTGTTCCATTGGAGTGCTTTACGATCCAACTCAGCCACTCTTGATTTGTGTTACTGGGACAAGTAACAACCACTGCTGGTTTCATCTGGATATAGAGGCAGTTTCCTAGGTGACCTTGATGAGTACTCACAGGTCTACTATTTGATGCATATATCACAATGCTATTAATGGTGGCATTTAATTCATGTGCATTTAATAAGCATTTAATGCTTCTCCACAAACACAAACATGTTTATCACCTCTCTCCTTGTAAAAACTACAATCTAGTAGTAGTATAGCTCATGTGAGAAAATATAACCAATCCAAGTGCTGCATTTTACACGTGAAAAACTGAATTTTTTTTTCAGTTCAAGGTCTCATGAAGGAGTGAACTTCTGAGCGAATCTAGAATCTGGTTATGCATGTTAGCCTGGTATTCATTCACATTATAAGAAATTCTTTAACAGAAGTAAGGTAGCAAAGTAGGGCCGTGCTAGAGTTTTAACATCAGATGGCTGTGTCAGCTCCATGTTCTTGGACAGGTTTTTTCACTTCCCTAGACCTCAGTCTTCTCATTTTTATAATGAGGGTAGGGGCAACAGTAATCATATTAGCCACATTTTGTTTCTTTTGAAACAGAGCATGGAGCTGGTAGCTTCAGAGGAGGGGCTGGGCTCATTGTGTCCTTCCTGTGTGGAGCACATCAGAATCCACTCAGGAACCCCTCCGGTTGAGCCCTTCCAAATGTGCCCCCTCCAGCCATGCCATGAGGGCCCTGACACCAGGACACCCTGACTCACACACTCCAGCCTTCAGTAAGCTATCCCAAACTACCAGGCACACACAGTCTACCCAGGGACCTTCCTTACCCAAGGCTGATCCTTCAAGACAGGGAGATGTAGCTCTTTCTCCTAACTGATAAAATCAAGCACAAGCAAACAAAATGAGGAGACAGAGGAATATACTTAAACAAAAGAACATGACACAACTTAAGAAAAAGAACCAAATGAAACAAGAGTTAAGCAATCTATCAGATAAAGGTTCAAGTTAATGATTATAAAGAAACTCACCAGACTTGAGAGAAGAGTGGAGGAACTCAGTGACAACCTCTACAGAGAGAGAGAAAATCTAAAACAAACCAATCAGAAATGAAGAATGCAACAAACGCAATAAAAAAATGACAGATACATGAGTGGGAATCAGCAGCAGACTGGAGGGTCCTGAAGACCAGGTCAGCGCCTTGGAAGGCAGTGATAGGAAGTACTCAAGCTGAACAGAAATAAGAAAGAATTAAAGGAAATGAAGATAAGTTAAGAGAGCTTTGGGACAATATCAAACATCCAAATATTTGCATTATAAGAGTCCCAGAAGAGTAAAAGGAGTAGAGAACTTATTGGAAGAAATAATAGCTGAAAACTTCCCTAAACCAGAGAAAGAAACAGACATCCAGGTATAGGAAGCAGAGAGAATCCTGATCAAGACAAACCCAGGTAGGCCCACACCAGGACACATCATGATTGAAATATCAAAGATTAGAAAAAATTAGAAAATCTTAAAAACAACAAAAGAAAAGCAATGGGTTACATATAAGGGAAACCCCATAAGACAATTAGCTGATTTCTCAGCAGAAACTCTAGGGAAGTGGGATGATATATTCAAAGTTCTGAAAGAGAAAAACAAAAAACAAAAAACAAAAAAAACCCCTACAACCAAGAATACTCCACCCAGCAAGGTTATCATTCAGGATAAAAGGGGAGACGAAGAGCTTCACAGATAAAAATAACTTTAAAGAGTTCAGCACCACTGAACTGTCCATACAAGAAATGTTAAAGGGTCTTCTTTAAGAGGAAAACAAGACCCTAACTAGAAGCAAGAACAATCTGAAAATGAAAATTTCACAGGTAAAAACGAATGTGTGTCAGTGGTAGTAGATCGGTCACTTAAAAGCTAGTTTGAAGGTCAAAAAGACAAAAGTAGTGTAATCAATTTCATTTAAAAGTTAGTTAAGGAAATCACTAAATAAAAAGGTAAAAAGGTAAAAAGAAATCACTAAATAAAAAGGTAAAAGAAGGAGGAGGGGGAGTAAAAAATGTATTGTTATAATGCATTTGAACTCAAGTAACCAACTTACCATTGATTGCTATGCGTGTAGGATACCCTGCAGGAACCCCATGGTAACCACAAGCCAGAAACCTATAATGGATACAGAGAAAATGGAGAAACAAATTCAAATGTAACACCAAAGAAAGTCACAATACACAAGGGGGGAGCAAGAGAAAAAGAGAGGGTCAGAGAGGAACAAGAAAGACAACCGTGAAACATGTGACAAAATGGCAATGACTACATAGCTATCAATAAGTACTCTAAATATAAATGACTAAATGCTCCATTCAAAAGACATAGGATGACGGAATGGATAAAAAAACAGGACCCATCTATTTGCTGCCAAAAGAGATTCACTTTAGATCTAAAGACTGAAACTGAAGGGGTGGAAAAAGATATTCCATGAAAATAGGAATAAGAAAAATGCTGCAGTAGCAATACTTATGTCAGACAAGATAGACTTTAAAACAAGGGCTGTAACAAGAGACAAAGAAGCTACATTACATAATGATTAAGGGCACACAGTCCAGCAAGAAGCTCTAACAATTATAACTATCTATGCGCCCAACAGTGGAGCTCCTAAATATACAAAGCAAATATTAACAGACATAAAAGGATAGATTGACAGTAAAATAATAATAGAATAGGACTTTCATGCTCTACTTATATAAACAGATCATCCAGACAGAAAATCAATAAGGAAACAGTGGATCTGAGTGACATATTAGATGAAATGGAACTGTAGTCAAATATATTCAGAATGTTACATACAAAAGCAGTACAATATACATTGTTTTCAAGAGCGCATGGAACATTCTCCAGCCTAGATCATATTTTAGGCCACAAAGCCAGTCTCAGTAAATTTAAGAAGATTCAAGTCATGTCAAGCGTCTTCTCCAACCACACTGGTATGACAGTGGAAATCAATTATAAGGAAAAAAGTGGAAAACACACAAACATGTGGAGACTAAACAGTGTGCTACTAAATAACCAATGAGTCATCAAAGAAATCATAGAAGCAATTTTAAAAACTTGAAAAATAATGAAAATAGAAATAAAACAGTTCAAAATCTTTGGGCTGCAGGAAAAACAGTCCTAAGAGGAAAGTTTATAGCAATACAGGCCTACCTCAAAAAGCAAGAAACATCTCCATCTAACCCAACACCTAAAGGAACTAGATAAAGAAGAACAAGGCCCAAAGTTAGTAAAAGAAAGGAAATAACAAAGGTCAGAGCAGAAATAAATTAGAGACTAAAACAACAACAACAAAAATACAAAAGGTAATTGAAACTAAGACCTGGTTCTTTGAAATGATAAACAAAATTCATAAAACTTTAGCTAGACTTATCAAGGAAAAAAGAGAGAGAGAGAGGACTCAAATAAATAGAATCAGAAATGAAAGAGAAGTCACACCAACACAACAGAAAAATAAAAGATTGTGAGAGTATTACAAAAAATTATATGGCAACAAATTGGACAACTTAGAAGAAATGGAAGAATTCCTAGAAACTTAACAATCTTCCAAGAGTGAACCAGTAAGAAATAGAAAATTTGAACAGATCAATTACTAGGAAAGAAATTGAATCAATAACCAAGAACTCCCCTAAAACAAAATCTCAGGACCAGATGGGAAACATTTAAAGAAAAGTTGATCACTGTCCGACTCAAACTATTCCAAAGTTGAAGAAGAAGGAAAGCTTCCAAATTCAAACCATGAGGCCAGCACCACCATGGTGCCAAAACCAAGCAAAGACACCATAAAAAAAGAAAGCTATAGACCAGTGTCCCTCAGGAACATTGGTGCAAAAACCCTCAGCAAAATATTAGCAAACCAAATTAAAAAACACGTTAAAGAGATCATTTACCTTGATCAAGTAGGATTTATCCTAGGGACACAAGGATGGTTCAGCATCCACAAATCAATCAATGTGACACAGCACATTAACAAAAAGCAGTATCAAAATCATGTGATCACCTTAATAGATACTAAGAAAGCATGTGACAAAGTCCAACATCCATTCATGGTAAAAACACTCAACAAAGTGAGCATAGAGAGCACATCACTCAACATAATAAAGGCCACATATGACACACTCACAGCTAACATTATTCTCAGTGGTGGAAAGCTGGAAGCTTTTGCCCTAGAATCAGGTACAAGGCAAGCATGTCCAGTCTTACCACTGTTACTCAGCATAACTCCTAGAAGCCCTGGCCACTGCAAACAGACAAGAAAAAGGAATGAAAGGCATTCACATTGGTCAGGAAGAAGTCAAACTGTCACTATTTGCAGATGGCATGATACTGTATCTAGAAAACCCTATAGATTCCACCAAAAAACTATTAGAATTAATAAATGAATTTGTTAAAGTTACAGGACACAAATTCAATGTACAGGGTTCTGTTGCATTTCTATATACAAATAATGAATTTTAAGAAAACAATCCCATTTATAATTGTATCAAAAAGAATAAAATACCTAGGAGCAAATCTAACCAAGGAGGTGAAAGACCTGTACTCTCCAGATTATAAAACACCGATGAAAGAGACTGAAGGCGACACAAATGAATGGAAAGCTAGCCCGTGCTCATGGCTAGGAAGAATTAACATTGTCAAAATGGCCATCCTGCCCAAAGCAATCTTCAGATTCCATGCATTTCCTATCAAAATACCAATGGCATTTTTCACTGAACTAGAGCAAGTAATCCTAAAATTCACATGGAACCACAAAAGTCCCTGAATAGCCAAAAGCAATCCTGAGAAAAAAGAACAAAACTAAAGGCGCTCTGCTCCCTGATTTCAAACTTCCCTACGAAGCCACAGTGATCAAAACAGTATGACACCAGCACAGGACCTGATACACAGACCGACGGGATAGAAATGAACCCACGCCTCTGTGGCCTATTAATTTGTGATAAAAGAGACAAGAATATACAGCGGGGAAAAGTCTTTAATAAGTGCTCTTGAGAAAACTGGACAGCTACATGAAATCTTCAGATTCCATGCATTTCCTATCAAAATACCAATGGCATTTTTCACTGAACTAGAGCAAGTAATCCTAAAATTCACATGGAACCACAAAAGTCCCTGAATAGCCAAAAGCAATCCTGAGAAAAAAGAACAAAACTAAAGGCGCTCTGCTCCCTGATTTCAAACTTCCCTACGAAGCCACAGTGATCAAAACAGTATGACACCAGCACAGGACCTGATACACAGACCGACGGGATAGAAATGAACCCACGCCTCTGTGGCCTATTAATTTGTGATAAAAGAGACAAGAATATACAGCGGGGAAAAGTCTTTAATAAGTGCTCTTGAGAAAACTGGACAGCTACATGTAGAAGAATGAAACTGGATCATTGTCTTACATGATCCACAAAAATGAACTCAAAGTGGATTAAGGGCCTAAATAGAAGACCTGAAACCATAAAATTTCTAGAAGAAAATGTAAGTAGTACACTCTTGAACATCAACAATTAGACATTTTTTTCTGGAATGTCTCCTTAGGCAAAGAAAACAAAAACAAAAATAAGTGGGACTACATAAGACTAAAAAGCTTCTGTATAGCAAAGGAAACCAACAAAATGAGAAGGCGACCTACTATGTAGGAGAATATTGCAAATGATAAATCTGACAAGGGGCTAATAACCAAAATATATAAAGAACTCATGCCTCTCATCACCAAAAAAAAATAAGAATGCAATTTAAAAATGTGCAGAGGACCTGAATAGACAGTTTTCTGAAGACATGCAGATGGCCAACATGAAATGATGCCCCTCATCACTAGTCATCAGGGAAATGCAAATCAAAACCGCAAAGAGTTATCACCTTGCAGCAGTCAGAATGGTTTCTATCCAAAAGACAAGAAATAACAAGTGTTGGTGAGGATATGTATAAAAGAGAACCCTTGTGTACTATTTTTGGGAATGTAAATTGGTGCAGCCACTGTGGAAAGCTATATGGAAGTTCCTCAAAAATCTAAAAGCAGAAATACCATATGAACGAGCAATTCCACTTCTAGGAATGTACCTGAAGAAAATGAAATGATTAATGTGAAAAGATACACTCACCCCTGTGTTTATTGCAACATTATTTCTAAGAGCCAAGATATGTAAGCAGCCTAAGTGTCCATCAGTAGATGAATTGATAAAGAAGATGTGGTACATACACACAATGGAATAGTATTTAGCTTTAGCCTTAAAATATAAAGAAATCTTGCCACTTCCAACAACATGGATGGACCTAGAGGGTATTATGCTAAATGAAATAATTCAGTCAGAGAAAGAAGAATTCTCTTATATGTGGAATCTGAAAAACAAAAATGAACAAATTAAAAAAAACAGAAATAGACTCGTGAACACAGAGAATGGACAGTTGGTTACTCTAGGGGGATGGCTGAAACAGGTAGAGGGGATAAAGCGGTACAAACTTCAAACCATAAAATAATTCAGTCATAGGCATGGAAGTACAGCATAGGGGAAAAGCTCCTAATATTGTAAAATTTTTATGTGGTGACCACTGGTAACTACACTTATCATGGTGAGCATTTAATAATGTATATAATTGATAAATAACTAAGTCATTCATCTGAAACCAATATAATATTGTATATAAGCTATATGTCAATAAAAAATGTTTTAAAAAGAAGAATTTAGCAATTCTTAAGAAACAGAAAGGATTGCCATAGAGGAAGGAAAGAGTGAAATAGGTGAAGGGGATAAAGAGGTACAAACTGCCGGTTATAGAATAAGTAAGTGCCGGGGAGAGTCAGTTCGTCGTAACTTTGTGTGGTGACAGATGGTAACTACACCTATCACGGTGAGCATTTTATAATGCATATAATTGTTGAATCACTACGTTGTACACCTGAAACTAACATAATATTTATTGTATGTCAACTGTATTTCAATGAAAAAAGAGAAAGGAGGTCATTATGTCTCAAGATTATTGCATGGGAATTTCAGGAAATGAGTTTGGAAAGTCATATAAGTCTTTTTAGGCCAAGAGGACTTTGAATTTTATTCTGTGTGTGATGAGAAGCACTGGCGGTTTCTGAGCATAGCCACGCCTACAGCTAGAATACCGGCAATCTGAATCATTAAGGATGCCTTCTTTTCCCAATAGTACTCGATTAAAATGCCATGACTTTATATGTCTTTGAATCTTCAGGATATATTTTACCACCACTTACCCATTTCTTACATGTGCAAAGGAGGCTCCCTGAAAAGAATATTTATATTTCATATATACATACACACAACACACACATTCATGTGTATATATTCATGTTGCATACAGTCATACACATCTTGTTTTGGTACCAAGTGAAACTTTGGAAGAGAGATATTTTGTATACGATTTGCAGTATTCGGATCTTGGGTCAACTGCGCCAGAACCACCTGGACTCCTTGTTAGAAGTCAGATTGCTGAGTTCCAACCTAGATGATGCCAATTAAACCGTCAGGATGGTCGGTGAATCTGAATTTTATATAAAAAAACCTCACAGGTGGTTCTTACTGCGCCTGGAAGCCTAGGAGCACCAACACAAATCCTTTATCAGGAAGGTAAGAGATTTAAAAAGGAAAACAAAAATCTGATCCTAAGGTTCTTTCTAGATCACCTGTCCTCTTTCTGTCTTGGGCTCCATACTTGAAGAAATAATATAATGGGTTGACCTACAAATCAAGGAACTAGAATGGTGAGTTCCTTGTATGTATGGAAGTACAGTATAGGGAATAAAGCTCCTAAGACCGTAAAATTTCTGTATGGTGACCAATGGTAACCACACTTACCAGGGTGAGGGGTAAGTGTTCCACCGGAGTTCCAAAACCACAGCTTCTGACGGGAAGTGAGAGAGCTGCGGGAAGCCAGACCTGGAGACCCAGAACTTGCCTTCAGATGCTGAAGCCTTAATGCCTGGAGCTCATGGATTCAGCAGCCTTGTTTTGTGTTGGCCTGAAAATGTGAAATAAGACAAAATGATGGACGTTACAGGGAGATAAATTTGGACACAAATAAAGGAGACTTTGAAATTGCTGGGTTGATTTCCTTAGAGTATCTACCTGTGATGAGGGAGCTTCTTAATAACAACTGAGCAGCCTGTCTGTCTCTGGGATATGCAGAGCGATTCTCTGTGAAGGAAGTGGCTCATTGCACACACCCTCCGAGGCTCCTTCCAAACCTGAGTATATGGCTCAGTAAACAAGATGACTGTCGGCTCTTTTCTCTTCCAGGCAAAGAGAAGCAAAGGAAAAAAATAAGCATCCTGGCAACAGATCAAATAGGACTGAAGCAACATCAAGAAAGGTGAGTCATTACTTTGATTTTGGCAAGAATGGTCTTCCTGTAAGTCAACACTTATCTATCAAATAGATGGAAAGAGGGTGTCAGTGTTGCCAACCCGTGATCTTTCTTGTCCTTAGTAGGTAGGAAGCCATCATCCACGTGAATATCACTGGTAACTCGCTTGGTATAGAAATTTAAAGCCAAATGGAAAGCTTCCACTCTAACACTTTACAAAGCACTTTAATAAATAGTAGTTTGTTAAGTCTCTCAGCCTGGTTGGATACTTTTTTTAACCTTACATTATAGATGGGGAAAATGAGGTTCAGCTGCTATGACAAATCACTCCCAAAAGTGGGGTTAAAACAGCACAGATTTATTTTCATACATCGCTGGGTTCAGAAGTCCTGAATGGATCTGTGTTAAGACCAAGGGGTCAGTAGGGCTGTGTTCTTTGGTGGGGCCTCTGGGGGAGGGTCTTCTGGCCTTTTCTAACTGCTAGACGCTGCCTGTAACCCTTGGCTTGTGGCTGCCTTTAAAATCAGCTTGGGGAGATGAATCGTTTTTATGCTGCATCGTTCTGACACTTATTTTCCTGCCTCCCTCTTTCACTCATAAGAACCGTTGTCATTACTTTGGGTCCCCCCGGATGATTGAGGACAATCTCTCCATTTTAGAGTCAGCTGATTAGCAATCTTGATTCCATTTTCAACCTCAATTCCTCCTTGCCATATAAGGCAACATATTTACAGTTTCCAGGCATTTGAATGTGGATGTCTTTGTGGGTCATTAAACTGCCTCCATAGCAAAGTTAAGTGATTGCCTCACTCGAGTCAAAATCTTCAGATGTTTAAGCCAAATCAAGTAACCAAGTGAAAACAGCCATTTCCAATATAACCTTGTCTTCTTTTCAGGATCTATGTGATGAGTTTAGAGGCCAAATGAAAAACGGACGACTTATCTGCATCCGAGAAAGCGACCCCGTCCGCGGTCCAGATGGCAGGACGCACGGCAATAAGTGCTCTATGTGTAAGGAACGGCTGTGAGTAGTTTCCAAACATGGCCTTTTAACTGTGAGTCTTCAAGCAGTAATAATCATTTCTCATCAGTGTGAGAAAACAACACATTTTTAAAGCAGATCTAGTAACTGATGAGGTGTCTTTTCCGTTTGCTAGCATTGTTTCTTTACGCTTTTTTCTTCAAGGGAAAGAGAAGCTGCCGAAAGAAAACAGAAAGACAAGGAGAACGTGGGAAGCACAGGAGAGAAGAGCAATGAAAAGCAGGTGACAGCGCGTGTTGGGCAGGCCGAGGCTTAGACCCGGGCGGCTGGTCATGCAGCTGATTCATTCGACAGATACTCGCGGGACGTCGGTCTGTCCCGGTCACTGTGGACACAGTGGTGGACAAGCAAGGCCCAGCCTGACTTTGTAGAGGCTGCGCAGTCCTCAGTGCCCTGAAAGGGACCCTCCTGTAGTCAGCACGTGTCTCTGGGCCCCGTGACGACAGTCAAATCGTCGTTTTTATCCATTGAATACCATCAAGAAATTAGATACTGAAATTACAAACGAGAAAGTATCAGAGGCTTATCTAGATGATAAATTCTTTTCGTGGCATTCCATTGCCAACTTGTGTTCATTTTGGGGCTTTAAAAATAATGTCCAGTGCTTTACAACACTAATAGTTAGAATATGATGCAACATCATCTTTTCTAATCCATCCCTGAACTCCAATTAGAAAAGTGAATTAGAGAAATTTCCCCAGAAAGGTTTTCCCATAATAAGCCACCTTTTCATTAGGTCCATACTGACAAAAATAGATGAAAAATTAATAGTAATTATCATTTAAAAAGAAATGAATCCGGTAGGCATTTTGTTAGGCAAATGGCTTTGAGAAAAGACTTGATTGTACAACTCCAAAGGATCTCTCCTGGCTAGTCTGGATCAGTTTTTTTTCACTTTAAAAAAATCTTTTTTAGAAATGTCAAACAAAAAATAATAATCTCTGTATATGTATGAGTAGAGAATATCCAGCTATTGTGTGCATGTGCACGTGCGCGTCTGTGGCAGAAAGGAGAGCAGCGGTCTGATCTACACATGCAGAGTGAAAATTTTTACAGCATGTGCATCTTCATATTTCCATTTGCTCTGTAAAAACTTCCAGTTATAAAATAAATAAGTCATGGGGATGTACATACAGTATGGGAAACATAGCCAATAGCATTGTATCAACCTTGGTGACAGATGGTAACTAGAGTTATTGTAGTGACCATTTCACAATGCATACAAATGTCAAATCACCACACTGTACACTTGAAACTAACATAATATTGTATGTCAGTCACACCTCAATAAAACATAAATAAAACCTGGCCAAAACCGATGCAGTAGTCAGTATCATTCCAATACTACAGTTAAGAAAACCTCAGAGAGGTTAATTACACACAGGTAGTAAATAGAAAAGCCAGGGATTGTACCCATAAAGCAATAAAGCAGAGGTTGCAATACAGGCAGGTGGACACTCTCATAGACGTATATGTATGTCACATTTTGGGTGCCAGGAAAAGGAACTAATTCTCATAACTTCTAAAAATGATGACTGAGACATTTTATATGTTGGTTCAGTATTCAATTCCAGAGAATTTCTTTAACTGCTGCCTGTAAAAGTAGGTGTGGAGTTGTTCACGGGTATCACAATTTAAAGAAAGAAGGGTAACTACTGTCCAAGTTACTAGCAGTGTTTTTTAAGGCAATCTTTCTGTATCTCTACTTTGACTCTTTGGGATTTAAGGAAGTCCTATAATTTTAACAGAGGCCAGATCCTGTGGACTCCAGTTACACTGTCTTCTTTTTAAAGTTTTCTTATTTTTCAGGGAACAAAAAGGCAGCTCTGTCTTCTTACAAATGTATCGGAATTTTATTCTCTGCCAGGTAAAAGCAGAGAAGACAAGGACAGCCTGGTTGTTGGCAGATCTCTGATCACAATCCCGCATTGACGTTAATTGCTTAATCTCTCTGAGACTTATGTTTTCTCATTTGTAAAAGGGGATAATGAGTGTTTATCTTAGAGGTTTTTTTAAATAACAAGTAAAGGAAATCCATTAGAGACACAACACAGTGACTGTTATAAGACAGACTTGATAAAAAAAATTTTAATTTTTATTCTTGAGGAACAAAGCTAAAAATGTGTTGACATGTTTATGTCTTGCCAAAAGAGCATCTTTTATTCATTCCAGAGCTTTCTATATGCGGAGCAGTGATCGGAATTGCAGGGAGACAGATTTGGGGCTCAACTTAGTGAAAATTGTCTAAAAATCGTGCAGACTGCCTTAGATGGTAGTAAAATTCTAGGGGGGCAAGACACTTTTTTGCCTGGGATGCTATGCAGAGGATTCTCACTTCCTAAGCAGATACTGAATTAGAGTGCCTTCAAACATATTCCATCTCTAAGATGTAACTTTCCCCAGGTTTTTATTTCCCCCTCAAGTGTATGAGTTTGTATCTAACCAAGCGATTTTGTATTCAGTTGTGAAGGTCAGATTATCATAGTAACATTTTTTTTTTTTTTTTAGCTCCTACCTGCAGGATCGGTGCCATGAATTCCGGGACATGGTGAGAAACGGAAAGCTGGTGTGCACCTCAGACTATGATCCTGTCCGAGGTCCATACGGCAAGATGCACCCCAACAAGTGTGCCATGTGTCAGAGCATCTTGTACGTGAAGAGGTTTCTGGCTTAGCTTGATATGTTGTGCCTGTTTGCAAAAACACAGTTCCTCTTAATTAAAAACTTAGGCACTTGGCATCATACATTGAAAATAGAATAATTGCTCTTCACTTTAGAAGATGGCAGTCACTTTCCAAAGCACTTTCAAAAGAAATTTTTATTTTGATAATGAAAAACATAATCATGGTTGGAGCATCTAGGAAAGAGATTGCAAGCTATTGTACAGTGATAAAATCATGACTTTCAAAGGGGAAGCTTATCAACTAAGTATCATGGGACAGGCCAGGTCACTTGACAGCATCTCAGCTCCTCCTGTATGTAAAGGACATGATAGCTATACAGGACAGTTTTTGTAGGGATGCAAGGAGATAGCATTTAAAAAAATGTTTCCAAGCCTTCACGTCCTATAACTGTATAGAAAACAATCAATACTGGAGAGTTTAGTTATAATTTAATAAGAAAAATAAAAAGAAATGAAGCAACTCTATATGAGAGCCATAAGTTTGATTAAAGAAAAAGAAATTGGTCTTATAGGTTCATATAATTTGGGATGACAGTATAGTGACTGAATTTATGAAAGTTGATAGCATTGCCACAAAAATATTATGAAAATGCCAACAATCAGTACTCATTAGTATAAAGAGCATTTTAGGTAATTTTTGGATATGAGAAAATTGTGTTAGATTTGCTAATGTTTAGAATTGGAGAAATACTTGGTTAAACAAATTCAATAATAACCCTAGAAAAAAAATACCCTGTGCTTTTTTTTATTCTGCAGTGAGCGAGAAGCTAATGAAAGAAAAAAGAATGAAGAAAAATCAAGTGCCAAGCCCTCAAACTATGCAAAGGTTGTTTCTTAAAAGCTACGAAGATAACTGTTTTACTGCTCATCCTCAGAATCTTGAATGCTACTCCAGTTTTAGGATAATAAAGATGCTAATCTTTTGCTTCAAAGAAAATTCATTTTGCCAATATTGTCACTTTGGGGTACAATAAGATCTTTTTTTTCTGGATTTGGCGCTTAATGTGTTTCTCGGTTTTGTAGAGAATGTCTCTTACAGTGTGTGCCAATTATTGTTTTAGTCTCTCCTCCTTGGAAGAAATGTGGGTTGACAAATAGTAAAATTCTTTACCAGCTCAAGTTCATGTTTGCTTATCTCTGACACTCCATGTGAAATGAGGCTTCAGGTAGCTCGGTGACGTTGATTATAACGATTCAGGTAATAAATTAATCCAAAGCATGCCCTGTAGCTTCTTTCCTTGATGTCTGTTTTTGTTTTCTGCAGGTGTTTTCTCAGTGTCAGTGAATCAAAAGCTGCCTTTTCTGTCTGCTTTTCAAGACTGCAAAGAACATGTCTTTATTCCGTCCTTAATAATGATTGTCACATTGATAGCGTTAGGTTCCTGTGGATTGCCCCTTTGGTCAGGAGTGCGCCCCACATGGAGAACGAGGGAAGTGAAGGAGGGAGGGAGCGGCGAGGGAGACGAGGGGTTCCCAGACGTGCTGTCTGGTGTTTCCTTGCATCTCTAGGACCTGTGCAGGAAGGTTCAGGGTGAGGCGGAGGGTGGAGCATCGAAGATCTCTTCACTGACTTTCATGTATATCGTACAGTATCATTAGCTATAATCACCAGGCTGTATATTAGGTCCCCAGAACTTACTAACCTTATAACTGAAAGTTTGTACCCTTTGACCAATGTCTCCCCATTTTCCCCATTTCATTCCCCCAGTAACCACCATTCTGCTCTGTTGCTCTGAGTTTGGCTTTTTTAGATTCTACATATAAGTGATAGTATGCAGTATTTTTCTTTCTTTGTTGACATTTCGTGTAGCGTAATGCCCTCAAGGCTCATCCAGGTTCTTTCAAATGGTAGGATTTCCTTCTTTCTCATGGCTGAATAATATTCTATGGTGTATATATGTGTGTGAAGTCTTATTTATCCATTCATCCACTGATGGACATTTAGACATTCAAGTTGTTTTCGTATCTTGACTATTGTAAATAATAATATCTGTTTAAAAAAAAACATTTTACTGAAGTATGATAGTCACATATAGAAAAAGTGCACATATAATAAATGTACAGCTAAATGAAATGTCATAAAGTGGTCATACCTGTGGTGTCAGCGCTGAGGTCAAGAAATAAGCCGTCACCAGCAGGCCAGAAAGAAGCCCCGTCCTGCCGCCCCGCTGACGTGAGTCCGGCTTTGAGCTGAGCTCTCTTGAAGGGGGAGAGGAAGGCCCTATTCATCATCCACTGGGATCCATTCAGCCACCCATGTTTTCATTCCCTTCTTTATTATTTATCTTGTTCTTTTTTATTTGAGGTTAATTTTCTTATTATTTGCTAGCTTCTTGACATGGAAATTTAGATCACTGATTTTAACACTTTCTTCTTTTCCAATTATGTAGTTAGAACTTTCCCTTCAATGCTGCTTAGCTGCTGTGATTTGATAGTTTATTACCATTCAGTTCAAAACATTTCTACATTCCAGGATGATCGCTTTGAGTGATGAGTTATTCAGAAGTGTGTTACTTATTTCTGAATGTCAAGGAACTTTGTAAGCTGTCCTATTTAGTAGTAGTATGATTGCACTGTGATCATAAAACTTATATTTTGATATCCGTCCTTTGAAGTTTATTGACATTTGCCTATCAGCTCAGTATATGGTCTATTTTGGTGAGTTTCATGTGTACTTGAAAAGAATGTGAAGTCTGCAGTTGCTGGTGATAGAGGTCTATAGATAGCATTCAGGTTCAAACTGGTTAGTTTTGTTTTTCAAATATTCAAGATCTTGATTTTTTTCTTTATGCTATCAATTACTGAAAGAAGTAAGTTAATATTTCCATTTATATTTGCAAACTTGCCTATTTCTGCTTTTAGTCACTCAATTTTTGCCTCACATATTTTTTAACTACATCTTAGATTTATACATGTTTGGGATTGTTATTAGTGAATCTGTTATTTTATTATTAGAAATCCTCTTCTTTATCTCTGATAATATTCGCTGTCCTACATTCTGTTTTATATGATATTAATATAGATATACTAGCTTCTGTATGATGAGTGTTTGCATATATACATTTTCCATCCTTTTACTTTCAACCTATTGGTTGAAATGCAAAGATATGTATAAAGTGTACTTCTTGTAAACATTATATAATTGAGTCTTTTTGCTTTTCCAATCTGATAATCTTTTTCTTATACTGGAGTACTTAGTCTTATACATATTTGTAATTACTGACATAACTGAATTTAAGACTTCCATAATCCTGTTTTTTAACATTTCTCCTTTTTTTTCTCCTTTGGTCCTACATTTTTCATTTAATACAGTTATTATTAGTATTGAATTCACACTTCAAAACTATAAAAAGTAAATATGTTCCTTCTTCTACATGAAAAATACTGTTTTTTACCTTAGGAAACACATGGACAACTAATGTATTCTGAGCATGTAGTATGTGCCAAATACGATATTATGTATGCAGTTAAGTCTATTATCTAATTTGATTCCATAAAACAATAGGAGGCAAGATCTGTTATCATTAATGTTCTGTAGATGAGAAAACTAAGGCTCAGGGAAGTTAGGTAAATCATTCGTTCAGTTCATGGTGGAGCTGGTACTCAAAACTCCATGCAGTTAACCAAGTTAACTAGTATTTACTTCTGAGTCTTTTCTGGATTGTGAATAACCAGTTCCTTCATTTAAGAAAGACAAAAAGGAAATTTTTTACATGATAGTTTTTCCCTGTGGGCATGCCACAATTTATTTGTGCCCAGTATCATGCAGGGTTTCTGCTTTCTTACTGTTCTGTTCTTCCTTGTTTTAAACAAGTAAAAGCTAAATCCAGGAGATTAAATCCATGCAACACTATATAAACTATGTTACAGACTCTTGACTAATCCTTTAACCAAATGTGATTGAGGAAATCAAAATGTTTTTTCCCAAACGCATCTCTCTTGAGTGCCACCGAGCAAATCTGATTTCTATTTGCTTGTTCAGGATTCTGAGATGTGCAAACAATACCGAATATTGCCCAGATTGGGTTATCTTTGCCCAAAGACTTTACAGCCCGTCTGTGGCGATGATGGCCAGACGTACAACAATCCCTGCATGCTCTGTCATGAAAACTTGTAAGTATACAAATTGCACCATTACACCTTCCTGTGTAGAGGTTCTTGACTACTGCGCCGACCCACAGTAGTATGCGGATACCAACTTGAGATGTGCTGCAATCATTTTACTAGTCAAAGCAGTAAAAAAAATCAAGTTTTGTGATCTTGTTCATAAACTAAAATAGGGAGGATTTAAGGTTATCCCTTTAATGAAATTGCTTATATACTTTACTGAGTGAAAGAGAAAGGAAAAAAAATGGTGGGGTTGCAACAAGTAGGGAAAATCTCTCTAAGCCCGTGCACACTCACTGGAGTGTGAACACCATCCATGCTTTGTGTGAAGAGAAGGAAAAGATGAGACTCACTGCAGCAGAGAGTCCCCCCGCCTCTAGCCTCCAGTGGCTCTCGTGACTGCCTGGGAGTCACGGATCCCCAGCCTCTCCGAGCCTCCTCAGACCAGGAGGCGGTGTCACGGCACAGAAAGCCGGCTGCCGCAGACAGCAGACCTGGTGGGGGCTCTCAGGTGTATCACTGCCTGCGCGTCTGTGGGCCTGTTACCTCAGCATGCTGAAATCCAGTTTCTTCAGTGGAGAAGTGCAGGCCGTTCTCTGAGCCAGCTGACTTCACAGGCTTAGGAAGAATTGCCCTTTTTATCTTAAGTTATAGGCAAGAGGTTCTAGTGCTTTCGTCACTAGTTGTAGCTTCGTTGTTTTTGTGCTCATATCTTACCTCACCCTCTCTGCCATTCACATGCACCACCTTTTTCCCAGCCTCGGTTTAACCAACTTTGAATAAAAGCATTGTGGCAGCTCTTGACTTTCCCAGCGACCCTACTCCGGACTTACGCTGCAGTCCATGTTTGTTCTGTCCTTCTTAGGACACTATAAGCAAAGCCTAGACTGTGAGAATCAGCCTGAAATTCTGTTTTCCAATCCTGGAAAAATATTTTAATTTGCATTTATTTCCTTTCAAATTAACTCACAAAAGGCCACTCTGCAGTTCACACACTTCCAATAAAGTCTAGACGTGAGTGCCTATGTGTTCTCACATCTGTAGGCGGGGCACTTACACACTCACCCTGTCACTCCACCTTAACGACCTGCTACTCGCTCCGCTGTCCAGAGGCGGAAGCTGAGGCCCAGAGAATCCAGGCGATACAGTTGAAGTCATAAAGCTACGAAGTATATCAGACAGGGTTTTAACCTTTGTTGATTTGCATCTAAGTACAGTTTTATTTTCTCTCCACTAAACTATTATCATACCCAAAGCAGTAGTTCCCTTAAACATTTGAGGATCAAAGATCCCTTCGATGAACATGGAGGAAGAAAAGAAAATGATGTGACCTTACCATCTGTGTGCATGATATCTTCCATGGGCACATGAATCTTTTGAAATCCATGCATGGATCCTGTAGCGTTTTAAGAATTAAGAAATCCCTATTTAGGGAATGAGAATTTGTTACTAGGTGTACTTCACCATCAGCCCAGAAATCCTTCAACTTCCTTTTATTGTAAACCTCAGGGCCTAAATTGTCCATCCAATATTCTTTAAGCTTTCCATTAACTGTATAAACCTACAACCAGTGATACTCCATTCAAGGGAACTTTAGAGCGGAAAACTTGGATGATGACAATAATATTAAAGCGGCTTAACTAAAGGGACTGGGCGTGTGCACTTTGAGGAGAAGATCAGGCTACCCTGGGCCAGAGGTTTCCGTGGTCTGCGAGGTCTTGGAGGAAGCTATAGGGAAGCAATTTCAACTTGAGCACTTTTCAAAGACAAAATGACCTGCCTTGATAGACTGTGAGTTTTCCATCACCAGAGGCAGAAGTTAAATGTTCAATATGTATCTTAAGAGAGAGACATTAAAGTTGACACTTTTTAAGATTCATTGCAACTATAAAATTCATATGGTATGACTGTGTATCTCTATATTGTGTAAGATACATAGAGAAAATGTATGTTCTCTCTCTATATTTATGTAAAATATATTTTATAAAAGATATCTTGCAACCCCCAAGTCACATTATAGGTTTTCAATGAAGTCAAATTTCCCTCTGAGATCCAATTTTCTCTTCTATAAAATAATAACTTTTGGACTAGATGATCTCCAAGTTTATTCCCAGCACTCAGGAATCCCATGAACACACAGGCGAGGGAAGGTGGTGGCTTGGACCCAGGGCTGGGGAACAAATCTGGAGCTAAGTCAGAAAAGAGACACTAAGCCTGGACGATGCCTACCGGGAAAAGAGTCAAGTGTGAACCCCCGACGCTCCCCCTGATTCCAAATCCAGTTCGAAGCTCACATGTCACCCACATCGATTTTTTTGTCTCATTGTAATGGGGAGTTTTCCCATCTTTGAAACTTCCTCTGTTCTGCTTTAGAATCCACCAAACGAATATACATATCCGCAGGGAAGGGAGGTGCGAAGAGAACAGCGCCCTGAACACAACGCCTTTCGGCGTGCAGGCCTCTGTGAGTACGGGGGTGGGGGGGGGTGCTCCCTATCCCGGGCGTTGGACGTGGAAGTGACATGAGGTCACATAAGCCTAGACTTGGTCACCTCTTCATTGTGGAGATAAGCAATTATTAAAGTATGTGAGAATAACGATATAGTAGTTAATACTTTAAAATGTTTACTGTTTACCGGGATCACTAATAGGTTATTTATGAGCCATGTCCCTAACATAATACTTTTGCATAGTAGGTTTTATTTTTTGTGATCTGTGATGAAAAGATCAGACAGAGACCAAGCAAGGTCAGATAGTGACAGAACCGGGCTTAACCCATTTCTCTGTGATCCCCACATCCTGGCATTTTACATTGCATTCAACTGCCTTCCAACACGAAAAGTTGACCTTTGATTAAGATCCTTACATTGAAACATAAGGATGTTGCAATATTATTGAGTATGATGTTCTCCCTGGTGACTGCATTTGAGAAATTTCTCAAGTGCAAGATGATATGCAACTTGGGGAGAAAAGCTGAGAACTTTGAAATAAGAGAAACATTTTTGTAACCAGATAAATGTGGGTTCAATTCCAGTTTTTGGTGTTCCTTACATATGAGACCTTTGACAAATCACATTAATATCTTTGATTTCAAAGATCTCACCAGGTTATTGGATTTTTTTAGTATACTTTTATTATTGAAGTGCAGCTGATATATATTACTATATTGGTTTCAAGTACACAACACAGTAGTTTGACAGTTGCCTACATGATTAAATGCGCACCCCAACTAGTGTGGTTACCGTCACCACAGAAAGATGTTAGAGAACTATTGACTATATTCTCTGTGCTGTACTTCATCCCAGTGACTGATTTATATCATGATGGAGATTTTGTGCCTCTTTATCCTCTTCACCTATCCCACCCACCCACCCCAAACCTTCCCCATGGTGACCACCAGTCCCTTCTCAGTGTCTGTGCATCTATTGCTGTTTTGTTTTAAACATTTGGCACAGTGCCCCCAAATTAATGGTATTCATCATTGTCACTATTATCATTATGCCTAAGAAACCAAAGTTTGAACTTAGAGAAACAGAACCTGGCACAGTGCTTATTTTTAATAATTTTAATGGATGATGTTTTGATAAAATTAATATTGAAAAATATACCTAATAAGAAACAAACATTTTAATAATTATGTTTAATAATTACTTATTTATCATTATTCACAATTGGCCTTACTCTATTCCACTGCCACAAAAAGCTTTGGCAATCATGGAATTGGGAACTATTCTGCCAGATTTGAGGCTCTTCAGTGACACCAGATGGGACTGTAGTCGAAAGAACTAGTCAGCAAGACTTGGTCTAGGCAGCTGGAAAAACAAGAGCTACCAACTCGGCCTTCCTGGTTCCACACCAGCAGCTGGCGGGCGGGGTGGAGGAGGCGGAGGCCTGGGATGACCGTCTGCTTCCTCCTGTGTCTCACCGGCCGCCTGCCTGCTCCGGGCCCCTCCCCGCCCTCAAACAGAGGCTTACACTTCTGCTCTAGTCCCTAGTTCATGTTTGCTATTCTGTTACATATAAACTCTTAGTGGGTTGTTTCTCATTTCATTGACAGAATTTACTGTCCCTGCATCTCACAAACATACCTGGCTATATACATCTCAGAACAGGAAGGAAAAAGTAATCTTTATGCAAATCCTATAGACCACATCTTGCTGTAATCTCACCTAGACAACTTGACAGAAATTCCCTACTTTATGAGGAAATTGCCAAAGGATAATGCTGGCAAGATGTATTTATTCAATAATGAGGAATCTTGCGAGGGCTGAGCATAGATTTTATAAGGGAGTTTTTATTTTTGGGGTGTTTTCTTTCCATTAGAGTTATGTAAGAGCCATTATTAATGACAGGAATTATCTATGGTGTCAGATGAAGGAACAAATCATTAGAACCAAAGATGCCTCGGGCCTGGGACCTGTCCCCTCTGTGTGACTCGGTGATGTGATCTGGACGCACTGAGGCACTGCGGGCGGGTCACAGCCCGGAAGGGCTCTGACGGCAGTTACAGGTGCGTATCCTGAGGCTGGGACCTGCTGCCTGAGCTGTGTGTCCAGGGAGAAGTTTCTTTACAAGAGTCAGGAATCCAAAGAATGAATAAAGGCTGGGCAACCACAACTTTCCCGGGAAAAGATTGAGACCCTGGAACCCACACTTTTGCTCACTGTGTAAGGAGTGCGTTCTATTACACAATACCTACCAAGATTCATGCGGTTCTTCAATGTTTGGGGCCCTCTTTCCTTCTGCATCCCCTCAGTAGCCCTGTGATGAGGGCAGACATCATTATCGTGCCCATTTTACAGAAAATCAGCCTGGGGGAGATCCTGCAATTTACCAGTTATCCACTGTTGTATTTTGGGTCCAGTGTAGATCTCCTCACTTCACTTGTTCTGTTCTGCCACGTCCCTTAGTTATCAGGCGAATCTGAAAGTTGGCTCCGGAGTATAGGCTGCCCTGGTGGGCAAGTCCTACGTTACGGAAAATGCCAGCACTCTTTTGTGAGATGGGTAAATGGCTCTCCTCAGTCCCATGGCAATGATTTTCAAGGATTCAGCAAGACCGTAGCCTGTCACTCAGGAACCAAAGGACCCTCCTGGGCCAGGGTGGGAACTAACGTGGTGGCTGGAGCTTGGAGTGATGGTGTGGCTGGTGTGCCAGGGGTCACTGGCTGACGATGTGTGGTTATGTGAAAGAAAGCTTCCGGAGACTCTTAACCCCCTTTTTCTTTTCTTTTTTACATTCCAAAGAGGCTGTTAACAGCTTTACTTAAAAATGTCAATATGTACAAAGTACAAGAAATTCCATCTTTCTTACCATTTAAACATGATGGGAACCTTTAGATAAGGAGGCGCCATCTAGGCAAAATTCTTTTAAATGGAATAGGTGCAAAAGTTTGAATGCCACTTTCAAACTTGTGATTATGTGAATGCAAACCATTTCACGATTCTATTTCATCTCTTTTTTCCACTGGAAAAAATCCCTATAGGTTTTCTTTCCCTTTTCTCAATCTTGCTGTCAGCTGTGTTTCTTCAAAACTTGCTAATTTAACATCTTCCATTTCTACTATAATATTCGCATTTCTCCTCCTCCATGACAGATTCTTCCTAATCAATATTGTTTATTCTTATTGCTTCCAAGTCTTTTTATTAACCTGAGATGATCTTTTTAGGAAACACCGTCTCTGTGATAAGGAGACACTCAGAGGACTCCTCTGGTTTCCTTCAGTGTTATTTCCACTTCTTTTCTTTTTTAAATTTATTTTGGTATCATTAATGTACAATCACATGAGCAACATTATGTTTAGCAGACTCTCCCCATTATCAAGTCCCCCCCACATACCCCATGACAGTCACTGTCCATCAGCGTAGGAACTCTTAACCCCTTTTTGAAAAACTTCAAACATTGATTTAATGGCTTAAATGTTGATTTCAAGAGTGTATGGGTACATGGATGAGTCAGGCAAGGGAGTAGCTAATTAAATGCTCATGGCCTAAAACAATATTATAATAATGCATTAGTGTGAGAGAAATTGGACTGAAGCCCTGACTGAGTGTGAGACCCTGGCAAGTCCCTAACCTCTGAAGCTCAGTCTCCCCTCCTGCTAAGTGATGTTGGTGACACCTACCTCTTTCCTTACTGTGAAGGTCACATGTAATCAAGAGCAGAGTTCATTTTTGTAGCATTCCCCTCACTTGGTGGTATGGACTTGGTGTTCAGTAAATACTTATTGGATCGACTGAATAAAATGTGAAAGCGATTTTAAACTGAGTTCTTGGCAGGATGCAGGAATCTGCGGATTTCTCTGGCTATGGCACAGCTATAAATGTATAGGCCACGTTTCTACAATCTCTCTGAGTTTCTAGCATCTGACCTCCCCATCTTCTCTTCTAGGACAAATCACGGGAGAATTGCTGAAGGCCCTGAGGGAAAACACATGCCCCGATTCTGAATCACCTACCTTCCCCGCCTGCACATACAGAGAGCTGTGCAGAGCTCGTCTCATTTGCTGTAGAGAATAAAACGGAGCTGTTGGGGGAATGGACTCCCTGACTTTCAGTCTTTTCCGTCTCTTCCTCCTAGACTCTGTGATCTCAGGGCACAGCCTGTGCTCTGGAAACCTCCTCACAATGCTGTCTGTTCAACTGCTTGTTCAGTAGAAGCAAATCGGCAGAACACCACATCTCGATTTCCTGCCTGCCTACTAGGAACTTGTTTTTTTGCAGAAGCTGAATAAACTTTCTCCTTTGTCTTGCTAAGCCTATTGGTAGACAGAGAATGTTCACTCCCCACCCCACCCCCCGGATCCAAGATGCTGTCGTGTTTGGAAGGGAATGTGCAGAAAAGCAGTAGGGGACATGGGCTCCAGGCGGACCACAGCCTTGCAAAGACAGACCGGCTATGGGTCAGCCTCACCCGCCCATGTGTCACCGACCGGCCCCCCTCTCTGCCTTCTGCATTTCCGTCACTTAGCTACATGCAACCCATCCAGGGACACAAAGCAGTCATTTCTCACATCCAATCATGTTGGCTCCTGACAGTTTCCTGTATTAGGGCCTTGGACCTTTGGTCTGGGGAGAAACAAAGGAAATGGGTTACCAACATGTGCAAGTCTCTAGAATGGCACTTTCTTACAGAAATATAAGGCTAGTCACTTATGTAATTTCAAATTTCCTAGTAGCTACAAAATAAATAGGCAAATTAGTTTTAATAATATATTTTATTCAGCTTAATGCATCAAAACTTATTATTTCAAGATACATTCAATATAAGCTTTTCTTTCAGATTTCATGGTACCTATGCTCAAAACCTTTACCTGGTTTCTCTCGCCCCCAAGATGAGCCCCAAACCCCTCCTTGGCATGCAAGGCCTCTGCTCACCTTCTCAGCCGAAGCTCCTGCATTACCCTCCTTCCCTCCTGCCTTTGAATAATCTTCCTGGACTTGTTCCTACATGTTCCCCTCCCCTAACATATCCTCCTTATCCACTCCTGGTCCTTCTCCTGTTTTTATTCCATCTCACAAGGTCCATCCCTCCAACTCTGAACTAATTTGTTCTCACGTCATTAAATGTGCAGATTTTTTTTCGGGAAGCCTTCCATGACTTCTTGTCCCTAAGAATGTGAATTATTCCTTTATTTTTCTCCCTAACATCCTGTCCTTAAATCTATCCCACCAGCTGTCACTGTTTTGTGTTACTTATTTTATGGACAAGCCCATCTCTCTCACTAGGCTGTATTTTTTAAAAGAAGAGACGGCTTGATGGTCTTGCTTATAGCCCCAGTGCCTGGTTCAGTGGCACAAAACATTTACTTATTAAAAAGCATTGGGTAAACCTAGACACTCAAGAGTTTTACAAGGGAATTCAGGACAGGCGATGTCAGTTCTGGCCAATGACATTCAGTTTACACGGCTGGAGGAGGACCATTATTTTCAATAATTGAGAGACTCTACTTTTTCTTCCTGGAACAAATTAAACATTGTTGGCACTAATGGTTGGAAACAAGCTAGCTACATGAAAATATGAGGATATAAAATGCATCTCCTCTCCCCTTAAGGGCAGATAGAGTCATAAGGTGTTTCTCAGGAACATGAGCAAAAGCTTAGAGGGCTGCAGAGGGTATGCGTACATGAGCCCAGAAAAACACACTGTGAAAGATACTCTCTGAAGAGTATTGTTGTAATTAACATTGCACTTTCAACTAATTGCCCTTTATCAACTAAATATATGGCATATACTGATCAAGAAGGTTTCAATCAGGGAAAGGTTATTTTATTTTAGGTTGATAAAATCAGATTGACAAACTGACAGAGCTGGCTAGAAGAAAATGAGAGCTATTTTATTCTGCATGTTTGCTATATAGGGATCCTGAAGCCAAGAGGAAAAGTGGTTTTTCTATTTACCTGAACAGGTGTAAATCAGAAGAACAATCAAATCAATGGTTTGTAATCTCATGTTCCTACACCGTTCCCTTTGGACTCATAGATCTCAGTTCTATGCTCCTCATGCAAATAAAATTATCTATCTGACTGTTTGGCAGACAAAAGAAATATATTTTATAGACAGTGGTCCTTAAAGTTGCTCACTAGCTACAGAAACAGTCACTTCTGCTTATTTATGGACTACTTCAATTCTAAATCTATGGGACATGTGGCGGGAGAAAGTACACTTGAAGACTTTTCAGCATATAGTAATGGGGTTAACAATGAAAACTGAATTCTAATAGTTTGGCTTACACGAAAGAAGCCCCGAGAGCAGTAGCAGAAGCCAAGGTGACTGGCTATTAGATTCTCACCTCTGGAGCCACTTTGCTCCTAGACTTTTAAGTGAGAAAGTTGCCAGAATTCCTGCGGTCAAGGTGTTTAAAAAAAAGCTATTGACAAGTTGTGTCCACAAAGGATATTTGCTTTCCCAGCTTCTGGTCAGAGGGGAGACGTTGGCGAATCAATCAGGAAGTGCCACATTCCTCTCTACCCCCAAGGGCTGTTCCTATGTGCCCAGAAGAGGAGAGGGCAGTTGGATGCGTGCCAGTGAAGCGCCGCTGAAGGATTTCTGCGGGAGCTGCTAACCTCTGAACACTTACCTGGAAGCACAAGATAAGATTCTAGAGAAAAATGGAGCTTTGATACAGTTACATTTATGTGTATATGTCAAACAAGAAATTATAACCCAGCATCAACAATAAAAGCAAGAGTTAAAAGCTATCAACTAGTTTTCCTTGAATCTTTCCTCACCCCCATCACCAAGCTAGCAGATAAAGTTTGTATTTTTGCCTGAGAGGATTTTGGAGCTCAACTGGGTGAAAGCAGAAAGAGAATAGGCAAGAAATGACTCTTAGTGGCTTGAGCATTTGGAAAGTAACCAAGACAGAAGGAATACAGTTTCCAAGAGAAACGAAATCAAATTGTCATGCTGACCAAGCCTGCAGCTCAGCAGCACCCTGAGAAGACAGAAGATCGTTGAGCGTCTGCCTACAGAGGGTGTCTGCTGAACCTAGATTCTGGGGTTCTCAGTCTCAAAGATGCCCCTGCCCCGCGTGTGTCACAGAATCGGAGTCGTTCGTGGCTGGCTTGGGCTATTAGTGTGCAGGCAGCAGCCACTGCTGTCCAGTGAATAGAGGGCCTGCTCTCATTTCTGTGCGTGGCTTAAGCATCCCCGATCCTTATACACTCCAATGATGAATGAGACTAAATCCTCACAAATCCAGGCAGGAAGGAGGGCTCAGAATGAGGCGAATTTTATTTATAGAAAAAGAAAGAATATATACCTTTCTACATCTATATTTATCGATCAAAACTCACTCCTACTGTGCATGGGACCATATTGGGGGTCGCCAGGAATCCATGTGTGGGGCATGGCTGCATCCAGGGGGGCTGCCCTAGAATCACAGCCGATCGATTCCTCTTGGAAAAAAAACTAAGCCTATTAAGGAACTGGTCATAGAAATGGGTGTGGATTTGAAGTGACTTTGATTTGGGCAATATATTGCGATGATACTGATATTGAGTAATTCTACAACCTGCTTTTAAATCCCCAGTTACTGCCTGGGTGTCAAAAGGAAGAAAGAAAAATGCAGTCTTGTTAGACTTTGACAAGATTGATTTCTCTATCAGTCCGGGAGAATTTCCAGAAAGGAAAGAACCTGAAAAGTGGTTTTAGGCTGTTATTCTTGAACTCTGCATAAAAACAAACACATGAAACAACAAAACACACGTATGCTTCCAGGAGAGGAAGGCGCACACACAAAACCAAGCGGCCGGTGAGAAGTTAGGTGTGAGTGTGGACGTCAGAGGAAGACCGCGCTTCCTCGGCTCAGAGTCCTACTGTCGGATGTTAGCGGTGACACTGGGGAGACCCTCTCAGAATGAGATGGGGCCACAAGGCCTTTTGGAATATGCTGGCCTGCAAGGCCTGGAGTGGAAGCTGGCAACTGAGTCTAGGCCCCAGGCGGCAGAGCCTCCTCACCGCTTCGGGGAAGTAAAGAGGGGCAGAAATCCCTCGCTGACCTCGGGCTGTGTGGTGGCATGAGAAGGTACGGCTTAGCAGAAAGAATCTTCTAGTAGAATCAGGGGATCTGATTCACTGAGCAGCCGTGGCAAATACACTCTCTGTCTCAGGGTCTCACTCCCTTCCAGTGTGTGTTCTAGACCAGACATGCGCAAATGGATTTGCACGGAATCTTAGGGTGTGTGGTGGAACTACAGGTATGCTTGACCTGTCTTGCTTCTATTTAAGTGGTTGTCTTTAGAAAAATTGGTTTCATTTATTGTTTGCCTCATAAAACTACATTTGGGAAGGAGAGAATATTCCATTTCTTAATTAAACAACAACAATGAAAAGACTGAAAACTGGAGCCCCCCCCCACCTGCCTCGGGGCTTCTCCAGGTCCCTCATTTCTCTCTCCTGCTTAGCACATGGCCCGTGTGATCAAATGCTTCACTCTGACTTGAGAAAAAGATCATTTACCCCATCAGGAAAACGTCTCGAGTACCTCATTCTGGTTTACATATTTCAAGCGCTGATGAAGCATTGAAATGAAATGAAGCATTGACCTATGGGTGAGTTGAAAGTATTCAAATTTCAAAAGGGCAGAAATAGGAATTACAGAATTTTATAGAAAAAGAAGGTGAATTGGAAAATGGAAAGCATCAATGAGAGAGATACGCCTTAAAAAATTAGAAACATGAAATCAGGTACTTTGGGATCATAAGATCTGAAATCGGAAAATGTGGTTTGGGTCAAAATTCTGTCACTCAGAAGCTGTCTACTTCGGAGAATTTGCTGAACTCCTCCAATCTCTGAGTTTGGCCTTTGTAAATTAACTCTGTCTTAATTCCATATTAACTCCATCTTCTGGGGAGCTGATATGAGAACCACAGGAGATAATTGGGGGCCAGGGGGAGTGCAAAGTACTTGGAAATCACTGGGACTGTATTCCTGAAAAGATATTAGTTATGTGGATGGACAGAAATACAGATATGGGTGCAGGGGAATGTGTTAAAATGTCATGATTATAAGCTTAAAAGGCATAGAACAAACAGTATGCTACAATCACGATTTTTTACATTGTAGAGAAATGTCCTTGTCGCTTCTATTTCAACTTTCATAGACCCTTAATACCCTTTATCCGTGTCCTTTTAATGTTTATTTCCACTTACTACACCTATAATTTTATTTGTTCTTAAATATAGCTATGTCACTGTATTTGCTGAGGGATCAGAAGATTATTATGCAAACGTGTTTGGTAGATGAGTTTCTAGGTGTAACTGTTCCTACAGCCTATAAATCAAAATAATAAGGAAGCTTTCCTTGACAAAGTAAATATCCTAGTTTGGGTTGACAGCCAATCACCACTGAGCAGGTCAGTTTTAATGAGGATGGGATCCTGCCCTGTGTACATACATGCATGTGTATATACGGCGTGTGCTTGACAGACTGCCCTGTCCCTCTCTCTGGACTTCACGCTCAGAGCGCCCACCGGCACCTCCTCGCCCGGCACCGCCATGCGGAGCACCACCACTTTGACCATCCTTGTCCTGGCGGCCGCTACCTGGACTGTCTCTGCATCTGGTGAGTTAGGATTCCTTTTCGAAGCCTTTATGTTCACTGCAATTTATTCAGCCTTCAGTAATTAGAGAATGCTAAAGTCAGAAGAAAATCTAGAAGTTATCCTCTTGGAGTGGTCTGGTTAACAAAGCGGGGTTGGGTCAGCCCTTTGGGAGAAAAAGAACGAAAGGGCGATGACTCCCGCCTGGGCTCCTGGTCAGGGTCGCTCCACTCCCCGGCTTGCCTTTTGGAAGCGGTAAAGTTGCCCTTTACGCAGCTTTGAGACCATAACCCGACCCTACCTGGGGCGCGCCCACAGGAACTCCTGGATACCTGTGAAGCCCTTTCTCCAAAGACCAGGGATTTGCCCCATTTTTAAAGAACGCCAGGCTCACAGTGATCCCTGTCTTCATCCTGAGTTGGCCCTGAGTCAGCAGTGAACTCGCTTAGGCCCCGGGCAAGGGATGGCAGGAGATAGTCCTTGTGAGCAGTGAAGTCAGCCTTGCTTTTCTAACTGTGGAATTTGCTCTTTCCCCAATTCTTTCTCTCCAACTGCATCTCATGCCATCCTTCCGTGATCAAGCCATAGGGAAGGAGGTGAGTGCAACCTTCTCCGTGTGTAAAAATGAAATCAGCGAATGTATAAATGGAGCTGTGAAAATAGTGAAACCGGCTCACAGCTGAACTAGTTCCTCAGGAGGTAAAACTGTTAACTGTTCCTGCCCTACTACTTCTGCTGGTGTTGCTTCCTTTAAAGGCGGTAAAAGAGATCTTCTTGCAAAGTAGAATAGCAAACAAAGTAAACCTTTACCTTTGAGTTGCATTTTAAATTTTTCTGAGTATTTTTCACATTCACTATTTCACTGGACTCTTGCGGTAACCCTAAAAAGATAGATAAATATTTCCTTCTTCAAAAGCTAATTCTCGTTAAAGGAATGTTGTAGGTCTGAGTTATCGGTGTCGCACAGCATGTGGCACATAAGATCTTCCAGACATGTCAGTTGACGAATTGAAGAGGTGAGGGCTTTTTCCCCACCGCTCTGCTCTACCATCTTGATATGTGAATGACTACCGTTCTGAAAAAGAGAATGTAGGGCATTTTTTTTTTTTGTTCCATTTACAGGTGGACTGCTCCAAATACACAAGAGAAGGCTCCAAGATCAAATGCACAAAGGAGCTGAAACCCATCTGTGGCACAGATCAGAGAACTTATAGTAATGAATGTGTATTTTGCATGCTAAACCAGTAAGTACGGTGCTCAATTTGGAGTGCCCCCCCACTTCTTTTTAAAGATTGCAAAGTCCACATTGGCCAAAATCATCTTGGTTTTTAGTAACATGGCTTGACAAGTCCTACCTTTTGTCATGTTCTTCCAATAGTCTTAGGATATTGCTTTGTTAAAATCAAAAAATTAACTTAGCTGTATGTCTAAGAGGACATATGTATTTTTCTTTGCTCTCCAGCCAAATTCTCATTCATATTATACACTGTTCCTTCGGGCATCAGTGTTACATAGGGACATTTTTATTCCCACATTACATTTAAAGAAGCTGTGTCTCAGGCAAGAATGTATCTTAATCAATGTTCCATGAACCTCCTGTGCGACATCTTTCTTAATATATAATGGGAACTCAGAAGAGAGCTATCTCTATTTAAGCTGTTAGCCACAGGCACTATTATAAGATTTTGATCTATTGTTCATACTCCAGAGGAAATCCATGTTGCTTCTCATGATTGCCTGGAAAAGTCTAAGGAAGACACCAAAAATACAAACGGATGGTTGGAATCAGTTGAAATCCCCACTACCACCAGCCCCACAAATTAAATATTACGTCCTCACTGTAAACAACATCTCTGTGTTTAGAAGAATGAAAGAAGGGTTAGTACCAGTCATTCCAGCAATTTGAATTCACTACTGATGATTAGAGGTTAAAATCATGGTATTTGGAGTCAGAAATCTGGATTAGAATCCACACCGCACTCAGTGGGTCTGTGACTTTAGGCAAATACTCAAATGGGGGCCAGGGGGAGTGCAAAGTACTTGGAAATCACTGGGACTGTATTCCTGAAAAGATATTAGTTATGTGGATGGACAGAAATACAGATACGGGTGCAGGGGAATGTGTTAAAATGTCATGATTATAAGCTTAAAAGGCATAGAACAAACAGTATGCTACAATCACGATTTTTTACATTGTAGAGAAATGTCCTTGTCGCTTCTATTTCAACTTTCATAGACCCTTAATACCCTTTATCCGTGTCCTTTTAATGTTTATTTCCACTTACTACACCTATAATTTTATTTGTTCTTAAATATAGCTATGTCACTGTATTTGCTGAGGGATCAGAAGATTATTATGCAAACGTGTTTGGTAGATGAGTTTCTAGGTGTAACTGTTCCTACAGCCTATAAATCAAGATAATAAGGAAGCTTTCCTTGACAAAGTAAATATCCTAGTTTGGGTTGACAGCCAATCACCACTGAGCAGGTCAGTTTTAATGAGGATGGGATCCTGCCCTGTGTACATACATGCATGTGTATATACGGCGTGTGCTTGACAGACTGCCCTGTCCCTCTCTCTGGACTTCACGCTCAGAGCGCCCACCGGCACCTCCTCGCCCGGCACCGCCATGCGGAGCACCACCACTTTGACCATCCTTGTCCTGGCGGCCGCTACCTGGACTGTCTCTGCATCTGGTGAGTTAGGATTCCTTTTCGAAGCCTTTATGTTCACTGCAATTTATTCAGCCTTCAGTAATTAGAGAATGCTAAAGTCAGAAAAAAATCTAGAAGTTATCCTCTTGGAGTGGTCTGGTTAACAAAGCGGGGTTGGGTCAGCCCTTTGGGAGAAAAAGAACGAAAGGGCGATGACTCCCGCCTGGGCTCCTGGTCAGGGTCGCTCCACTCCCCGGCTTGCCTTTTGGAAGCGGTAAAGTTGCCCTTTACGCAGCTTTGAGACCATAACCCAACCCTACCTGGGGCGCGCCCACAGGAACTCCTGGATACCTGTGAAGCCCTTTCTCCAAAGACCAGGGATTTGCCCCATTTTTAAAGAACGCCAGGCTCACAGTGATCCCTGTCTTCATCCTGAGTTGGCCCTGAGTCAGCAGTGAACTCGCTTAGGCCCCGGGCAAGGGATGGCAGGAGATAGTCCTTGTGAGCAGTGAAGTCAGCCTTGCTTTTCTAACTGTGGAATTTGCTCTTTCCCCAATTCTTTCTCTCCAACTGCATCTCATGCCATCCTTCCGTGATCAAGCCATAGGGAAGGAGGTGAGTGCAACCTTCTCCGTGTGTAAAAATGAAATCAGCGAATGTATAAATGGAGCTGTGAAAATAGTGAAACCGGCTCACAGCTGAACTAGTTCCTCAGGAGGTAAAACTGTTAACTGTTCCTGCCCTACTACTTCTGCTGGTGTTTCTTCCTTTAAAGGCGGTAAAAGAGATCTTCTTGCAAAGTAGAATAGCAAACAAAGTAAACCTTTACCTTTGAGTTGCATTTTAAATTTTTCTGAGTATTTTTCACATTCACTATTTCACTGGACTCTTGCGGTAACCCTAAAAAGATAGATAAATATTTCCTTCTTCAAAAGCTAATTCTCGTTAAAGGAATGTTGTAGGTCTGAGTTATCGGTGTCGCACAGCATGTGGCACATAAGATCTTCCAGACATGTCAGTTGACGAATTGAAGAGGTGAGGGCTTTTTCCCCACCGCTCTGCTCTACCATCTTGATATGTGAATGACTACCGTTCTGAAAAAGAGAATGTAGGGCATTTTTTTTTTTTGTTCCATTTACAGGTGGACTGCTCCAAATACACAAGAGAAGGCTCCAAGATCAAATGCACAAAGGAGCTGAAACCCATCTGTGGCACAGATCAGAGAACTTATAGTAATGAATGTGTATTTTGCATGCTAAACCAGTAAGTACGGTGCTCAATTTGGAGTGCCCCCCCACCACTTTTTAAAGATTGCAAAGTCCACATTGGCCAAAATCATCTTGGTTTTTAGTAACATGGCTTGACAAGTCCTACCTTTTGTCATGTTCTTCCAATAGTCTTAGGATATTGCTTTGTTAAAATCAAAAAATTAACTTAGCTGTATGTCTAAGAGGACATATGTATTTTTCTTTGCTCTCCAGCCAAATTCTCATTCATATTATACACTGTTCCTTCGGGCATCAGTGTTACATAGGGACATTTTTATTCCCACATTACATTTAAAGAAGCTGTGTCTCAGGCAAGAATGTATCTTAATCAATGTTCCATGAACCTCCTGTGCGACATCTTTCTTAATATATAATGGGAACTCAGAAGAGAGCTATCTCTATTTAAGCTGTTAGCCACAGGCACTATTATAAGATTTTGATCTATTGTTCATACTCCAGAGGAAATCCATGTTGCTTCTCATGATTGCCTGGAAAAGTCTAAGGAAGACACCAAAAATACAAACGGATGGTTGGAATCAGTTGAAATCCCCACTACCACCAGCCCCACAAATTAAATATTACGTCCTCACTGTAAACAACATCTCTGTGTTTAGAAGAATGAAAGAAGGGTTAGTACCAGTCATTCCAGCAATTTGAATTCACTACTGATGATTAGAGGTTAAAATCATGGTATTTGGAGTCAGAAATCTGGATTAGAATCCACACCGCACTCAGTGGGTCTGTGACTTTAGGCAAATACTCAATAGGCAGTTCCTTCATGCACGCTTCAGCATTCTCATCTGTAAGGTAGGAATTCTTATAGTGTCTGGAAGTCACTGTGTTAAACATGTCAAATCTTAGCTAAGCAGCTGACACAGAAATGAGCCTTTCTTCCTTTTTAATATATTATTCCTTATTTTCTAGCCTCCCTGAAAATGTACAGTCAAGTGTAACAGCACGTGCCATTCAGAATAACACCTCTCAGGATATGCAGACTTATGCGCTAATAAAACTCATGAGAGATTACAACCTATGAGGTCTTACTCTTTACATTATCTAGAATCCTCTCTTTAGGAGGCAGGAATCTGACGGAAAGTAGAAGTGACCCTAACAAACTTAGGCAGACTATATGTGCCAGAGATAGATTTGAGCATATTCTCTTTTTCTTAACTGAAAAAATGATTGCACACTATTTTATGTCTCTGATTTTCGTCTGACTCATGGGCTAATTGTTTAGAATTCCCATCTTCCTTTTATGGATCTTATTTTCTTATATTTTTATGTGTTTGTAAATGGTCATCCATCAGAGATGTTATTGGTCAATATTGCCCAACTAGACTATTAACTGGGACTCTTCATCTTAAGTCCAGGTCAGACAACACAGAATGACATATGAATGTATTTTACTTTGTAGATTATAAAATATCAAATAACTGCATAACCCATTCAATAAAATCTTTTCTTCCAGAGACAAAGGACTTCAAGTCAGAAAACTTCATGATGGTAAATGTGTAAGTGTACATAGAAATTTTATTTATTCTTAACATAAAACATTATAATAATTCCTCACTTTCATAGAGGAAAACTATTTTACAATATGTATTCTAGAAATTATCTATTATTATGCACAGTCATAGATAAAACATCTGACTGGCCTAAACAGAAGACCTGACGTAGAGTCAACTTATTTACCCAGAGAAAGACTCCTTAAATTTCACTCATAGCCCTTAATTAGGGCAGATGGGTACACTTGCGGTTATTTCCTAACACTGCAGCCAATTAGTAGGTTAAGAGGAGGACATTAGGGACTCAGGGATACTCTCATAACGATAAAAAAAATTATTTTTTGAAAAGCATGGAGAAAACTCAGGAGCAAATGTGGAGACAATTTGGGGTAAGGAGCTCTGTGAATGGGATGTCAATAATTTTAATACAGTTTGCAATGTGATTTAAGAGAATTGAAACATGGGGTTGCATCAGTAAAGACGGTTCATTTTGAGGAGGAACACAGTGATAGGAGAGGAGAGGAACGCATCATGACACTGTTATAAAAGTGGGGATCTGACTTTCCAGGAGAAATAGGCATCAGTCTGATGGATAAGTGGGTAAGGTCGTGCAAGACAGGAAATACACCGTAAGCAAGTGCAGGGATGTGTGAGATCAGGAAATGCTCTTGGAAGGTGGTCTTTAAGTTGAACTAGAGAAACAGGCACAACACGTGGGACTGGAGAGAGAAGCCTGGGTCCTGAGGGGACTCTTCTGTTGATGGGGGATCAGCTAAGTACTTGAAAAACAAGATCTGATTTGAGTTTAAAGATGACTCTGGCATCAGTGTGGAGGGTGACTGACACCTCAGATAAGCACGGAGGCTGGGCAATAACTTGGCAGACAATTACAACTGTGTAGGCCAGACATGCTGCCGTCCTAAGCAAAGTGGATGTCACTATGGCAAGGAGAGTGCCAATTCGGAAATTAAGTGCAGGACAGAACGCTCAGGATGTATTCTATTCATCGTTTAGACCCGGGGAATGAGTGAGGGGGAAGCCCTGGGCCTGGGCTCACCTACCTCTTTGCTGCCACGAGGTTCCCACCATTGTGGTCGGATTATGTAAGCTGCAGAGGATCTGTCTTTTTGCATGTGGGACTTTGGAATAAATGGTCCCTCAAGGCTTTGAAAAGCTCATTTTCTATGATTTAACTATTTGAATTTTTTCCCCGTTTTGGATTGAGACAGATTGAGTGCACCACATACTCTAACATATGTACCATGGAATACATGCCTTTCTGTGGATCTGATGGACGCGAATATCCCAACAAATGTTTGTTTTGCAACGCTGTTGTGTAAGTGCTGAATTCAATGTGTTATTTGCAGAAATAGCCTCTCCCACACAGACAAAAACCATCTTACCTGCTTGATAGGCTAGAAGTTCCTACAAAGCATCAAGTAAGAGGATCTGCTGATAATCAGAATAGTTCACAAGAAGAAGTTAAAAAGGAAGAGAAAGAGAGGGCAAGAGAAATAAAGTGGATAGTAGGAAGAAACTGAAGCCAGGGAGAGGAGAGACTTGATCAGTATCATAGTGTCAGTACGTGGAAGACAAAAGAAATTTTTTGGGTCCCAACGCCAGCTTTTCCTGACACACTGAATTCCTTTCCCACCTCCCCGGAGGGCAGTGAGGACTTGCTCACCTTTCTTGTCAGGCACTCGTTCTGATGGCTTGATCTAAAAATATAAAATTTTTTATAAAGTCTCCAAAGCCTTCTTTTCTTTAAAAAAAAAAGTGGTTTCTCTTGTAGGAAGAGTGGTGGTACCCTTTTTTTGGCAAATTACGGACAGTGCTGAGTCACCCTGAGGCTGCAGGACCCACGCTCCCTCCGGGAGATTCCACGCACAGAACCGGTTTCTCCAGGTTGGCTGAGGTGGCGAATATGTGGACCTGACTCTTCAATAAAAGATTCTCAGCAGAAAACTGTCAGGCTTGTCTCTGGATGTGATTCTTTTCCTAAGGAGAATATCTATGGTGATTTTCCTAAACTATGAGTCACGTGGAAAGACACCCTCTCACTCTAGACAAGTTGGGAGCTAGAGAGATTCCATACACACCGGGGAGAAGACTGTGCTCATTGCATTCCATTTTAAAAGACTTAAAATGTTTCAATAAACATGAGTCAAAGGATGGGTTGACCATTAGTTTTGCTGGGGGCTGAGTCTGTTCTCTGAGAACCGAAGGGCAGAGACACAGCAGTGGCGTGGAATGGAGGTTTTATTTGAATGCACTCCAGGGAAAGAGCAGGCCAGAGTCACGGCAGACAAAGGTGGGTTTACTTGAATAAAGCAGAGAGGAAGGAAACCAGAGGGACAAAGGGGAAGGTCACTGAACTCCTGCTTGGCCCCAGGGCACATCCCCTGCCAACTCCTAAAGCCAGGGTTACCTGGCACCACAGTTCTGCTTGAATCTGCATGGTGTGGGAGCTAAGTCCCTCCCACCCCAGGATCTGGGGGAGCCACAGGGCACTGCATGGAGTGAGATTATGTTCTGAGAACTTCCCAATGGCAAAGAAAGGACATTTTCAGGCAGGCTACCAAAGAGCGTGACTGTACAGCTGCGGTCTTGTTTGGCTCACCCAGGCCAGGGTGAGCTGCAAGCCCAAGTCCGAGCTCTCAGCAGCCCCTCCCTACTCACCTGGAGCAGAACGGAGAGAGTGACACACCCGAAGAAAGGCGAGTTCCGGCAACCTCAGAGAGGGGGCGTGCTTACGGGTTTAGGGTCTGGGATTTTTGTAGCGCCTTCTGGGTGAGTGTCAGCATGAGGCATGATGTATAGAGGTGATTCATAATTCCTTTGAAGTTTTGTCTTAAGAATAGGGTTATTTAGGTGACTGTATTGGTCCAGATACTGGCATCCTTTGTCCACATAGATTTATTTATACTTTTAGGTCTGTCTCCTGCCCTGGTTACAAAGTTAGTTGATTAAGTGGTTGGAAAAAGAGGGAAAAACAGCATATAGGTTAAGTTAAAGAATAAACTGGGCCTTTTTTCAGGCTAAGTAGATTTTATAATGTCATTATCTAATTGGTACAGTGAAGACATGGGCTGCGCTCAGGTATTTTTCTTTATCTGGGGAATATCCAGACAATTCTAAGTCCCTCCTGGCCTTTGGAGCTTCAGCTAATCAACTCATTACCTCTGTGAGTCCCTTCTGGCTCCTGGTTTTATCTGGTTAATTCTTTGAGTCCCTTCTAGTGGGTTTTACTGGCTTTATTCTCTCCCTACCCAGCTCATGTCTATTTTTCTGCCTAACAGTATTACATTCTTATAATACTTTAGCTACACTGGTGAAAACTAGAAAATTCAGATTTGGAGAAAGATAGAGTGAAAATCCATAATACTATAAACAAATCAGAACAGACCAGGAGTACATGCGTACTTTATGCATCACTATTTAGAGGTCCCAGTCACACAAGGGCAGCTGTAAAAGAAGGCATCCTGTTGGTCATGCTGGGGAAGAGAATAAAAACAGTATGTGAGTAAATTCTGGAGTCACTGAAAAGGCTTGAGGAAAATCAAAGGTATCTGGGAGAGACCAGGGTATACGCAGGTCTGCAGAAGATAGAGCAGCACTTTCCCATATCTGGGGCTCCACAGAGAGGACTCAGATCATTAATGTAATATGCAGAGATAGATATTTTGCTTTGGTCAAGAGAATTATTTTCTAATAGTGAGCAAATGAAACCTGAAGCTGACATTACACTAAAAATATCAATCATAACTTGTAACTGTGTTTTTTTCTATTTAATCAAATGAGTCTTAATATTCATGTCCAATTTGTTAACACACATATGTTGTAAAACAAACAATTCATAATATAAAATATTCCTCATGGGCTTCAAGAAACGAGAGATTTTAGGTTAATGTCAGATAAATACTTTCTAAGTCAAAAATAGCCAGTAAAATAAAGAGAGTAATTAGTTGTTAATAAAATAATAATAAAGATGTGGTGTCACTGAATGAATAGAACAATTACTGCACTTTTAGGAAAAAAAATTTTTTAAATACTGGGAAAAATTTGTTTAGGCCAAAACAGTTTATTCAAATATGCTCACTTTATCAATTTATAGGTAAAAACCCCAAATATGTAATCATTGCATAAATACATATACATTAAAAAACATAAGTTATATATGTAAATCTACCTTACAATTTTTAGATATAAATAAATTATAATATTTTAATAATATACCATGGAGCATATGCTATTGCAAAAAACACAGACTTAAGGTTTATTTAGAACAATTATGAACATTCACCAGCTGTGATGCAAATTGCAAGAGAAAAAAAAGACAAATTTTAGGACATGATTAAAATATGAAGCCATAAAACCAATTATTATTAATAAGAGCATGAACCAAAAATTAAACAATCAAGATAGTTAATAGTTCTCTATACGTTTAACTCTACAGTTTGGATTTTCACACTTACTAAAAAACTATTTGTTCCCCCAAGACAAATGTATTAAAAATACATTTCTCTAAAATATATCCAAATATCTCCTTTTTAAATATCTTGAATAAATATCCTGTAAATTTTTGAATCAGTAATCACTTTTAAAAGACTTTCTTTTTGGTTACTGACTAAAAATTTCTGACTCATTGATTTATATTGGATTAATCACTGTAGTTATGACCACTGGTAATCTACAATCGCCTGCCAAGGGCTGCCTTGCTCAGTGATCCATCCCCACCCCCGTCTTCCAGGCGACCCTGCGCTTCCTTCCCCAACACCTCCTGCTGAGATTTGGTTCTGACTCAGCAGCAATGTCGGGCATCCCAGGACTTGCTCAGCCTGGCACACAGGGCACCAGCACCTTCTCTCCTGTGCAGCCCCTCAGCTCCTCCTGAGGCCCTAACCCAGGCGCCCTAAGGGAGAGGCACCGGCCACAAAAAAGCATGCCACAGTTTTCTTCTTTTTCTCTCTGAGGTGGGTCAACGGGGACACACGTGGGCTAGAGCGTGGACGCCTGCGTCTTCCACTGCTGCTGCTTCATTCCTGAAGGAATGCAGGGAAGACGTCAGGGAGAGATGGGGGTGTGCGTCTAGACTGCCTCAGAGGCGAGCAGAGTGGGCAGCTCTGGACATTGAGCTAAGGTCCTCCAGCCATCCTGGGGAGCCGAGTGCTCCGGAGGCATGTCAACGCTCCAGACGCACCACAGCGTGTCAGCAGAGGCTTTGGGTGCCCCTTGGGGTGGCACAGAATGTTTTCTCTCCCTGTGATCTTTCTCAGAATGCCCCAAGTGAGTCTAGCATTCCGTGTCAGAAGCTTGTCCGCACAGCCAAGTACGCCTGGGGCATTAGAATTCTTTGCCTTAATCTAGAGGTGGTAGTCTCTGCTTCATGGGCAGGACAGACCTACGTCCTCTGTTGAGAAGCTCTTTTCTCTAGAAGCCTCTAGGGTCCTCACCATTTTCTTTGCATCCCCTCAAAGAAAAATATGGGGTGAAATCTTAAGTTAAGGAGTTACCTTTTCAAGATACCTAAAGTACCTCCATACTAAAATTAATAGCTACACCCTGAGTCATCTCTGACTGACGTCTGTCTCCTGAGCGGTCACAGGTATGTAGCTGAGGCCGGTACTTTAGCTCATGTCAAACTAAGGTTGAACATTTCCTGAGCAGGTGTTCTCGGGGAAGCGTGGAACAGGCTTCCCGAGGGTGGCACACAGCGGCTCCCGTGGGCACACGAGAGGCGGATATGCACTTCAGTGCTGGTCCAATCTCCTGATACCTCTGCTTTCGTGGCTGCACTAAAGGGAACCACCCTAGACAACGCGGGACAGCATCGCTCTAAGGACACGTCGGGAGGAGGCCGAGTCTCAGGATTCTGCTCACTTCTGTTCTTCGTCCACACACGTCGGGTGTTACCTTCTGGTGAGTAATCTGGCTGGCTAATTTGTGGGCTCTGACATGGTGATCTGAAGAAGTCTTTGAAATACTTTTTTAGCTACTTACTTATGTGTATCAGTTTATCTATCTGCATTTCTGTATCTCTTTGGAGTCAATGGCATGTGGTCCAAAGAACAAAATCTCTGGGCCAATGAGCAGGGGCCTTAGTTTTCCCATCTATTAATGCATGGAGACCGGCATTAACTAATGGGGACCCCCTAACTCAGGGGGACCTGGGAGCTTGGGGGATTCAGTGAAGTGACATGTGAAATGATTGGCAATATGCCTGCACCACTGTGCAGCTCAAGAACTCAGAACTTCTGAAACCACTTGGCCGTGTATTTGAATGAGGGATCCTTTGTGGCCTCTTTCTGAGAAGAGTTGTGTGGGGGGCTGCAAAGAGACCCCACCTCAAAGGCTGAGGAGCTGCACTTTCCGCTATCTGCCATGAATTCCTGGGCGCCCCAGAAGCAAGTGTCTTTCTCTGCTCTGCCAAATAATGGGGATTGGGCCAGAGGATCGCTTTAAAGTTCTCACATTTTGTAATTTCTTTCATATATCAGCTGCCAGTTCTGAATCCTCTTAAGCCCATGCTCATTACTGTTAATCCAAAAATTATCTGGTATCTGGACTGTCAATATTGATGAGGGCACTTGTATATAGACCTCAGCTGATCACATCTCAGGAGCAGGAGAGTTACTCCACATTAAAAAAAAAAAGAATGAAAACATGTATAAATGAAACAATGCTTTTAATTATTGTAAGATTTCTTGGTAATAAATTAGAATTCTTTTATTCTGCCAACAGATTAAACTGTGATTTACCAGTTACTGATTTCTGTAACTATTTTTATTTCTGTCTTGGTTTCAGGTCCTCCACACCGGTGGCCACCACATGGAATTGTTGTGGTAATCTTCCACTAGATTTCCCAAGACCAAGGTTCTAATCTGAATTTTCTTTGGAATTGCTCTTTTAGAACCTCTCTGCAGCAAGGCAATCTGTGATGTTCTTCAGGGGACACTCACATGGATGTGGCAGGTTGCAGCAGCCCAGGGTGGAATGATTCGAATGGGGCCCACGCTGAGATCTGGTCCTGTGTGCCCCAGACACCCCCTCTGTCTGCCCACCCCAGGGTGCCTGGGAAGTGCTCATGAGTACCAACAATTGCCAGGGGCAGTACAGGCTCTCTGGAGCCCACAGATTTGGGCATAACAGGTTTCTGCTCTCAGGGAACTCAGTCTGGGGTGGGGGAAATCTGAAGATTTCTAAAGTCTAGACTGGAGCCCACGTCATAGCTGTATTTTTTCTAAGGATTCCAAAGGAGAAGACTTGTGCTCTGTGATAACACAAAATTTTTCAGTGGATAAGAAAACATTTACTTAAAATTGGTGTGCACAACAGTGAAAAGAACTTTCATAATATTTTCTTTTTCTGTCATTTGACTGTAGTCATTCCCAGAGAGGGAAAGGAGGTCGGGATGTTTATCTAAATGCAAGACTTCACTGTTTTCAGTGCAAACCCTAAAAGCTGGTCATTTCCACACATATTCTACCACTGCCAATATAACATCTCCGTTTGCATCCCTCATCTGACAGCCACCGCCTGTGTGCTTGCTCGGGCTCGTCCTTTCTGGCAGGTGCTTTCAATCTTGAAATCCCTCTGTCTTGTTCCCCATATGTTTTATCCTCTGATTATTGGTCGATCCCAGATTTTTGTCATTGCCATCTTCTCTTCCCCACGTGCTCCTTTGCTTTACGTCTGCTCACAGCTATGGTCACTTGCTGGCCCTTATGCTTCTGACTCACGTGAGACTGTACTCATCTTCTCAGGATCAGATACTAGACGTCTTCCTTTCATTAACTCAAAGAATTTTTAAACTCAGTCTATCCAATATAAATCCTATTTTTTTCTTTCTAAATATGATCCTCCACATGCTTTGATTTACTTTACTCAATGAGTCCTCTCAAACTCAACTTCAATATATAATTTATTTATATTCCTTATTTCATCTTAAGCATAAATCAAGCTCATGAACATTTATTTAGTCCAAGTTGTCATCATTCTTGGTGGGTTATTTTTATATTCTTCTTGACTATTACCTCAGCCTCCAATCTCTTCTTCCAGCCATAATCCTTCTATAATCATTTACATTTGACCTCTTAAAAAATCACTCTCTTTTGTGAATTATAATACAAATAAACATCTAGTATGACTTTAAGACACATTGTTGCATTTGATAGAGGAACTCTCTGAAGCCCAACTTCAACCATAAGGAACCCTTGCAGGACCTGTAATAACCCATTTTGCCCATAAGGTGGCAGTAAAGTACTGCCGCCTAAACCATTGACTGGCGGGCTCCACAGCCGTCTGGTCAACTACCAACAAGGTGATTTGGGGGAAGTGGCTTATGCTCTATGAGCTGCAGATTTCTCATCACTTAACATGGTGATAATAATAGTACACACCTGATTTTGAGAAGTGACGCTCCCAAAAAGTTTAAATAGGGATATCCAGGTGACTGACAAATGAGGGCAAAACCTTAGGTAGAATCAAAGGGCTTTCCCTCACCACCTGCTTAGGACATCTGTTTCTGAACCTGACTGAGGGGATGAGCTTAAAACGGAGATGGCTTTCTGCAATTTCTGATATTTTTATTCCCAGGACGGTGAAATCTCCTAACATAGTCTGTCTCAAGCTCTTATTCAGATCTCATATTGGATGAGAGAGTTAGGAAATGCTTCTATCTAACTAATGGACTAATCATTACTTACTATTCTACGGAGTTCCTTTTTATTTCCTTGATTAGATCGTTGTAAGGCTCTTTTAAGATATAAAGAAATTTAATCAACTCAAAGAGGCAGACTTGAGCAAACTGCTTATCATATATTATCCAAACAAAAATTAGGAAATCCTTCTAGTCTATGGGCATGTGAAGGTAGTCAGTGAGTCAAGTAATATGCCTACACTGTGATTAATTTTCTTTAAGTTTTGAATTGTATTTTAAGGTTATTTTGCTTTTAAATAATAATATATACTCTTGAAGAAGAATTCAGAAATGCAGAAAAGTAAATTTTCATTTAAAAAAACTAAGCAAAACATTACAATCAGGACTTACTGCCTTTAATTTTAGATGAAAATCTTTCCTAAACTCTATCTTCCTCTCTCTCTCTCTCAATGACTAAGGGTACAGATTAAGAGTGTGGTAGAAATGATGTTGTAAAAACAGGATCATACTTACTTGTTACTTTGGAAATAAGAATTTACTGAATACAAAGTCAATATGCAAAAGAAGAAATTATATTCTAAATGTGTGCAGTAAATAAATTTAAAATGAAACTATGTAAAAGATATTACTTCTCAGAATACCAACAATAACAAATGCATGAGGAAAAATAACAAGGTATGTGTAATCTCTACCCTGAATATTACAAAATATTTAATCAAATATTTCAAAGAAACTCTAAATACAAGTGCATAGTCATTCATCAACTTAAAAATTCAATATTAATAAGAGGTACAGTCACTCTAAATTGTTTTATAGATTCAATAATCTTACTCAAAATAAGTAGCAAGGTTTTCCTGAGAGAGTATTTGTTCAATTTCAAATGTGTATGAACATATAATAGGAAGAAAGAATAAACAAGATAATCTTGAGTAAGAACAAAGCTGGAGGACTTACACTACCACACAATAAGACTTATTTTCAAGCAAATCACAATAAAAAAAATACTGGTGTAAACAAATAGACCAGAAACAGACCCACACATATATGGTTATTTGATTCGTGGCAAAAAAAAACAGTGTAGTAAAATTGTGAAAAGTTGTTCTTTTTAATCAATTATGCTGAGTCTATTGGATACACACATAGGAGAAAATGAATCTTGACACTTTCATTTGAACTAATATTCAAAAAAACAACTCAAAAAAAATTGGGGGGAGGAAATAGAACTTTATGAACTAAGAGTATGCAAATATTCCTTTAACTGACAAAAACCCTCCATAACCATAAATAAAAATATGATAAATTGTGCAACATGAAATGTCTGTTTTAAAATATTAAGAACTGCCCTTCATCAAAATCTACCACTAGGAGAGTAAAAGGTAAACTGCCAACTAGGAGAAAATGTCTCTAACACACATATCCGACGAGTGGCTCATCTCAGAAATACATAAAGAATTCCTACAAACAAGACAAAGAGCCCAATAGAAAAATGTGCGAAATATAAAATGACGGCATCAAATTAGCTAATAAATAAATGCATCATCTCCACTTTCCCTTACATTTCAGTTGTTTTTTTATTTATCTGGTTTTTTGATCTTATAAGAAATCCTGTTCTTATACTAGGATTATTTGATACACTCCATTTTTATGGTTCACTTGTTTAAACGCAGAAGAAGGCAGATCTGTGACCTGATTGCCCTCTGCAGTACTGTCCTGGTTGTCTGCTGCTGAATAGTAAACGCTCCGAAACAGCGGCGTAAAGGAGTAACACTTGCTACCTTTACATTATTCCGTGTCGGAGGGTTGATCCCTCTCGCCACACGGGGTCAGCGGGCGCGGCGGCGTGGCTGGAAGTTCCAGCTGCGCTCGGTGTTGCCAGATTCCTGGGAGCTCAGCTGCAGCTCTTTGGCTCTCTTCTGCTCAGCCTCCCTGCCATAAACACGGTCAATTCAATGTTAAAATGTTTTAACCAGTTGGAGAGGCTGTCCTAAACCCTGTGTATTTCATTTACATTCTTCTTGAAAAATGGGCAAGTGTTTCAGTTTCCTTCTCCTTTCCTTAATCTCTGACAGCTAAACTAACTGCATGGCAGACAGAGCCAAGCTCAGAATAAGAAATATCACCAGGAACAAGCAGGGACATTACATAATGACACAGGGATCAACTGTAGGTGTGTTTTCACCTGACAGCAATCCTAAATGTGTACTTCTCAAATAACATCAAAATGTATATAGCAAAAATTGACAGTACTCTAAGAACAGAGAAAATTAAACATAGTTGATGCCAGCATTTCTCTCATAATTGACAGAACAAGTGGACAAAAAATCACTAAGAATATAGAAGACCTAAGCAATACAACCAAATTGTCCTAATTGACATTTACAGAGCACGTCACCCAACAATGTCAGCTTTGCATAATTTTTTTCAAGTGCACATAAACATTCACCAGGTTAGACCATATCTTGGGACGTAAAACTAAGAAATCACACAATGTATGTCCTTTGACTAAGAAGAAATTAAGTAATTTAGAAAATCCCCAACTATTTGGAAGTTAAACAGTGCAATTCTAAAAAATACATGGATGATAAAGGAAGAATCGAGCCATTTTTAATAGAGTGAAATATGAAAGCAACGTATTAAAACTCGTGGGTTGCTTCTGAAGTAGTGCTCGGAGGGAGAATTCATAGCATGTAGTGGTATGACTAAAGAAATATATAAAATCAATAATCTAAGTTTCCATTAAAAACAAATAGGTAAACAAATACAACCTAAAGCAAGTAGAAGGAAGGAGATAAAAAAGGGTAGAAATCAGTGATCTCACTTATATCTGGAATCTAAAAAAATGTTGAATACATAGAAACAGAGAGTAGATGGTGGTTACCAGAGGTGGGGAGATGGGGCAAATGGAGATGTTGGTCCCAGGGTACAATGCTGCACTTCGGTAAGATGAGTACGTCTAGAGATCTGATATACAGCATGATAACTATAGTTAATAATATAGTATTAAATCCTGTGTGCTTTGGTTGAAGAATCAAAAAAAAAAAAAATACATTGGTCTTCAAACAGTGCATGGCCTTCTGATGATATTGGGTGTTTTAGGCCTGTTTGTTGTCTTTTGGGTTATCTGTCAACCAGCTTCATAGTAGGTGGAAATTCATTGTCAACCTTTTAAATCCTAACTGAAAGGCTAATGGTAGCTAGCTAGCTGTCAGGGGAACAAAACTGTAAATGCCCGGAAGAAACTACCTGCTTGAGTTGAGTAGATGGGAGAAAAATAAACCTAACTCCATTTTTACGTAAAGTGAATATACTTATGTTTTTAATATACTGAGCTTTTCAATTTTTCTTGCTGCCTACACACTGGTACTGTAAAAGTCAGTATATTGAAGGAAAAGCACTAAAGTCAGTATACATACTGAAAAAAAAAAGGCTAGGAAAGCATTTTTTGGCATCAGCATGAAACTAAGTGCATGAAACATTCCCTTTGCTTTTAAGAATTCCCCGATGCCGTGCTGGCAACCATAGAACTTCTTACACTGGAATTTTAAAATTGGAGTCTAGTTCTCCTGGGACTCTAATCACAGGGTTTCGGTCCTCTGGCAACCAGCATCCATCCTTAGGCACTTTCCAAAAGTCAAGCGGGGCAGGCAGTCTTAGCGGACGTGCTCCCAGTACCTGGGAGAGGCCACTGTCCTGGAGAGGAACAGTAGGTTCATGCTACAGAACCACCTAGAGGACTGGCTACCCACAGTGACGCATTGTCTCTCAAGCCTACACCCACGCCCCCGACCCTTTACCTTTATCCCACTCTTGAAACTCCTTAAAAGACAGAATCCCAGCTTTTGAGCACGCCTCTTCCTCTCTGACGTTCCCCTCGCCCCCCTCTCTTCAAGTGCGGCCCTCTCTCCGTAGGGAGAGGCTGCTGAGAGTTCTGATTTGTGCTTGACAGTTCCCATCGCCTGGTGACCTGAACAGAACTGCAGCCATACAGTCACGCTCCTTAGAAGCCTGCCTGAAAATCTCCTTTCGTTGCCTTTGGGAAGTTCTCAGAACACAGTCTCACTCCATCCAGTGCCCTGCGGCTCCCCCAGATCCTGGGGGAAGGGGGAGGTAGGGACTTGGTTCTCACGCCATGCAGGCTCGAGCAGACACTGGACCCCAGGTGACACTGGACCCCAGGTGACACTGGCCGCGGGAGCTGGCAAAGGGTTTGCCTTCTGCTGAGCAGCAGTTCCAGGAGCTTCCCTTCTCTCCCTCTGTTTTCCCTTCCTCTCTGCTTTGGTCAAGCAAACCTGCCTCTGTCTGCCTTGACTCTGGTCTGCTCCTCCCTTGGAACGGATTCAAATAAAACTTCGGTTCTGCTTCAGTAAGGTGTCTCTGCCCTCCAGTTCTCTGTTGTGGTGGGGGCAGGACCAGAGGAGAGCGGACGCAACACCCCCACCCCCCACCGCTCCCCCAACAATGCTGGCATGGGATGCAGGAGTCAGAGGGGATGAGCTGTAGGAGTGACCACTGAAGGTCTCAGCTGAGGACAGAAGACCGCACTTACTACTGCACACTTGGACAATGACTTCCTGAAATAGACTCCAGTGACTCCCCACCCTTACCCTCCTTGATCCATTTTCCATAATGTAGAAGTAATCCTTGTAATTATTTTTAATCATGTTATTCCTGAATACAAATTTTATCACCTTTAGAGTAAGAATAAGATAAACCAAAATCTTTAGTATAGAATTCCAGCTTCCACCAAGATGAAGACCGGATTACCCTCCTGCCTGAAATGACTCATCTAGGCAAAGTATATGAAACAATGGTTTTCACAGATATGATCCAGGCACAGGGCACTGATTCCTGAGGCAGGTGGGGAGCCAGGGGAGCCCTGTGAGGGCTCCAGCTTCCTTCCCGGGCACCTGCCAGGGGCGGGCGCGTGAAGAGAGCCGAGCAGGACCTAAGGCCTCCGCGAGTGGCGGGCGTCCAGAAGGACAAGGCCGTTAGCGTTCCCTGGGCAGGGAGAGCTCCGGAGCCCCCCAGAGGGACCCTCTTTAGTCTCCAGCCGAATGTCCACCAGCATTTGGGTGCTGGGAAACTACCCGAGGACAAGGAGAGAACCGCCCCACTGAGGCAGGCAGAGAACCATCCTGGGAGCTCACACGGTGTTGAGAATGTTTTATGGTCAGACTTGACAATATTTTACTAGCCTGACTGGAAGTCTTCGTAAAGCATGCATGGGCTTTTAGTAGAATGTTCAGAGGTCATTGTCTCTGAAGAGGTGTAAAATTGGTTCTAGACCAAAGTCTATTCTGGTTCTATCTAACAAAACTTTAAAGCCAGTCCCGAGAGGTGAAATATATAATTATTTCCTTTTTCCAATCAATTTAACTGCAATCTAAGGACAGAGATCAGAAATACTTATAGAGATAGAAAAAATACCCAGTGTCTAAAAGGTAAAGTTCACAAAGAACAAGGAAAATATGACTTTGCATCTAGAAAAACATCAATTATGTAAACAGATGCAGTAATAACACAAATGTTGTAATTGGTAGATGAGGCTATTAAATCAGCTATCCCTTAAGTTCAAGAAAGGAGAAGAAAGATAGATCATATTAAGTAAATACATGGAACATATAAAAAAAAATAAACCAAAGTGTATTTCTAAAGATGAAAAAAAAACAAAGTTCCTGAGAAGGAAAATACACATATGTACTAACGTTAGGTTAGTTATCGCAGAAGAAAAGACTAGTAAACTTGAAAACAGCATTTGAAGTGAACAAAAATAAAACAGAAAGAAAAATAAACCTAAGAAAATATTAAAGGAACCATCAGTAGGTGGTGGGACCACTTCGTGCAGCCTGGGAGAAGGCTGATGAGAGAACAAAAAAGAAGATATTAGAAGAAATCATAGTTACAAAATTTTTAGGTTTGATGAAAACTGTAAATTTACAGATCCAGGGATCTTAATGGACTCCAAGTGCAAGAAATATTACAATCCTTAGCTTAGCCTATTAAACCTATTATCTTAAGGTCTGTCTCTGCATTTGATTCTAACACTAATTTCTTAAAATCCACATTGGTTCTTATTCATTTTCTTCTTTTCATATTATTCCTTATTCTTGGAATGCCTTTGACTTTCTAACCACTCCGGGGAGCTCCTCTCTGAAGCCTGGCCATGACCACCTTGTCTCTCTCACACACCTCCACCTACTCCAGTGCATGTGCACCCCTCAGGGCTCCCTCCCTCACTGTGTATAACTTTAATCAAAACGTTTTTGTCTACTTTAGCCTGTGAGCTACTCTTACTCACCCTCAAATTTCCAGAATAATAAAGTTCCGCCCAGCGAGTGTTTGAGAAAAGAGTGGAGAATGTAAGCTCAATGAATCTGTCTTTGTTGTTACTATATTTTCAGGGTCTAGTAATACTTGGAATAATTGGTGCTCAACTATTATTTTTGAAAGAAGGAAGGAATTTTATTGGTTAGTCATTCGTAAAATCGGAATGATGTCTATGTGCTTATATGTGCAATGTGTTGTTCTGTGCATGGAGACCCATGGAGAAAATGATCCATGAGCTTATAACCTAGCATGTATGTGTGTGCATTTGTGTGTATTTTTGTATGTATTTGGTGGCAGAAAAATACATAAATAATTAAATGAGAAAGATAATTGTAGATATTAGAAAGCACTATGAAGGTAATAAGGCACATCAATCTGATTTGGGGTAGCGGTTTTTTGAATTGTTAGGGAAATCGTCACTGAGCAAATAATATTTGAACTAATGTTTCTATGAAAAAGGAACTAGCCATTTATGTTCCTTGTCCAGGAGTCTTCCAGGCAGAGACCAGTAAGAGCAAGAGCCCTAGGGTGTGAAGAGTACAGAGTATATTTGAGAAGAGAGAGAAGGCAAGCATAGAAGGTATTTATACACAATGACT